ACGCCACCGCACAAGACGACTACGAGCAGATCGACCAATAGGCAGATACAGGATGGGATCTGGACGAGAGACAGACGGACGACAAGCACGAAGGAGAGTCTGAGCACCAGAAACAGCAGCAGCAGCAAGTTGACGATCTACTTGATCTTGCCAATACGAATCAAAGACTTCAGTAAGACCAGCAGTGGTGAATGGCGGCGGATCAGGCAGTGTTAGATACAACGGGTTTTGACAGATAAATCTGTCTAGACGAGTGTACAGTAAACCACGACGAAGCAGAACCAACAAGCAATCATCAGGGAGAGTATCAGCACGAAGGGCATAACGTGTTGTCAGAACGTTATATCGATGCTTCATGCTGGGAAGACAGGTCAAATGTTTGGCAACATTGTACCATGTACTACCAACAAACATACCAACCAATCGATTTTGCAGAGCATCAAGAGCCTTGAAGTCACGGAAAGAGAGATGAGATATAGCTAAGCCGTATTCCAGTTTGGGACGAATAAAGCTTTTATACAAACGAGCACAAAGCAACAGAGAAAAACCATTTCGATTGACACCAACCGAATTTAACAATGCCATTGTCTTGATAGCACCAGAAGCACGCAGATTGAGAATCCCAGGGGCATACAGACCTTTATATCTAAACGGCATACCAAGATACGTGAATTCCTCTACCACAGGAAGAGGTTCACCGTATAGAGACAATGGATGACGAGTAGAGGCAGTAGGAGCACAAAGTACAGCACATTTTGATGGTTTCCACCTGTAGCCAAGAGAGAACGAGTGATCTGAAGCGATATCCAACATGGTTTGCACATCAGTACGAGAGCCAAATATGGCCACATCATCAGCAAAGAGCAGGCTATTCACGCAAACACTAGGCATCCCAGGTGGTGATACCATAGTACCGCGACTGACAGCAGAACGAAGAACAGCAGGCAGAGAGTTGATGTACAGAGAGTACAAGTGAGGGCTGAGCACTGAACCCTGCAATACGCCAGTAGCAGGCGAAAAGGGAACAGAGGTGTGATTTGCAATCAACACAGACACGAGTACATCATCGAACATGTGGATGAGCAAACTGAGAACTGAACGAGGCAGAGAGGAACGAGAGAGAGCATCCCAAATCACTCGACGATCCACGGTATCATACGCTGATTTGATGTCTAGGAAAGCAACCACAGGGTAGTGGTGGTGGGTGAGGAAGTAGTCGTGCATCAAGTCATGTAAACAGAGGGCTTGATCCAGAGGACTACGCTGTGGGCGAAAGCCACCTTGAGCAACATCAAGTGCAGGCGAATGTTCATCAAGAGCAGGCATCAGAGAGAATTCGAACAATTTACGCATCACCGAAGTAAGCGAAATTGGACGAAAGTTTGCAGGATCAGATACATCACCTTTCTTGTAAATGGGAAAGACTTGAGCATGTCGCCATAGGGCTGGTGTATACGACCACTGAGAGCAGAGTGTAAAGAGCAGAGACAATACGGGTGCAATGTCAGATGCTAGAGCCTTCAGCATTTCAGCTTTCAAATGATCAGGACCAGGAGCTTTCCCATTTGGCAAACGCTTAATGAGGGAGACAAGTGTATCAGCATCAAATAGACCCAAATCAGCGGTGGACACATCATAAGGCAAATCAGAGAAATTGGACGGAGCAGCAAGGCGAGACGCATTATTCAACAGGGAGCCATCATAGACAGAGGCAAGATGGGACGCCATTGTGTTGACAGAGGCAGTTGGACCGTCTGGATGACTGTACGTTGCAGAGCATTCCTTGTTTCTTTTAATGCGCTTGATTGCAGCAGTAGCTTTCGAAAAATCCTTTTCCAAATCAGAGCAAAACTGATTCCACGATCGACGCTTAGCAGCTTGTACAAGAGAACGAAAACGCCTGTGAGCAGCTTGATAGAGATTCCATGTTTCGACTTTGGCAAAACGACTTGCCCACCTCCATCTACTATACATAGTATCTCTTTCACGAGCAGCATCCTCAATTTCCTGTGTCCAGTACTTTTTCCAGTGGCCAGGACGACCAGATTTCACACCAATTGAGCTATCCAGAGATTCATACAAACATTGATTCAAAGAATCGTTGATTGCATCAATATCTGGACAAACACCAGGGGGAGCAGACACCAAACCAGAGAGAGAACCAACCAAAGGAGCAACAGAAGTTCGAAAGGATTCACGAAGCAAGCCCAAAGGCCGCTTTTTCCTCAATTTCGAGAGCTTCCATTGCCGTCTAGGGGCCAAACCACCAGAGCTACCAGAACCAAGAGTATCATCGGGAGGGGGCACATACTCGAAAGTAAGTACCATCAGCCGATGATCAGAGCCAAGAGACAGATCAGATTCAACCACCAGTTGAGGATGTAACAGAGCAGCCTCGCCAATGTTTGTAAGAAACAGATCAATGATGCTATGAACCTCTTGTTGACGTCGAAAAGTTGTGAATGTGGGTGTACCAAATGCTAAAGACTCATTGAGAATGGAAAAAGAGGACTCCTCCAGCCATGGCAGTAGTGAGGTACCACGAGGATTAGCATTAGTATCACCCAGTAGAGATCCAAAGCGAGCATTGAAATCACCACAAAGGATGGTATCACTGGTTACGGGTAACGAGCGAAGAAGCGAGAGCACCTTATCCGAAGATAAGGGTGGAGGCAGATACACACAATGAACCGTAAGGGTGCCAACCTTAAGGGACAAAGTGTGTGCATTGTAAGACGGAAGTTGAGAGACAGAGAAAGGACAGGAAGGAGAGACAAAGGCAGTAATGCCACCAGAACCACGGTTAAATGCACCAGGTACTTTAGAGCCATAGAGGTGGAATTGAGACCAGTTAGTAGGGAAAGAACCAGAGGTTAGCCAGGTTTCAGTGACAAGCAGTACATGAGTGTTCTGAACATGATGGAGAACATCATGTACTGTTGATTGACGTAGACCATTGGCATTCCAAAGGGAGAGAGAGACTTGAAAGGAGTGGACTGGGTTGTTATTGGGAGTATGACTAGTAGCTATGTTACTCATTAGAGTTCCATAGCAGAGCCATTGCTGTCATGATCTTCCTTTTGACGCTTGAACAAGAATTTAGCCTTTTTGGGCTCCTTCTCGGCAAGACGACCGATAGCTTCAGAGACGGCTATATCTAGCTCTTCTTGAGAGATCCAGCCAGCAGAGACAAAGTATTTGCCAACGCCACTAACGTTGAGTGGACGAAGGAAAGAGAGGGTTTGCAGAGCACGGGTGTTGGTGAATTCATAGATCAATTGCTCACGCTCTTCAATGGCAAGATCAGCATATTTGGGATCAGCAATGTTGTTGGGATCCAAGGGTTGAAAGTTTTCAATGTGATCAGCTTCACATTTGCGCATACAGGCGAGAAACTCCTCTACATATTGGATGTGGAGCAAGATGCCAATGACGCCAGTGGCAGGGAAACAGATGTCTAACACACGGCCAGTATCAATACCAGCTCGGCGAAGTTGGTAACGAACCTCAGAGCGCAGGATTTTACCAGAGCGGCCTAGATACACATACTGGTATCCTTGTTGACCTTTGGTGGTGGCGGTTTGGAACATACGACCTGCAGCAAGACGTCGCTTGGTAGTACGGGCAGGGTCACGATGTTGGGCACCTTTACGGGCAGCAGATGCGTAGCTACCTTGAGTAGCATCGGGTTGGTGAATAGTAACAAGCTCTTGGGTTGGTGTTACCTGAGAGCTGGATTGAGCACCTTGATTGGTGCGGCGGGATGAGAGTTGGCCCTGTAATTTTTCAATTGCAAGGTCCTTGGCCTGTAACTGATTTTTCAATTCTCCATTTTCCTTTTCCAAAAGGTCCAGGCGAGCAAGGAGATTGTCATGTTGCTGTACTCGCTCGGTGAGAGAGACCAGTTGTTGCTGTTGTTGTTGAACAGTTTGGATGAGCTGATTCAAATCCATAGATTGCTGATTATTGTTGAGCATGGCTGAAAATATTCTATCAAACTTTGGAGATTCAATAAAATATGAAAAAGATGTCCAACAAACTGGAAGTTATAACACAATGTACGTTGACTAAATGCAAGTAAACTGGTACAACTGAAGGCTAGTTGGAGTGTTTGTTGTCGAGATAAACCGCTTTTATAGTGAGGAAATACTTTTTACCGGGGGAAGGTGGCAAAAAGTGATGAAAAACGGAAAGAGATGGGGATGTAGCTCAGGCGAAAATGTATGTGTTTATTAAAAGCAAGAAGAAATTAATAAAGTAGGGGATGTAGCTCAGTTTAATATTGGTTTTTTATTTATTTACAAATGTAGTCAACTGCGGAATCGGTATGATCATATGTTGCAAGACTAACAGTGATTCGGCGGGAAAAAGCATGTTTAAATTAAAGGTTGAGGGGAGCTGCTAAAAGGGAGGGGACCAGTAAAGTAAACGGCATCAAAACCCACCAGAGAGGAGGAGAAACAGAGGGAGGAATAGCAATGGCCGCGCCGCAAGACGGGGGAGACGAACAGGACTCAAGGTAGAAACCGGCCAGACGCACCGCAGCACACCTAAACGTGCAAGCACAAATACCGAGTAACATGCCAGGTTAGAAAGGCGGAAAATATGGATGCGAAGGTGGGATTCGAACCCACGACCTCTCGGCATACTCACTGCTTCCGCATGAAGCTCTAACCAAGTGAGCCATTCAAGCATCCATGGGGATGTAGCTCAGTTTAACGTTGATTTTTATTATATACATGAATTCAATGGGCACTCGATGGGAGCATTAGCCTAGAATTCTAGAAACAAAAGAGTAGCAGGTACAAAAAACCCTTAAGGGGACACTAACTAAGAAAAAGGGAAAAAGGAAAGTGTGGTAGTGGCAAAGGAGCGGCATGAATACTGGTATTGTTGATTTGATCTGGAGGAATGACCAACGGATGGGAACTTTGATAATTACTTACCACCGTGGCATCGCACCGAGAAAACAAAACAACAAACGTTCATCAATGAAGAGACTATCTAGCAGAGAACCATAACAACCCTGAATCAAGATCAGCAGGGATGACAGCCAGCGGATGCACTAAACAATCAATGGCATGAAGCAGAGCAAGCAAAGCAGACCAATAAGATGGAGGACCATCAGAGGCTTTCACAGGTAAGCAATTAAGGGCATAGTCTATACGATGAATACCAGGAGGAGCCACAGGCAGAGCATCGAGAAGTGTTCGATCCAGAGCACGGCATGTCAGAAAGTGATTTCGAGATATAAAATCACCCATCACGCACGGACACTCTTCACGCATGTTTGTGAAACGTCCAAGACGCCAGCGAACAAGGCGACTTCGAGCAGATCGACCAATTGGTAGGTACAAAATGGGATCTGGACGAGATACAGAACGACGACAAGCACGGAGGAGGGTCTGGGTACCAGAAACAGCAGCAGCAGCAAGTTGATGATCTACTTGATCTTGCCAATACGAATCAAAGACTTCAGTAAGACCAGCAGTGGTGAATGGCGGCGGATCAGGTAGTGTCAGATACAACGGGTTTTGACAAATAAATCTGTCTAGACGAGTGTACAGTAATCCACGACGAAGCAGAACCAACAAGCAATCATCAGGGAGAGTATCAGCACGAAGAGCATAACGTGTTGCCAGGACATTATATCGATGCTTCATGCTGGGAATACAGGTCAAATGTTTGGCAACATTGTACCATGTACTACCAACAAACATACCAACCAATCGATTTTGCAGAGCATCAAGAGCCTTGAAGTCACGGAAAGAGAGATGCGATATTGCTAAGCCGTATTCCAGCTTGGGTCGAATAAAGCTTTTATACAAACGAGCACAAAGCAACAGAGAAAAACCATTTCGATTGACACCAACCGAATTCAACAATGCCATTGTCTTGATAGCACCAGAAGCACGCAGATTGAGAATCCCAGGGGCATACAGACCTTTATATCTAAACGGCATACCAAGATACGTGAATTCCTCTACCACAGGGGGATGTAGCTCAGTTTAACGTTGATTTTTATTATATACATGAATTCAATGGGCACTCGATGGGAGCATTAGCCTAGAATTCTAGAAACAAAAGAGTAGCAGGTACAAAAAACCCTTATGGGGACACTAACTAAGAAAAAGGGAAAAGGAAAGTGTGGTAGTGGCAAAGGAGCGGCATGAATACTGGTATTGTTGATTTGATCTGGAGGAATGACCAACGGATGGGAACTTTGATAATTACTTGCCACCGTGGCATCGCACCGAGAAAGCAAAAACAACAAACGTTCATCAATGAGCAGAAAACCAGAGCGATCCAGGATCTGGATCTGGTGGGATCACAGCCAGAGGATGCACAAGGCAATCAATGGCATGCAACAAAAGGAGCAAAGCAGACCAAAAGTACGGTGGACCAGCTGAAGCTTTGTCTGGAAGACAGTTCAGAGCATGATCAATGCGATGGATACCAGGTGGAGCAGGTGGCAAAGCATCAAAAAAGGTACGGTCCAGAGCGCGACATGTCAGAAAGTGATCTCGGGAGATAAACTCACCGGTAGTGCACGGACATTCTTCACGCATATTGGTGAAACGTCCAAGACGCCACCGCACAAGACGACTACGAGCAGATCGACCAATAGGCAGATACAGAATGGGATCTGGACGAGAGACAGACGGACGACAAGCACGGAGGAGGGTCTGGGTACCAGAAACAGCAGCAGCAGCAAGTTGATGATCTACTTGATCTTGCCAATACGAATCAAAGACTTCAGTAAGACCAGCAGTGGTGAATGGCGGCGGATCAGGTAGTGTCAGATACAACGGGTTTTGACAAATAAATCTGTCTAGACGAGTGTACAGTAATCCACGACGAAGCAGAACCAACAAGCAATCATCAGGGAGAGTATCAGCACGAAGAGCATAACGTGTTGCCAGGACATTATATCGATGCTTCATGCTGGGAATACAGGTCAAATGTTTGGCAACATTGTACCATGTACTACCAACAAACATACCAACCAATCGATTTTGCAGAGCATCAAGAGCCTTGAAGTCACGGAAAGAGAGATGCGATATTGCTAAGCCGTATTCCAGCTTGGGTCGAATAAAGCTTTTATACAAACGAGCACAAAGCAACAGAGAAAAACCATTTCGATTGACACCAACCGAATTCAACAATGCCATTGTCTTGATAGCACCAGAAGCACGCAGATTGAGAATCCCAGGGGCATACAGACCTTTATATCTAAACGGCATACCAAGATACGTGAATTCCTCTACCACAGGAAGAGGTTCACCGTATAGGGACAATGGATGACGAGTAGAGGCAGTGGGAGCACAAAGTACAGCACATTTTGATGGTTTCCATCTGTAGCCAAGAGAGAACGAGTGATCTGAAGCGACATCCAACATGGTTTGCACATCAGTACGAGAGCCAAATATGGCTACATCATCAGCAAAGAGCAGGCTATTCACGCAAACACTAGGCATCCCAGGTGGTGATACCATAGTACCGCGACTGACAGCAGAACGAAGAAGAGCAGGCAGAGAGTTGATGTACAAAGAGTACAAGTGAGGGCTGAGCACTGAACCCTGCAATACGCCAGTAGCAGGCGAAAAGGGAACAGAGGTGTGATTTGCAATCAACACAGACACGAGTACATCATCGAACATGTGGATGAGCAAACTGAGAACTGAACGAGGCAGAGAAGAACGAGAGAGAGCATCCCAAATCACTCGACGATCCACGGTATCATACGCTGATTTGATGTCCAGGAAAGCAACCACAGGATAGTGATGGTGGGTGAGGAAGTAGTCGTGCATCAAGTCATGTAAACAGAGGGCTTGATCCAGAGGACTACGCTGTGGGCGAAAACCACCTTGAGCAACATCAAGTGCAGGCGAATGTTCATCAAGAGCAGGCATCAGAGAGAATTCGAACAATTTACGCATCACCGAAGTAAGCGAAATTGGACGAAAGTTTGCAGGATCAGATACATCACCTTTCTTGTAAATGGGAAAGACTTGAGCATGTCGCCATAGAGCTGGTGTATACGACCACTGAGAGCAGAGTGTAAAGAGCAGAGACAATACGGGTGCAATGTCAGATGCTAGAGCCTTCAGCATTTCAGCTTTCAGATGATCAGGACCAGGAGCTTTCCCATTTGGCAAACGCTTAATGAGAGCGACAAGTATATCAGCATCAAACAGAGACAGATCAGTAGGCACAGCGTAAGGCAAATCAGAGTTGTTCACTTGGGGAGCAGTAGGGCGAGACGCATTATTCAACAAAGAGCCATCATAGACTGAGGCAAGATGGGACGCCATTGTGTTGACAGAGGCAGTTGGACCGTCTGGATGACTGTACGTTGCAGAGCATTCCTTGTTTCTTTTAATGCGCTTGATTGCAGCAGTGGCTTTCGAAAAGTCCTTTTCTAAATCAGAGCAAAACTGATTCCACGATCGACGCTTAGCAGCTTGTACAAGAGAACGAAAACGCCTGTGAGCAGCTTGATAGAGATTCCATGTTTCGACTTTGGCAAAACGACTTGCCCACCTCCATCTACTATACATAGTATCTCTTTCACGAGCAGCATCCTCAATTTCCTGTGTCCAGTACTTTTTCCAGTGGCCAGGACGACCAGATTTCACACCAATTGAGCTATCCAGAGATTCATACAAACATTGATTCAAAGAATCGTTGAGTGCATCAATATCTGGACAAACACCAGGAGGAGCAGACACCAAACCAGAGAGAGAACCAACCAAAGGAGCAACAGAAGATCGGAAGGATTCACGAAGCAAGCCCAAAGGCCGCTTTTTCCTCAATTTCGAGAGCTTCCATTGCCGTCTAGGGGCCAAACCACCAGAGTTACCAGAACCAAGAGTATCATCGGGAGGGGGCACATACTCGAAAGTAAGTACCATCAGCCGATGATCAGAGCCAAGAGACAAATCAGATTCAACCACCAGTTGAGGATGTAACAGAGCAGCCTCGCCAATGTTTGTGAGAAACAGATCAATGATGCTATGAACCTCTTGTTGACGTCGAAAGGTTGTGAATGTGGGTGTACCGAATGCTAAAGACTCATTGAGAATGGATAAAGAGGACTCCTCCAGCCATGGCAGTAGTGAGGTGCCACGAGGATTAGCATTAGTATCACCCAGTAGAGATCCAAAGCGAGCATTGAAATCACCACAAAGGATGGTATCACTGGTTACGGGTAACGAGCGAAGAAGCGAGAGCACCTTATCCGAGGATAAGGGTGGAGGCAGATACACACAATGAACCGTAAGGGTGCCAACCTTAAGGGACAAAGTGTGTGCATTGTAAGATGGAAGTTGAGAGACAGAGAAAGGACAGGAAGGAGAGACAAAGGCAGTAATGCCACCAGAACCACGGTTAAATGCACCAGGTACTTTAGAGCCATAGAGGTGGAATTGAGACCAGTTAGTAGGGAAAGAACCAGAGGTTAGCCAGGTTTCAGTGACAAGCAGTACATGAGTGTTCTGAACATGATGGAGAACATCATGTACCGTTGATTGACGTAGACCATTGGCATTCCAAAGGGAGAGAGAGACTTGAAAGGAGTGGACTGGGTTGTTATTGGGAGTATGACTAGTAGCTATGTTACTCATTAGAGTTCCATAGCAGAGCCATTGCTGTCATGATCGTCCTTTTGACGCTTGAATAAGAATTTAGCCTTTTTGGGCTCCTTCTCGGCAAGACGACCGATAGCTTCAGAGACGGCTATATCTAGCTCTTCTTGAGAGATCCAGCCAGCAGAGACAAAGTATTTGCCAACGCCACTAACGTTGAGTGGACGAAGGAAAGAGAGGGTTTGCAGAGCACGGGTGTTGGTGAATTCATAGATCAATTGCTCACGCTCTTCAATGGCAAGATCAGCATATTTGGGATCAGCAATGTTGTTGGGATCCAAGGGTTGGAAGTTTTCAATGTGATCAGCTTCACATTTGCGCATACAGGCAAGAAATTCCTCAACATATTGGATGTGGAGCAAGATGCCAATGACGCCAGTGGCAGGGAAACAGATGTCTAACACACGGCCAGTATCAATACCAGCTCGGCGAAGTTGGTAACGAACCTCAGAGCGCAGGATTTTACCAGAGCGGCCTAGATACACATACTGGTATCCTTGTTGACCTTTGGTGGTGGCGGTTTGGAACATACGACCTGCAGCAAGACGTCGCTTGGTAGTACGGGCAGGGTCACGATGTTGGGCACCTTTACGGGCAGCAGATGCGTAGCTACCTTGAGTAGCATCGGGTTGGTGAGTAGTAACAAGCTCTTGGGGTGGTGTTACCTGAGAGCTGGAAAGAGCACCTTGATTGGTGCGGCGGGATGAGAGTTGGCCCTGTAATTTTTCAATTGCAAGGTCCTTGGCCTGTAACTGATTTTTCAATTCTCCATTTTCCTTTTCCAAAAGGTCCAGGCGGGCAAGGAGATTGTCATGTTGCTGTACTCGCTCGGTAAGAGAGATCAGCTGTTGCTGTTGTTCTTGAACAGTTTGGATGAGCTGATTCAAATCCATAGATTGCTGATTATTGTTGAGCATGGCTGAAAATATTCTATCAAACTTTGGAGATTCAATAAAATATGAAAAAGATGTCCAACAAACTGGAAGTTATAACACAATGTACGTTGACTAAATGCAAGTAAACTGGTACAACTGAAGGCTAGTTGGAGTGTTTGTTGTCGAGATAAACCGCTTTTATAGTGAGGAAATACTTTTTACCGGGGGAAGGTGGCAAAAAGTGATGAAAAACGGAAAGAGATGGGGGGGATGTAGCTCAAATGGTAGAGCGCTCGCTTAGCATGCGAGAGGCACTGGGATCGACGCCCAGCTTCTCCACATTTTTTTTTTGAAATTTTCTCAATTTCATGAGACGTTTTACCTACCTCTCTTGTTGTGTTATTGTTGTGCCAGAAGGGCTACAACTGTCTATAAAGATTAAGGTATTCTTGATGGGTAGATATGTCTGTGTTGTGCAACAACATGGACAAGCTATTATAAGTGAAGTGCATCTCAGCTATCTAAATACTGAGGTTCACCAGATGTGATAAGCGTTGTACAAGATAAATTGCTACTTTGGCATTCAGAACAACTTAGTATAAATAGAATAACTCTTGTCTTCATCAATAAATCTTTAGTTTTTGTGTCTGATCTTATTCAAATAAGTCTTTTCTTGTTTTTGTAATATCGAACATTTTTTATAAGTTACAAATAATAATCCGTTTATTCTTTGTGCTTAACAGTTATTAACAGTGCAGTGAAATCAGGTTTAAATAGATTTCACAAAAAAAATAAAGCAAAGGTAAAATACAATAGAAATCAACTGTATTTTATTTTGTGTATAAAATGAACTGAAGATCCTGGAATTGAGTAAAAAAAAAGAAGAGTATTTATACATTTGCAACTAGCTTGTAGGATTAGTGATGATAGAGAGCAATAGGTGCTGCTATTGCGATATCTGGCAAATGTTGTTGATGTTTGATTTAAAGTGGTAGTCAATGCAGGAGCACTGGCCATAAGGGTCGATTTGAGTAACCTTGATGGGCTTGGGTGAGCTATCGTCATAGCATGATTTAATGTAACCTTGATGGTTTAAAGTGTGATGTTTGTTATTGAAGCATGGAATCCTTTATCTGGGATATTGTGCAACTATGGCAGCAGGGCATAGTTGTCATATTTGAATATGCTTGTTATTGATTTAATTCTATTTGGATAAAGATACCATCACCTATTACGACCATCATGGGTGTGATTGAATACACTGTGATCAGGAGTGATTCATTCACACGATGTGCGATATAAGCGTGTATCTTTACTTTAGTATTTTTAAATGGGTTTTTGATGTACATTTGAGCGCTTTCATTAATAGATCCAAATAGCATGAATTTGAATGAGTGCTATTTGATGAACTTTGGTTTTCAATTAAGTTGCGTTTGGGTGGCTATTTCATTACAAACAGGTAGAGATTAGGTCAGCCCTGTTGTATTCACACATATAACTGTTCCTGAATCATAATGTCGTAGATTGAATTGAGCAATAAACTATGCACATATGGAGCATATGTAAATAAGCTGTTCAACATGTAAACGATAATCATGATATTCACATAAGCTAAGTTTCGATAAGCTATTCTCTATATGTCAAAAGATAGCAGATAAGGAATGTAAGTAATTAACGTTGCCAAGAGCTACTAAAGATATTTAGACTGATCATCTATATCTGAAATAATTACCATTTAGCATAAGTGAGGATTGACACTAAAACTTAGCATGAGAACACCATTCTAGACGGGTGTGTAAGCAATCCATAAATCATACATATAAATAGCAGTAGACATTCACCCTTCCCTTTTCTCTCCATCTGATTTTACTGAAAATAAAAAGACATATCCATTCTCACGTATTTCAGACAGTTACAACAAGCCCAAATGGGCCGAGTAGAAATATATACTTTTATGCTTGTTCGCTTACTTTTTCCATACTTCTATATGACATTCATAAACTATAAGAGCTAAGCAATTATTTTATACCTTTTTTGAGATTATTTTTTAAGCAATACCATTGTTTACATTCAATTCAATATTAACAAAATTTTAAATTTCAAATTATATATTATGCCTCCAGCCAACACCAATCTCGATGTTAACGTACTTGTTTCTGTCAATAAACGTTTTATCAACAGGGCAGACGTAAAAAACTATTTTTGCAAGCAAAGCATGACTGGAACACACCTGGATTGTGCATTAAAGGGAAAACCGTTGGCCGTTCAACAGTCAATGAAAAGGTCAGTACCATGTTATTTTTTTTTGGATGAAGTACCTGGTATCACATTGTCCCTTTCCCGCGGTTGCCTCAGATACATTCGACGACTTGCGTCTAGCACTTCCAGCAGCGCCAGCACTCAAAGCATCCCTGATATGGCAACAACCGAGGATATGATAGAAGATGCTATCGAAGGGGACAACGAAGAGGAAGAAGGAATTGATTTGACTTCTGGCGGGTGGACCGAAGGTCAAGTATTTGTCAACAGTCGTTTACGACAATCTGGCTCTGACTTTTGCTCCAAGTCCACACTAAGCATGAACTATGCATCAGTTTCTTCCCCTTTGGACTATCTCTTGTTCTTTTTGCCTTTAGATCACTTTCATTTGATCATAGGAAACACTAATGTTCATGCAAGAAATATGCTTGATTCTTGGACTGATATCACTTTTGCCGAGTATTTGATGTGGATTGCTCTGTTGACCGTTATGACAGTGGTCAAGCATGGTGAACTCAAAGCTTACTGGAAGCAAGGATCTAGCCACTTTACTATGACAATAGATTTCAGCGAATATACATATGCCATTCAAAAGATTCAACGATATCATGAGAATGCGTGTTTTTGAAGTTCCCGGCAAAGAAAACCAGCTAATCGACCCACTTTATCAAATCCGATCTACGATTAGCGCTTTTAACTGCCATATGCCCATGTGCATCTCACCAGGGAAATATTTGGTGATAGATGAATCAATGAATCAATGGCTTGGTATAGGTATGCCAAATATAAAGAAGGTCCCTGGAAAGCCTCATCCTATTGGCCAAGAATTCAAAACGCTGGCTGATTGCCATACGAGCTGCATCCTCAGAATGGACACAGTCAGCGACCCAGTATCCAAGGAGTTTGACGATGAGCCTGGCATGAAGAAGTTGACCGCCACCGTTAATAAGCGTTCGGTGCAGCCCTGGTCTGGTAGTGGAAGAACGGTAATTGCTGACTCTTGGTTTGGGTCTTCAGATATGGTCAAAATGCTTTCAAACTTGGCTTGTTCTCTATCATGCAAGTGTGCCAGCGCTGCTACTGGCCTCGTGGAATGCCTCAAACAGACATTGTGGAAAAGGTTGAAGAAGCCTATGGTAGCTGCTACACCATGAGCAACTGTCTAGGTAATGGCAGTAGTCTATTCACTTGTGCCTATCGCGATCAAAAAGTCAAAGCGTTTGTCTCATCATGTAGCACAACAATACTTACTGGCAGCAAGAAGGTGCTCGAAGGAACTCACGGTAGAATAATTGCTATTCAAAGGCCCAAGGTTGCAGAGGAATACGAGACACACAAAAGTAAGTAGATAGTAGCAGTATATAGAGGCATGCAAATTTACATTTTAATTTTAGGCTCTGTCGATGCTGCAAATAATTTGAGAGATAATATGGCCTCGTATCACGATATCATCTCAACTGAGAGATGGGAAATGCGTTTTTTTGGCTTTTTCTTGGGAATATGCGAAGCAAATGCCTTTAGTTCATTTCGGGTCTTTGCCAATGATGGAAAAAAGGGCATATCACATGCTTTTTTCAAGGATATATTGGCATGGAATATGCTGAATCACTGCCAAAAGCTGACTAATAGCGACGCCGAAGAAGCAGAAGAAAGTTGAAGACCACTCAGAAGATGCATGACTCATACGCTTGTGTCAATGAGTCGAAATAATGGAAGCAAGCGTGTTCGATTAGCTTGTAAGACTTGCCGCATGTCAGGTAACAGTGGCACCAGAGTCGAGAAATCGTGCAGCTGCAACCCCGACACACCAATTTGTGAGGCTTGCCATGAATAACATTTGCATGATATTTAGAAGCTCCAAGCACAACTAAATAATTCACTACGGCCCAACTGATGTTCTCATGAGAACATCGATGTGCTCGTATGATAATCTATTTGATATTCTCAAATGAGCACATCGATGTTCCCGAAAGGTGAAAAATGCTCTCATATGGGAACATCGGCGTTCCTAAAGATCTATTATAAGTCGGCCGTTGTTCTTATGAGAACATCCGAAATGTTCCCATGTGAGCAAATCCATATTCTTATATGAGCACATCGATTTTCAGAAATTTGAAAAAAAAGAATGCTCCTAACGGGGTCGAATATCTTAATGAAATATATTCTTTTACTTTAATAAGTAGTTATTAGGTAATTATAAATTGCCATTTTCTCGTGCAATTTATAATACGTTTAGTAATTTTATGAACCTTACAGATAATAAAAGTCTCTCTGTTGCCTACAATATTATAGTTTAGCTATTAAAATCATTTTATTCTTGTGGAAAACTACACCTTCTCAAATGAGAACATTAGTTGGGCCGTAGTGATTATTTATAGTTGTTGAAATGCTTCTCTAACTTTTTTTAATAAAGTCGCTTAAAATTGTACACAAGTTATTGTTGGTAAAAGAATCGGCCCAAATTAGCCGATTGGTTTTTATTCAAAACTACCCTCAGTAAAATGATGACCATAAAGTCAGTTTTTGACTTTTTTCAAGAAAAACAAAACGTACTGTATGCAGAAAGGTTTAGAGCTTAGCTAGTTAAATTTAACTTTTAATGAGAGCAATATTCATAGATGAAGCAGTTTCTAACGAATCGGCCCAAATGGGCCGATTTGGGTAATCTGTACTTGTTAATAAAACAATAATTTTCCTTAAAAAAAAAAAAAAACTCAATGCCCTTTCCATCATGAAGGCAATACAGTAATAGATGCTTTTAAAACGTATAGAAAGTATGTGGCACTTTACACAACGCTATCTTTAGCCATGCTACTTTCTTTTGAAGCCTTGCAATAATACAGTCAGTCCATGTTGCATACAAGCATGCATCTTAGGCTACATTCACTTTCTCCTCAAGCCACCTTTTACAGTGTAGCAGCATAGATGATGTTTATCGTATCACGTCACATCTATGTTTACAAGTCCAGTCAATTGTGTGTGCACAGGTGCCTCAGGAACTACAATACATTCAATCTCCCCAATGTCAAGATATCGAGATCCACCTACACTACATGAAACATATCAACTTAGGTGGCCTCTCAACAAGCTATACCAACAATCCATAAGGCCCCAGTGGCCTGCTATTTATATACCATCTCAACGTAGTAGTCATTGACCAGGGATCTACCATATTTAAGCAAGCTAGATGCCCTGTAATAAAGAAGCTCTTTGCTTTCGTTTTAGATACAGTTGACAACTGATTATTATCATCGACTTATTATTACGAATTCATCAGTCCACAGAAATACCTGCTACATCAACTTCTTTCCTTTTTGAGTCTTTGAAAGTGTCTAGTAGGGACCATAAATTTATTACGTTACGATGAGCATTTCGACTCTTCGATTGGGTTTCATGGCCTACGCTTCGCTTTGGTGGAAACCAACCTACGTTCAAGTGGCTCGCGCTACCGCAAACCTTTGGCTAATATTGCAAAATTAATAATAATAGCTAAAATGTTAGAAGAAACTTGCTTGTTGATTGATACTGATTTAATATAAAATCTTTGATTATATATGAGCCATACCTGACAAATGCCTGACAACTTGGTTTACGTATTAGGGTTGTAAAAGTGTCTATGGACTGAAAATTTATTATAATATGACATTTATTGCTCCTACATTTTGAAAAGCTTCAAAAAGGAAAGAAGTTGATGTAGCAGGTATTTCTGTGGACTGACTTTATTATTGCAAGGCTTCAAAAGAAAGTAGCATGGCTAAAGATAGCGTTGTGTAAAGTGCCACATACTTTCTATACGTTTTAAAAGCATCTATTACTGTATTGCCTTCATGATGGAAAGAACATTGGTTTTTTTTTTTTTTTTTTTTTTTTTTTTTTTTTATTGTAACCGTAGTGGATATACTTTTATTTTTACTAAACGATTGGCCTAATATTTACAAGACCCCTACGTAACGTTATGTAAAGCAAAGTGTATCTGAATTGAGAAAGAGGCGGAGAAGCCAATCGAGTGGTCTCGATGATTGAAGAATTTTATCTGGAGTTCCTCTGAAGAGTGTGCAATTGGGAAAGATTTCGTCGACCAGAGAGGGCAGTGTCCAGAGCAGGGCACTTGATGCTGCTGCTAATTTTTGTCATACTTGTAACACCTGATAAACAACTAAACACCAAAATGGGACTACAGTATCACACACTGCATACCAAAATTCTTGCTTCCATCGAGATTTGAACTGGTGACCTTACGTTTGGCAAACGCACTTTCTACCACTATGCCCAACCACCAAGGGCAAGAATATTGAGTTTACCAGCCGACCCCACCAGCCGCCGCCAAAATTAATTGTAATACCGACTTTCATTCTACCCCAGATTGGCCAAATTTTGATAGTTTTTCTACTTGATTCAACTATTTTGTATGATCCGACTATATGAAGTGTGATAATCATCCCATGCTTCCTAATACATTACTCATGGCTCTTTCCAGTAAAAAACAGAAAAAGACTGGTACACCAGTACCTGGTCAAAAAAGTTATGCTGCCGCAGTCAGACCTCGCATTACTACCACCCCACACTCTCTCATGCATGGAGAGGTTGTTCCTGTACGCAATGGTACACCTACCAACCCTACAACCCCTTCAACCAACCGCAAAATCAAAACTCGAATTTGGCGAAACGCTCGTACCAGCGTTGGATACTTTCTAGACATATCCAAGGTCGCTACTATGACTGAACAACAACATTTGAAGATCATTGATCAGCAATATAAGGCTTCCAACTTCCCTGGTATCAAGTTTTTGGGTAGAAACGCTCAACGATACATCGAAGTCTATCCCAATAAGGATATCGTCGAGCGATTCCTCACCGAAGGTGTCATATACGAAACCGAGAACTCCAAGATTCAACTCTTCCCTTGCAAAGCTGTGGATGGAGAAGGTAAATTGATCCAGATTACTCTAACGGACATCCCCTTCCTACCTCAAGAACAATTATCACAAGAACTATCCACGGCCATAGGGGCCTTTGGAAAATTTTTAGATATTGGGCTCAATTATGAACAGTCCATGGGTTGGTTTATGGGCTCCGGCTATGCGATTATCCAGCAGCAATCAAATGTCAAGTACCCTACACTACACCATAGCATTACTTGGCAGACAGCCACTCAGGAGGAGGAATTCTGTCATGCAAATTTCCCTGACATGGCTGCCTGGTGTCGCAACTGCCATGAAGAGGGCCACACCAAGTTTGAATGCCCCAAGGCAATGGCCCGCATCATATGTTACAACTGTGATAAAGCTGGACACCGTCAGGATACATGTACGAAACCTAGGAAAGGATCCTCGGATCGTGAATTTAAGAAGGCTCGCAAGATCCCATCTAACACACCCTCTGTCGAAGCCAACAAATCCCAATGGGCCCCCAGTAATATTAGGAACTCAAATGTGGGCAAGGAGCAAACTCAAGGGCAACAACAACAGCAAGATCAGGAACCAAAGCAAGATCTTAAGGCTAATGCTATGCAACCTATTAACTTATCGCAAGCAACTCAGTCTGGAGATTTGCCAGACAAGCAGGGCGAATCCGCAGATGAGGACAGCACTAGTCAGGTTACTCCAACGTCTACCGATGAAGAGGACGATGAGGATTATCAGCCTTCCACAAGTAATTCAGAGGATGAATCAGACAGCGAGGCAGAGCGTACAACGGAGGAGATGAGTGATGTGGAAACGAATGGAGATGAAACAACTACTCTCATGAGCGACCAACAGCAAACACTATCTCCATTTAGCATGAAATCCGTCAACGGTGATAGCAACACCAACACCCAGACAGCTTCTCCCGAAAATCATAACGATTCTACGGTTCGCCACCAGAATTTGTTATAATTATGACGAAGAACATCTATTCCAAATACGCTTCACTAAACTCCAACAGTCTGGTGAAAGCAGGCCATCCACAAACACAATCATCATACCTCCGCCACATTCGACTTCAACAGTTCAACATAATATCACTCCAAGAAACTCACGCTACTGATACTACTATTACTTCAATTGAATTACAATTACAAGCTCAACAATACTTATGGACATACTACTGCGGTATTGTCTCTTATTCTTCAGATTATATACTGACCAAGATTGCTACTAGTCACCTATATGAATCTGATAGATACATTTTTTGCAAGGTTCATCACCCTCACAGCTTTTATGAACCTTTTTACATTTTAAATTTATATGCGCCTGCAACCTCTGACCACCGCCCTCGACAGGAGTTCTTCGAATCTATATACACCTTGCTCTCGACGCTCTCCGAGACCATTGACCTCGAACGACTACTGATATCAGGGGATTTCAATTATGATTATGCACGGGACATCAACAATGCCTCTCGTATCTCGAGGACATCGTTAAACTGGTTGGGCTATTTAGATCAGCACTTCCACAACTGCATGACCCTCAATGACATGGACACGGTGCCAACTTATCAACATGCCTTTTCCACAATCGACTACGTATATGCTGGACATGCGCTACGACACTTGCTGAGCGATGCGAACGTTGGATTTATTCCCCTCTCTTGGTCGGATCATGCCATTCTTGAAATTACTCTCAAGCTTGGAAAATCCAAACTGGGCCCAGGACTGTGGAGGGGCAATCCCTGTTACGCAAACAACCCAACATTTCGGAAACAACTTGAAGAGACAATTAACGCCACCATGGATACAATGGAGGTGAACATGACACCGCAAGATCAGTAGGAACACATCAAACGGATAACTAAAAAGGCTATCCAAAAGTTTGGGGTGAAACACGTGAACCGGCGTAGGATGAGTATCAAGCATTTGGAACGCAAACGGAATCGACTATTGAGATCCAAGCCTCCCATTGCTATTCTCCGCATACTACTACCGCGAATTGACTCAATGCTTCAAATCTTACAACAGGAACTGGTAGATATTGCTGCTCTTAAGGCTGGGGATATCTGGCGTGAAAAAGGGGAGAAATCTGCCGGTTATTTGAAGCGATTACACCAAAAGCGAACATCTCAACAATATATGGCGTCAATTCAAGCACCTGATTCTTGTAGAGACCTCGCAAATAGGGGAGCAAGTATTATGATTACTACAGAGGTGGTAAATAGTGCCGTGGTTAATGGTGACCCTTATATGGGTGTGACTCCAAGGGACTTTGGTGGTGCTGGTGCTACTGAAGACAGCCTTGTGGAGCAAGATGAAACGAGGCTTCCTATTGATGGATTTGGTGCTGAACCAACAGACGATGCTGCTGACACGCATGATGGTGCTGCCCAGGCTGGTAACAGCTCTCCTGGATCTCAGGCCAAATTGAAGACATGAAATCGTTCGCATGGCAATACTATGCAGATTTATACAAAGCTGACCCTGTGGCGCCTGAACACATTGAAGCCTACTTAAACTCAATAACCTTTGAGAAAGTTTTGACCGCCGATGAACAGCAATCCTTGACAGATAATATTACAATGGATGAGCTACTGCAACAAGCGAATCGCTCAATGAAGGCAACCGCTCCTGGTAGTGATGGCCTGGCATATCCTTTTCTGTCGCTTTTATTCAGTATGGCCCGTTTGGAAAAACTTGTCTTGCAGGTATACAAGGATGCTCTCAATGGTATCTTTCCCTCCTCCTGGCATGATCTGCGTATTCGTCTTTTACCAAAGAAAGGATTGCTTGCACTCCTTAAAAATTGGCGCCCAATCTGTCTTTTAGGATGTGATGGCAAAGTCTTTACCAGACTTCTTGCCCACCGCATGGCTCCTATCCTTGGTCGTATTATCAATCCGTTTCAATCTGGGTTCCTTCAACAACGCTTCATCTGTGACAATGGCATGGCTTTATCGATGGTCTTGGAAGAGGCTCGCGCCTTCAACCACACTGGTGCTGGTATCCTGTTGGACCAAGAGAAAGCCTACGATCGAGTGAATGCTGACTATCTGTGTGCTGTTCTTCTCCGGCTTGGGTTTCCAGCCAGTTTCGTGTCCTGCGTCAGACTCTTGTTCTTGGCAATGATATGTACATCAACATCAATGGGTACTTCACTCCCGCTGTCAAACAGGAACGGGGTATCCGTCAGGGTGATCCCCTGTCACCGCTGCTCTTTGATGTGGCCCTTGAACCATTCCTTCTTTCCATATTGCAGGATCCCTACTTCCATGGCTTCCATGTGAGTAATGGTACATCTGCCGAGGTGGCTCCTCGTGCGTCGCCGGCGATCAAATGCCTTGCGTACGCGGATGATGTCTGTGTCCTCCTTCGCGATGAATTAGATATGTATCGTCTCCAGCAAAATATGGCCAACTATGCCGCCGTGTCCAATGCCAAGTTCAACGAAGACAAATCGGAGGCCTTTTCGCTGTCTGGTCGTCGGTCGCTGGCATGGGTGAGGGCCTTCGAAGAAATCAACGTTCACACCTACCACCACCATGGCTCCACTGCGGCTTTTCGGTACTTGGGTCTGTATTTTGCATACAACCAAGCGCAACGGGCCCAAACGGAAGAAATGCTGCTCAACTCTGTTCAAACTCAATGTGCCATCTACAGTCAACGCCAATTGTCTATCATGGGTCGCGTTACCATTACCAACAGTCTGATTCTATCCAAGGTATGGTACAGCCTTCGAATGCTCAGGCCGACCAAAAGGTTCTTAGAGAAGGTCAAGTCGTGTGTCTACCAGTTTGTCTGGAAAAAGAAGCGGCCGTCAATACGCAAGGATCTCATCTTCCTGCCTAAATCTAGGGGTGGTCTTGCCGTTCTCGACCCTTCTCTCCAACAGCTTATATTCCAAAAACGCTGGCTCAATTATCTCGTCGAACCGCAGAAGTATCCGTCTTTCCTGCTACCTTTCTTGATCTCACATCTGTCACTGCTCCCAGGGTCCTCAGACTTCCCCTACATGGCTTTCCTCAATGCTGAATGCCGCAAGTCCTCTCTGCTACATAAGGATCTTTCCATTTGGCATTCCATCTTCGCATCGTATGATTACTTCGAGTTCCCTGACCTTCGCCAGGTTGAGGTCATTCCACTCCAGACCATCATGCGATTGCCTCTGCACAAACTCCTCACTGGGCTTAACGATAATCACTGGCTCAAACGTCACCCCAAGTTCCTGCTCTTCGATAGCCATCAACAACGGTTACGTCTGAATATCCTGTCTACCGGCATCTTTGTGCCTCCCTGTACCAAGGAATCCTAGTACTCAAAACAGTTCATCTGGTTCCTGGTGTCTGGCCCCACATCCTGCACCCCCCCTCCCACTCCAGCTTAGACTGGACAAACTTTGACTTCTTTGGTACTCTGGGCATCACCGATAAGTGGAAGCTGTATCACCCCAGCACATATCGCCAACAGCAACAACCGCTGATCCCATCAGAACATCGGTTTACCAATGTCATGGTCAAAGCACTGTGGTCCTCCCCTGCCCACCCTGCTGCCAGAACGGTTCTTTGTCGGGCACTGGCGCGATGCATCCCACATAAGACCTATCTGCGCACCATTGGCTCTGTGGAAACCCCCATCTGTCCCTTTTGTGCCCAAGGCATTGATACATTGAGGCATTTTATTGTCGACTGTCCTGTCAAATGGCAACTATGGCAAACCGCCCTGTCTCAGTACTACTCCAACTTTCCTCTGACATCTGAAATCATCTATGGCACAGTGCGTTATTTGCATCTCCCTCACTTTATCAAAGATCGATCCAAGTATATTGCCGTCATTTCTACCATTTTCTGGCAGATGTGGAATCTTTACTGGCTCCACGGTAGCCAAAATCCTTCACCCCTCTCCTCTGCCTCAATTGAGCGCTTTCCTTCCAGGACAGTTTGTCTTATTGACAAACTGCTTCCGACCAACTCATAATCGTTTATTAGATAGTCAGTTCGTTGTTCGAGGTCCACCACTCCGCGATGTGTCCCTCAAAAATAATATTTGAATAAAATAAAATATTAACTACAAAAAAAAAAAAAAAAAGCTTTCTAATACGTCCCTGGTGGTAGGGCGAAGTGGTAGAACTCCCGTATGCCAACGGGAGGATCCCCGGTTCAAGTCCTGGTGAACGCAAGTTGTCTGATTTTTTGACGTAGTACTGATGTCCTCATTTGGTGTTTTGTATTCTTATCCATTATTTATTTTTGACGATTTCCGCAAGATTGCATTGGCTCTAGGTTTCGCACCTTATTAGTAGTAGATTTCTTTCCCAACTTAGTTCAAAATTTCTTATTCCCCTTCATTGCAGACATTGGGTCCACCAACAGTCTTTTCTATCCCTCAGTATGACATTTAAAGGACTTTAAATAAAACCTGGAGCTCGACTCCCCTACAAAAAAAAAAAAAAAAAATTACAGCCTTAAGCTATCTAGGAGAAGTTTTCAAGGCGCATCCAATGATGCTAGTTATAATGAATGTTCTTAATGAACTTGTTGAGCAATTCATGAAATTATGAAATAACGTTTTTGGCGAAAATGTCGAGATTTTACATATGAAGGTCCCACAAACATGGCTTCAGGGGCTGCCCTGAATCGAGAGAAACATTTTGGATTAATAATATATACCATAGCAAAAGTCTACATTATCAAGATCAAAAACGTGATCGTTTGATTTTTGATGAAAGCCATGAGGGGTACCTCATGCTACACTTGCTTTTCCTCTGCTACAGTAAGGTATCCATCTGGAAAGCTATCATCTTTGAATTCCTGTGGCCAACCGTTTCGATTGGTGATGTTATCCAAGCCTGTTCCTCTCTTGACTTTGAAAACATCAAATATGTCTCCAAATCGTACACCACTGCTCACATGGTCGCACTAGCAACACTTGGCAACATTTGGCGAGCTCAAGTTCGTATGATCTTTCACTCGACTCCATTTATATGGATCGATGTGGTCCAGCAGATCAAGAACGAGCTCCTTCAACTACATGCCCAAACTGAAATTCACAAGCAATTGTAATTCTCTAACCACAATTGTCATCTATCATCTGTTCCTGTCATCTATCGCTTTATCCTAAATATAATTGAATATCATATCAATTGCGCCCGCCCCTTGGTAGTGCCCTAGGGACCTACTTACACGGAGCAATCAATAAAAACAATTTTTTTTAAAAAAAAAGTACCTCATGCTTTTTGGTCGAATTTTGGCCATGTTTTTTTTGATCCCCAAAAAGTTGAGCAAAGGTATCTGAAAGTAATTGCCAGATGAGAGCAACTGTTTGGTGCTATTCTGGCGGTTTTAAGCGGCTTCCAGCACAAGAAATTGTTGCTCAAATTCACCCATTTCTTGCTGTGCTTTGCATTCTGTCGAATGCCAAGAGGCAATTCAGGTATAATGTATGCCTTGATCACTTGTTGAGTAGTGAAATTTGAAGAAATCAATGTATTGGGATGCCAGAACCAAGATACTTCCATCAAGCATAAACCATCGCTAGACTGTGAATAACCTTTATGCAGAAAAATCAGCGGCTGGTTCTGTCAAGTAGCGCTTACGGTATCCAAAACCGTCTCAGATGCATATGATACTAGCATTTAATACAATCATAGATACCGTAGATACTGTAGCAAAAGTCATATCTCTATCAAAGCTTTAAGATATTTTTGGCTATTTCTATATTAAACTACGGGTTGAGCGAACGTAGGTCATTGTATAATTACATGTGTGTATATTGTCCCTCACACTACTAGTGCTTTTGCAACGACTAAATATTTTGCTCTAGAAACTTCTTGAAGTTTGGAATACTTTGTATCCATAGCAATCCAACAATTTGTATATTAGTACATAAACTCTCAAGTGCATTGTCCAATAATATGTGTTTATCTCTAATAACATGAGGCATGAAGCTTGCGCAAGACTGCGTGTGTACAATGACTAAATAGCCATCTCTTCCGAGAGGAGAGTTGTATTGCCTACAATGATAGCGGTACTCTGTATGACATCAAACCTAACAATGCTTCGAAATGGCCATAGTCAGACTTTCTCCATTCATCTTCAACCACAGCTTCACGATTCAAGAACATTTATATCAGTGGCACTTATGATATCAGTTGCTTCAAACGGCTTTCTGTTTATACATTGGTTTTAATAGAGAATGTAATAAAAAGACGATGATATAGTAGGCAATGCAAAACTCTTTTTATTATTAATTTGCTTGTAGCTTTATAGAAAACGATGATAATGTATGAGAGTTTGTTTAGATTTGAATAGATGCTAGCTAACTTGAATATAATTTGATTTAACTTGTATAGGTAAGAGATAGTATTGATGTGTGTATTGCAAGGTTTCGTGTATAGAATAGAGACAGCAGATGTGGCAGTATGGCTTGACTTTATATATACTAGGCAGCATGAGTCTTGACATTATAATAGATGGCAGGCAGCAGAGATACCAGTATGGCTTGACTTTGTATATACTAGGCAGCATGAGTCTTGACATTATAATAGATGGCAGGCAGCAGAGATACCAGTATGGCTTGACTTTGTATATACTAGGCAGCATGAGTCTTGACACTATAATAGATGGCAGGCAGCAGAGATACGAGCATGGCTTGGTCTTGTATAGATGTAGAGATGGCACCGTGTATTAAAATGGTTTTGACATTGCAGCAAATAGATCTACAGTATATTGCGGGACATTGGATTATTACAAAGGATACTTACCCTGTAGCATACTTGATGGACGATGAAAAGAGCAGCTTGAAACACGAGGAGACCAAAAGATGAAGCCAGGCTTCCAGGGCAAACCATCCGCCACAACTTGCATATCCCTAGCAACAAGGATGGGAAGACACCTCCCGGGAAACGCACCTAGCGCCTCGTCGCATCACCCTTACGAGCTACCGGGGCAGCAGGTGCTGAGGCCACACGAGACAACCACCTTACGCGCATGACCCCTAGACCCCATCCAAGGCTTCAACCAAGTATGGAGTGCTTGCGAGTCAAAATAGAGAGGACCTGAGCTCTATTAATAGAGAGATAGTGAGTCATGCTGCTTTATAAGCTAGAAGTGACGAGTACATACCTGCAGAGTTGATTGTATGTTGCTATTATCTAAAAATACGAGGAAAGTGCGACCATGTTTTGCATGGACGGCAACCTAAGAGAACCATGGAATTATGAGAGCATTGTGTAAGAAAAAGCCAATCATCAGTAGAGTGTTTGATTTACTTGACCATGTATAGAGCAGAAAGAGAGCCCAAGAGTGTTGCAGAGAGAGTTCGCTTGCAGAGAGATTTGTTAATAGAGAGTAGAGATGAGATGAAGAAGAAGAAGGAAAAGCTGTTGAAACAAACCTCTATTTATATCCTTCTCATCGACTTTTGTGTGAGTCCAGTATCCTTGCCACACTCAAATTCGTTTCCTTTTACTTTTCTCCACGATATACTACTCTGAGCGCGTGAAAATAGTACCATTTTGACGCTTGACACTTGCTCTATTTGATCCGCTTCGTCCGAGGCTTTCAACTATTTTCTGTCTCGAGTTATGTCCATTTTGCTACTTCAAAAAGCCTTTTTTCCACCTTCACATGAAACGAGTTCCCCCATCTCTTCCTAGATGTAATTAACAGACAACTTCTCACGGGCTCAGCCTCATCAAAAAGTAAACAAAAAATGTCATTTGACACTGAAACAAATGCAGCTGGTTGCTTGATTAAGTAATCTTTCTCTACCTCCCCTTAATTTCTCTCTCTAAAATTACAGTTCTCGATCCATCTCTCTTTTTGTTTACATCAGTCATAAACTGTCCATCTAATCGGACAATACGAGTGTTAAGGCTGGCTTACTTGTCGTTTACATCACATCGGAGCCAGTGGTGCAATTGATTCTGGACCAAGAAACAAGTGTACACCTCGGAAAACAAGCGTGCCATATGAATATTACTGCGGCAATCTCCATGGAATGGAACATAATGGATTGTTTTCGAACCAGTGCAAGTCATCTTGTTTCCAGCTATCATGGTTGCTGTCAATGATGTCAATCAAGTGTTTGCGCTACTAGATATAATCAATATGCCCACATTTACATAGTGAGTTGGTCATTCTCGTGTATCATTCCTGCAACCTGTTTTTAGTTCTTATGCCAAGAGCATGCATCTCATAAAGAGTCAACACATTTCATATCATTTTTTTAGGAATCGTTCTCTTTTAGAAGGTACTCGGATCATGCAAGATCAAAATAATTCATTTGCTAAGCAAAATTGAGCTTTAAAAAAATCACATGTAAAGTAAACAAAAGGACATGAATTGAAGAGAGATAAGCAAGTAAATGGCCAATTTGTGGTCAAAGAGAGGATATTTTATTAGAAGGTATGTACATCATTAGAAAGCAAATCGCTTGAGGAATCCAATGGTACTATTTTCAGGGTTCTAAGTCAAGTACACATCGCGAAATTCATCAAACAAGGCCGTGGGATTTCCAAAAGAAGGAGGTTTCTGAATTAAACTTCACCTGCAATATCATTTTTGTCTGTGTGCTATTCTGTTGCTTTGGATCATGTCACGCCCGTCCCATGTCACCAACCTGTTCTTTTTGGGTCTCACGTTGGGTACGCTATCCATTTGAGAAGGAGTCTCGCTTTCTCGTATAATCGTTTCTGTGGGTATCATTGCCGTTATATTATAGGGTTTTGAGCAATCAAGGAGAGTCTTCTTTTAGCCAGCCAAAACGGATTACAATCCCGCTCGACTTTCTGTCACGATTCGTTGATTTTTGATCCTTTTGCGACTCGATCGACTTATTTTACGAGATTCGACTATGAAAGTTGTAGTGATCATCCTTTACAGCCTTAAGCTGTCCCTGGTGGTAGGGCGAAGTGGTAGAACTCCCGTATGCCAACGGGAGGATCCCCGGTTCAAGTCCTGGTGAACGCAAGTTGTCTGATTTTTTGACGTAGTACTGATGTCCTCATTTGGTGTTTTGTATTCTTATCCATTATTTATTTTTGACGATTTCCGCAAGATTGCATTGGCTCTAGGTTTCGCACCTTATTAGTAGTAGATTTCTTTCCCAACTTAGTTCAAAATTTCTTATTCCCCTTCATTGCAGACATTGGGTCCACCAACAGTCTTTTCTATCCCTCAGTACACTATTTTCAGAAATTATTGGGACATTTTTAAAAAAAATTGGTACTAATTCTGAATAAATATTGGGTCAATTTATAATTAAATTTGGGACAAATCTTGAACTATTTTGGAACACTTGCCTAATTAATATTGGGACACTTTTCGAAATTATAATGAGACAAAACTAAATGGGATTTGAGATGAAATCATAGTCGCTTTCTTCGTTATTCATAACATGTCAGATATCAGAATTTACTACGAAGACGGAATAAATGCTCCAGTCGATGGGCATGGAAACGAAGCTGTTGAGATGGATGTAGACAACGAAGCCTTCCCTCTCGGTAACATTACCAACTACAATACTTATGTTGATAGGAAGCCACCTGAAAGAGAATTGACCGTACTAAAAGAGAAAAAGATTAAAAATAAGAAAAATGTGCCCAAGACTGAATATAACAGCTACACAGACAAAGACAAGGCAAGATTTTTTATCCTTATCTACGACCATGGCATGAATCCTAATCAAGCTTGGAAAGCGCACGGCCATATATCAAGAACAACCGCTTACAGATGGTACGCAGAGGATCAAAAAAAGGTTAACAAAGAAATTGAGGACGATGAAGAGCCAGTTAAGAGAGCAGGTCGACCAAAGATTTTGAACGAAGACCATACGAAGCACCTAAAACTAGAATTTGAAGATAATCCATCAGTAACAATCGAACAAGCTCATGAGAGTCTTGTTAGGGCTTTCTCGGGTTTGACTATCAGCCAAACGACTATTTACAACTACATGACCAATGATCTTGCCTTGACTTTCAAGAAAGCTCATTTCCATTCCAAAGAAAGAAACTCGCCTGAAAACATTCAAAACCGGTACGACTGGGTAGTCAAATGGAGCCAAACCGACATGGATTACATGTCCAACTGTGTTTTCATTGATGAGTCAGCTTTCCATATTAACTTGAAGCGAACAATGGCTTGGTCAGAGAAAGGAACTCGAGCTGAAGTGCCTGTACCTCAAACAAGAGCGAAAACTACCACTATTATTGGCGCAACTAGCGTATGGGGAGTGTTGAATGTTCAAGTGAGGTTGCCTGGAACATCCAACAAGAAAAGAAAGTTAGCTGGCACTTCTTCTGGAAAAGCAACAACAACTGTGGGTACTGTAACTGGCCACTACTTTAACTTTATTGCGAAAACGATTGATATCATGGACCAGCATGAGCAATTCAAAGATTTTTATCTTGTTATGGACAATGCACCCATCCATACAGCCAAGGATATTGAGAGGTATATCATTCAGCGAGGTTACAGATGTGTTTACCTCCCACCATACTCCCCTGAGCTTAATCCTATTGAGCAATTCTGGCATGTGGTCAAGAGTAAACTCAAGAGGGAGAGGCTCTTAAAAACTGAAACACTTTCGACCAGGATTACCGATGCATGCAATGATGTATTGTACAGTGATCTTGAAGGTTCTGCTCGCTACTCTGTTAAGAAATTCGATGTTTGTTTGGCGAAAGAGCCATTGTAATAAATGAATTTTACTTTCTCTGAAAATGTCTCAATGTTTTTTTTATATGTGTCCCAATATTAATTAGGCAAGTGTTCCAAAATAGTTCAAGATTTGTCCCAAATTTAATTATAAATTGACCCAATATTTATTCAGAATTAGTACCAATTTTTTTTAAAAATGTCCCAATAATTTCTGAAAATAGTGTATGACATTTAAAGGACTTTAAATAAAACCTGGAGCTCGACTCCCCTACAAAAAAAAAAAAAAAAAAAAAATTACAGCCTTAAGCTATCTAGGAGAAGTTTTCAAGGCGCATCCAATGATGCTAGTTATAATGAATGTTCTTAATGAACTTGTTGAGCAATTCATGAAATTATGAAATAACGTTTTTGGCGAAAATGTCGAGATTTTACATATGAAGGTCCCACAAACATGGCTTCAGGGGCTGCCCTGAATCGAGAGAAACATTTTGGATTAATAATATATACCATAGCAAAAGTCTACATTATCAAGATCAAAAACGTGATCGTTTGATTTTTGATGAAAACTTTTTTTTTTTTTTTTTTTTTTTTTGGATGATATTATTTTATTAGAATAGTAATTAGAAATAAAACAAATGCATCAAAGAGATGGACAAGTGTATGGAGACAAAGTGACTTGCCATATATAAATCTTGAATAATAAACTAATGGGAGAGTTGCCTAAGATTTGACAATCTTAACAGTTCTGTGCGGATGTGGCGACAGACTTGGATGGCATTAAAGGGGATGAGGTTGTAAAACTGTTGATAATGGTGTCTCCAGATAGTACGCATAATGGTGGCAAAGAGGTCATATATGGTGATGTGTAAGTCATAATTGTAGATATAATAATGCTTCAGTTTGAAGTGCATAATTGAGTTGTAGATAAGTTGTGGATCGGCGGTTTTGGGGTAGCTAAGGAACTCGATTTTCGATGAAAACCATGAGGTACCCCTCATGGGTTTTGGTCGATTTTTGGCCATGTTTTTTTTGGCTCTAAAAGTTAAGCAAAGGTATCAGAAAGTTACTACTACTCAAGTACAATTGTTTGGCGTCATTCCGGTGGCTCAGAAATGTCTACATGCCAAGATATAAAGGCTTGAAAGTTGTCAACTTTGGTTATGTTTTGCTGTATAGCTTTTATTTACACGACATGAATCACATTTTTAATAGCTGAAATCTTCTGGAAGGGCAGCTCTGGAGCCTGTGCAACTTTTAATTCGAGTAGGAGGCAGATTGGTTTGGTAAAGCTAACTCATGCAAATTTTGATGCGTTGTGTTGTTGATAAGCTTATTAATAATGAAAATGAAAAGCCAAATTTACTGCTTGACTGCTATGGTTTTGCCCGCTTGCTTCGATACAGTAAAACCCCCATTAAGGTCAATGTTACCAAATGTTGCCTTAAAACCACAAATCACTCATTCCACAGCCAAATAGCAGGCAAGAAATCACTTGAATTAGATGCGTTCTGTTCTTGGGAGAGGGGCATTTAATCTCTGATTGGCTACGACGACGCTTTTGTGTTCAAGTTTTCCAGTATATATGTTAGATATGATACCAGAGAAAATGAATTCGTCGCTAGCATATATATATATATATATAATATGCATAGTGAATATCTGAATAGCTCTCAGGTTATATATGTCATCTTGACGTATACTTGGTGCAAAAGCATACATCAAAATGATGAGAAATATCGTCACACAAGATTAATGTAAATGCAAATGTACTTAATTTGAGTTTGTTGTTTTCCCTAATCTATTTGCCTTTTCCATCAATCTATTTTTTTTTTTTTTTTTACTAAAGTTTTAATCGCATGACCAGCCAAAATTGCTCAGTAAACCATCTCTTACCAGTAGAGCTTTTGCAAAATATATTAGTACATGTAACCGATATTCAAGATATCAAACACTATCGACTTTCATGCAGACTGTGGCACAGGATATCCAGCAAGGTCGCCAAGGCAGAAGTACATGTTCGACTCAACTGTCGTGCTCGAGCTGTGGCATTTGTAAACGACTTGGTGCAGTATTCTTTCATCGGGCCCCGAGTTGATAAAGTATCAATCACTACAGAGAAATGTGATCTACTTGATCTCAAGAACATTGCAAGTCTCTGCATGAATCTGAAAAAGCTGTATTTTGGCCACGATGTGGATATGAACAAGTATCTCAAAATGTTGTATAGCAACCAAGTAAAGCTACCCCATCTCCAAGATATTCAAATACCCAGATCTACTTGCTTGCATTATGGAATATTCGCTTTTGGAATATATTCTCGATTCCACAAAACCCTCGCCAATTTAGAATTATCTGTTAATCCAACCTTAAATCAGTTACTCAGAAGAAATTATGGTGGTCTCGCAATGTTTGTCTCCAATTTTAAGCAGCTAAAGACTTTGCAGCTAAACTACACTCGTCAAAAAGACATGAATTCCGTTGATTTGCAGCCCCTCTTTTCAAAATACAATGGAACGTTAAGAAAAATCAAAATTGATGGCATTGGTGAACTGCTGATTAAAAGCTCAACCAGCAAGGTACGCCAACAAGAAGATGGCCTGATTGAAATCACCATAAAGGGGGATACTCTTGACATACAAAACCTAACATTAGCGATTAATGCAATGAAAAGATCCAACAATGTTTATATCATCAACAGGCTGGTGATCTATCCGTCGTTTAATGAGCAATATGGAAACACATTTGTGGAAACAGTCCTGGAGGAACTATCAGATTACTATCAGGACCACCGCCATATGGTGGACATGGATACAACAAACGATAGTCCAATGCTAATAATAGGCTCGAAAGGCGCAAGTGCATGTAAATGGATCATGACCCGCACTGAAAATCACCCCTACCTGCTCAGTTGGCAAATGAAAGACTGGTCACAGATCTAACATTTGCATGATTAAATATAAATAAATGATATATTATACCTATGGGATCATCGCGTGTTTGTCTAGCGTAGTTTGCAAGCTCAACGTTTTGATTGTGTCTAGTTATCCAGTGAGAACTAGCTGTCTGTCTTTGCATGTTGGAGATACTGTATTTCGAGATCAATTGGAAAAGGGAAAAACATGTGCTGTCAGCTGACGGTCGTTCAGTGCCACTTTGATGATAAGAGGAAAAAAGAACAGAGCATTGATGGCGATGCCTTTATTGAGTATGAACGAATACAGTGCTCGGCGAACATTCATGCGATGAAATTGTAGATTGTTTAATCAGCAATGTACACAGCAAATACAGTGGCAATCAACATCAACGATTTTTAACCTCCCCTTGGACCATTTAAAATTCTTTTTTCTCTGTGGGCAATCATTTATAATGATGTGCAGCTCCTTCTCCCTTTTTTTATAAACAAACGCCAAATATCACTTTATACGGATGAGCAACAATTCTCTTCAAGTCTCCTTTCTTGAAGTGTGCGGCCTCTATGCGTTCAATCATTCCATCACGGATGACATCTCCACAGCAAAAGTGGTGACTGTACGAGATCTCAAAAACTATCTCGACATCAAGTATCCAGAACTCTACAGGACAATTGTACAGATTTACTGCCCACTTGAACAATTCCTAAAGGAGACAGGACGTGATATTGCCAGAGCTGGACTCGTACCAACTTGGAGCAAATACAACTATGAGCTGATGACTCAGGCTCAGTATTATGCTGATAAACGCCACGAGCACGACTATTTCTCTGAGCTCACAAAAAATGGACCTGATGATACCGCACTGTTTGTCCTATTTTACAAAGAAGACAGAATACGCTATGAAGCTGAGCGAGCAGAAGTAAAAAAGAAGAACAAAAACGCTGGTCGGCCTAGATACGATCCACTGACGGACGAGATTTGGGAATTTTGTTACAAGTCTGAACCAACAGATCAATTCTTTATGAACACAAAGTCTCTGGTGAGGAGACTGCAGAATATGCTGGACACTGTATGGCCTGGAATGAACTACAGAGTGGCAATCTTTGGGTAATCGCCTTTAATAAATCAGATGCCAATGTCATTGTGTATTCAATTTTTTCGCATAGATCTGCTGCGAATTTGTTGTGTCTTAAAGATGCTGATGTGGATCTCTGTATTGTCGTGCCTGAAGCTAGATTTGAAAGCGATTTAAGGAGATACAAGCAGAAGCTGTCAAAACAACCAAAATCAGTGTACAACATGTACTTTTTGGCAAATCGACTCAAATCCATAGGCATGAAAAACGTAGAAGCCATAGGCAATGCTTCAGTGCCGATCTGTAAGTTTGTCGATCCACAAACAGGCTTCAGCTGTGATGTCAACACGCATAACATACTCGGCATTGAGAACACCCGCATGGTTGGACAGTACACTTCCCTTGATATTAGAATTCGCCCTTTTTTGACAGCCATCAAACAGTTTGTCAAACAAAAAGACCTCAATAGCCGTAAGTGAGACGCCGTAGATGGAACGGGATTGAGTCTAACGCAGCAAACACTACAGCGCTTGGCGGTACACTCAGTAGCTATGCATATGTGCTCATGGCATTACACTTTCTGATGGCTGGCCTGGAAACACCTGTTATACCCAGCTTGCAAAAACTGGTGAAATGCCACTCAAGAAACTGCAAATCAAAGACAGGCAGACAAGTGTTGCTGTATCACGATCACCAACTCATTCGATGTGATGCCCGTTATCATGATTGCGTACATGTCAAAAACAGCGCAACATCAGAGTATCTCCTGGAGCCGCATACAGGCAAAAACGACACCATTACTTATTGGGAATCAAGGAACAAGGACACCGTGTCTCAATTACTCCACAAGTTTTTCGTCTACTACTCAGATACCAGCCATCGAGTTGTATCCATCATCACTAGCGACGGCAAGTTATACAACCAGGATGCCCACCGCTGGCACGGCCAACCCATCATTGTACAGGATCCATTCATTCTCGCTAAAAATGTCGCCAGATCGTGCACAACCATTGGAGCCACAGCCATATTCCAAGAGTTCAGTCGAGCTGCCATACTGACTTCAGGCACAGAATATATACCTTATACTGTTGTGTGCGATAAGAAGCAAAACTTGCCCCGTCCGTTGGATACAGAGTGCATGCAATACCGCTTCCATAAGCCAAAGCAGACAACCACATTGACCGAAATTAGAGCAAAAGTCGTTAAACAACAACAGCATCCAAAAGAGGACCAAGTTGTCGGTTATTTGCGAGATATCCAGGATAATGAACAGCTGGAGCATCTGCTGTCCCCTCTCTTGGTGGAGGACAATGCCGCTGCGAAGAAAAACGAAAAGATGCCAGGCAAACCTACTGCTACTGAGAAAGACGTGTCAGCTGCAGTGGCAGCGGCAGCGGTAGCAGCACACGAGGCGAAAGCAAAGCAAGCGGCAGTAAAGAAAGCGGATAATCCCTCTGATCAACAGAAAACCGCTGTTACAGCTACTAAAGCTACTGCTGCTAGCAGCAGCACGAAGGCTGAATCGATTGTTGTCAGAGCAACAACCACTGCAATTGCAACAGATGTATCCGCCACAACCACAGGCGCAACCACAACAACGACTGCAAAAGCATCACCAGCCGTTACCAAGGCTACATCTACCAACACAATGCCAGCACCAGCAAAAGCCACCAACACCACATCTTCATCAAATGGGACAAAAAAGGAATCTATCCCATCACAGCACTCAGTATCTCAAAATAACTCTCAATCAGCACCCATTTTGAAATTAGTTCAAAAGCTCATATCATACCAATCGACTCCCACTAGCCCCGGTATGCCAGATATTGGCACATTTGAAAATTTAACCTCAAAACCATGTACAGACATGCAAAAGCTATTGGATGATCCTTGTATGTCTGGTGTAGATATGAAAGATATATGTTATTTGATCGCACAGTTGAACTTTTTAGGCGATGCTATTGCTGAAAGGGTACTGAACCCAATGGTAGTTAACGTTGAAATGAAATCAAAGATACAAGAATTCATCGAGCAAGAGCACATGGCATTGATTGGACAACAATTGAGAGAATTGGCCTATGATGAAGTGATTGCGGCTACAGCTGAGGATGATTCGGATGATGATATTTTTGGCGATTGTGATTCTGAAGAAAAAGGAGAGGGTGATGACTCTGAAGAAGAAGAAGAAGAAGACTCTGTAAAAGACGAGGCTACAGAGAGAGAGAAAGAGCAAGACAACAAGCAAAATGATCAAGTTGTCCCAGAACAGCAACAAGAAGAAACAGACGACGATAATGATGATGATTACGAAGACATTGATTCAGACGAAGAAGAGGCAGCACCGGATACTATGGTTGATTTGCATGCTGTATGGAGTGAACAGCCAAAATCAAGAGTACAGCGACAGGCCAGTGTAGAGTACAAGGACAATGACATGGTTGATGTCTATTTCTACGTCAAAGACGTACCGCATGGCATTGATAGCTACGAAATCTACCTCCAGTTTGATTGGTACGGCAGAGTGATTGAAATCAAACCTGCTGAAACAACCAACACGAGCATTACTTGGCACGTTCGAATGAAGATGTTATACAAGACCTACAAGCGACCGCTTCCCGTTGCCATTGAACTGGGCAATTCGCAAGATGAGGTCTATTCAGTAACCACACCACAGTTAGCACTACATTGAAATAGAGTGTACTACAATAAAAGTGCACATTTGCTTGCGGCGGCATTAAGGCATTGAATGCCACTAAAATTAACTTTGAAACCCCCCCTACTATTCAACGCATGGCATTGATGTATAATAGTTGATAATGTATTAGATTTATTATTAAGTGTAGATTGTAGTATTTGATGTAAAGAAAAAAGTAGATATTAATGATAGTGCGCGTATGTGAGCGAGAGTAAAAGAAGATGGGCGCAATGAATGATGATGATAATGATGCGTGTGTATTTTCTATGGTTTACAGGATTCTTTCCTTGCCAGTGTTGGGTTCGGCCTCATCTTTAAACATCTTTGCTCCTACAATGTAAGCATCATCACCAGCAAAGAGACGCTTGACACAGGCAACAGTGGAGGGCCAGGTCAAGAACAACCAGGCAGCGATAGGCAATGAGGCATAATCCAAGATATTCTTCCAGGTACGAGATTCAGACTTGGGCTTGTGGTAAAACTCTCTGTCAATGTAGCGGTGCAGGTGCTCATAGATGGCCAAAGTGCCAAACAATGGGAACGGCAAGAATACAGTAATCATCTTGACAACAGTCCAAAGCTTGTAAAAGAAATCCGATGTCAACAGAGGGTTGTTTGCAGGAGAGACGATAGCCATCCAAGAAAAAGGTGGAAACAGGATGACCTGCATCAAGGGCACGGCTGCAAACATGAGCCAACCTGAAGAAGCAGGAATCATATGAGCTTCCATGATCACAGAACAGGCTGCCAGCTTGTCGTTGAATCCGGATGTTGCCATATGACAGTCTAACAAGCCCTTTTGGTCCTTTCTATTCTTGTAGGAGCTGACCATCTGTCGAAGTGTATAGCCGAGATCAGCCACGCCTTGGAAATGACGCTTTGCTTGAATATAGCGCTCGTAAATGTTCTTGAGATAACCGTCGCACTGGACGTTGGTAAGGTTGATGGGTACATAGATGGGCGCCGTGCGAGCATGGCCGTCTGTCTTGAAGAAGCACTTGAGCCACATATGCATGTCTTCACCAATGGCATCCGCATCGACATCCCAGTAGCCCACTCGTTCGGCCAGAATGAACGACAAACTGTAATTTGAGCATGGCACACATAGGCCGTCTGAATTACTGAGATTTGACATGACGAGAGCAGCCCAAGTGATATCGGTCATTCTCACAGCAGCAGGAACCTGAGCACTGTTGCGAGAAAAGAAGATGGGAGGAGCGCAGATGGTGTAGAAGGGGTCGTCTGATGTGTTCAATGCTTCCTCCACTTCAATAATGTAGAGTTCGGGAATAGCAGCGTCTGAATCCATGATGGTCAAGATGATTTTGCGTCTGTCGAAGCCTTGTCTCAACATTTCGGCACAGCCATTGCGAACAGCGTAATTTACATTTGATCCTTTACCACGATATTCGCCGGGAACACCGGCAGGATGGCCTGTGATGATAAACCCATGAAATCTATCCTTGAAGAAATCCTCCAACCGTTTTCCCTTTTCCTCCCAGCCTTGCTCAGATACTTCCATGGCCAAAATAATCACATAATTTGATCGAGCATTGCTATTTCATTCGTTTTAGATTCAAGTTAATATAGACGGCCTTTCAAAAGTATAAAAATTTTCATCCATTTTGGCATACCTGTGAACTGCTAATCGGCCAATAGTATCCTTCAAAAGAGCTTCAGGTTCACCGTAATTTGGGATAACAAATGTATGGATAAACTGAGGTTCTTGGTAGATGAGTTGCTCCTCTGACTCCTGCTCCTCCAGGTTGACATATCTTTCACGAGTATTGTTGCTGCTGCTGGATCGATTGGGCTGAAATGTGTCCATGGCAATCTTGGCCTTGTCATCTTGATCCTTGTCGTTCAAATGGTGCTTGTTTCTGTTCAATCTGTTCCACTTTTGGATGCTTGCTCTGATGCGCACCGACGACAGGTAAAACTTGCAGACGTGGTTGACTTGCTGGTACAGGAAACCGGTAAAGTATACAAACAGAAAGATAACATAGAATCGAGGAAAGAAGAGGGGGCCCAACGGCAGTAAGGCCAGCGAGATGACGGGTGTCAGGGGAGCCACCCATTCAGTAGGAGAACTCAATCGAGACATTTAGCAGAGAAAAAAAAAAAAAAAAGGTAAAGAAGGTGGAAGAGAAAGAGAGAAAGAGAAAGGGAAAAATGAGGCACTCTTTTTTATGTCTCCTCTTCGGCAAGCAGAAAAAAAAGAAGATCTTCCCCTAGACACATTTGAATTGAAACTTACAAGTCAGTTTCCACGCCACTTGGACATGTGAAACAGTCGTTTTATTGGTTAATCTAATTTACTATGTCCCTTCTTGCTGCCACTGGTGTTCCAGTACAGAATCACCTGCAAGAGCAAGATGGCATTGAATGAACTGGCCAGGAGGCCGCCAAACAGCATGATGGGATCATCCACCTCTGTCATGGTCGTAAAGACTCGAATGGAGCTACCTACAAAGTAATTGACAACAGTGAACACTGATAATTGGCCTGTGGATTTGTTCTTGAAGTTGCTGTAGATTTGAGGAATTTTGGAGGCGAGATTGAGTGGGATAGTGGCGGCAAAGAGACTACTCATGGCTACAGCAGGCACCAAGGCAGCATTGTTGAGAGCCCAAAACACAGAACAGAGACCGATCAAGGCTGCTACCATCTTGGCGGGCTGACGACCATAGTAAAAGATGAGACTTGTGATGATGATGTTTTGGATATAGATAAACATGATTTCACCATAGGTACTGAAGGGATTTCCTTGTCTCATGTTGTAAGAGAGTGTGATGGAGTAGGAAAGCGCTTCCAACAAGAAGCTTGCAAGCGACAATCCCTCTGCCGACTTGTTTCTCAAGATGGTCAAGATCTGAGGGACCTTGACAATGGATCCACCCAACACAATACCTAACCCTAAGCCTTTGCTAATGGAATATTTGATGCAATCGACATCTTGGATGTTCAAGTTTTCAATCAGAGAGACGTAGCACTTTTCTCCAATGAGTCCAACAGCAGGTTCACGAAGAATGGCCGGAAGTTGCATTTTTTTTTTTGTATTGATGATGGAAGATAAAGAGCTCAACGCGCGCTTTTGCCTTGGTGGTAATTATACTCCATTCCAAACGGCCATTTTATTTAAGCTCCCATGTTCGTGCAACACGTGTCAAACTGCAAGCTTGTATATAGACAGACAGTAGATGGCTGCGTTTCAGGTAGATGTGAAAGGGTACTTGATGTATAGTTGATCAGTCAGATTCCCTGGTCATTACGCCTGACGTGTACAGTGTTCAATGCTAGTTTCCAGGGCCAGCAAAATGACCCACAGCCAGGATCATTGCATACACCCATCATCATGGCGTTTGAATGCCAGTCTGAAGGAAGCAGGTTGCACTGAACCTCTGTTTTAGGCACAAAACGTATAATGTAAACGTTTGGAATATACACACACTAGAGAAAAAAAAAAATATATATATATATATAGACGTGCTATCCCTTCTTTTCTGTTTCAATTTCCTGGTCCCTTGATTATTTACACAATCATGTCTTTACATACTCCTTACGGCATGCTGCCACAGACCAAAGAGTCGATATCGCACATTCTAAAGCACTACGAATTATTCAAGCAAGATAGAAAGTCTCGTGAACTGCCTCCACAGCCCATGATTGTGGGTGTTTCTGGATGTCAAGGCAGTGGCAAAACAACACTTTGTGATACTCTGGCGCATTTATTGAAAGAAGCTCCTTACAATCTACGAGTCGTGAGTTTCTCATTAGACGATGTGTATCTGACACACCAGGACCAGGTCAAGCTATCGCAAAAGTACCCCAACAACCCACTCTATCAGCAACGGGGCCAAGCTGGCTCGCATGATTTAGCACTGGCCAGCCAAACATTGCAGTTGCTCTTGAGCACAAGGAAGCAAGGAGATACGGTGCCTATCCCAGTATACGACAAATCATTGCACTCGGGCCAAGGCGATCGCTTGGCTAAGTCAGACTGGAAATACCCTGTTGCACCCTTTGATATCGTCTTGTTTGAGGGTTGGATGCTTGGATTCAAGGCACTGCCTGAGAAGGACGTCAAACAGCATGTCAATCTCAAATTTGATCAAGTCAAAGTCATGAACACGGAACTGCAGAAATACGAAGACAACTTGTACCCTCATTTTGACATCTTCATCCATCTATCACCATTCAAATTGGATCAAGTGTATCAGTGGAGACTGCAGCAGGAGCATCACATGAAGCAAACTCGAGGCGTGGATGGATTGTCGGATGAGGCTGTGCGAGCGTTTGTCGATACTTACATGCCTGCGTATGAGCTGTACTTGCCTCGCTTGGATAAAGTGGGATTCTATGGACAAGGCTACCTGGGTGAGCCGCTCAAGGGCTACGAAGGAGTGAAGCGATCAGACGGGGGCTACAGTCAGCCCAACCGACATTTGAGAGTCGTACTGGATCAGGACAGAAAAGTCATTGCATCAGGCACATTGAGAGAAACAGTAATGAATGTACAGACAGCGGTTGCCTTGGCACCCAGCAGCAGCCGGTTCTTTAGCAAGAAGCTGGTGTATCAATGTGCTTTTATAGGTGTGTTGGGCTTGATTGGATACAAGCGCAATTCTATTCTAAACACATTTATGAAATTATCAAAGAAATTAACCAAATAAACCAAGAGCCGCTACAAAAAAATGTGTATACAGAGCAGAAAAAAATTTCTCTCTCTCTCTTTTGCTCACATTTTTCCCTTTTTCTTTTCTTTTTTTTTTTTTTTTCTCTCCTAAAAATTTTCATTGCATCTCTCTCTCTCTCTCTCTCTCTTTCTGTCCACCAGAACCACATCAAACAATCATCGCGTTAGTGAAAAATCATGTCTCCTAGAGAATATATACCTGGTGATACTGTGTTTGCCAAATTGAAGGGCTATCCTTGGTGGCCTGCAAGGGTAAGTTTGCTAGTCTTTCATAGAGTGAAAGAGAGACCAACACCATACATCTAGATTGAAAACGACAAAGAGATACCTGCCAAGGTCTTGAAGCAAAAGACAAAGTCAAAGGGCTTATTATATACCGTCTTCTTTTACGGCTCCAGAGACTAGTAAGTATCCTCGCGCGCTTCATCATGGGTAAGGGTATTAATTCATGGGGGGCGGCTTTGTGTAGTGGCTTCTTTGGACCGGATTGCATTCGTCCGTTTGATCGTGAGGCTGTGGAGCGTGATTTAAAGGACAAGAAATTCAAGACAAAGGATTTGGAGAATGCAGTTCATCAAGCATTAGACCCTTCTATATTGAGGGCTCAAGAAGAAGCCGAGGCTGCTGCTGCTGCTGCAGAGGAGGAGGATGAGGACGAGCCAGAGGAGGGCGATGACGAGGAAGATAAAGCTGCAGAGGACGATGATGAAGAGGATGAGGAGGAGGAACCAGTGGTGAAGCCCAAGAGAAAAGACCGTAAAAAGCCTGCCTCTTCCGCTGCTGATAAGAAAAGGAAAGCACCCACAACAAAGAAACGAGCTGCTTCGAAAAAGAACATAGAGGATGAAGACGAGGAAGATGATGCAGAGGAGAACGAAGCTACATCAACCCCACCACCATCATCCACAGCACAATCAAAAAAGACAAAGACAACCACAAAGAAGGCTTCCCCAAGCGAAAAGAAGCGGGCTCGATTATCAGAGCCTGAATCAGCGTCAGAGTCTGATAGAAAGAAACGAGTAAGTAGAGCTTTGGCGTGTGTATGTATAGTTACAGAGGTTGATTCGTAATGGCCAATTAGCGCAAATCGTTGTCGACTGAGCAAGAGGAGGATCATCATACCAAGAGGGAATCTTCAACAGTGTCTCGCAAATCGGAAGAGCCAAATAGCCACAACTCTGTGGGTCACATTGAGAAGCAAGAGGATTTGGACATGTTCAAAAAGACACCCGAATATAAAAAGATTTATCATATTAGACACAAACTCCAGAAACTGGTGTATGAAAAGAAGCCGGTAAGCAGACGCATGGTGAGAACAGAAAAGTAAGAAACAAGTGTTGCTGATGCGTTGGATATTGTGTAGGGAGAGATTGCAAAAGACGACTTTGCTAGAGTGTCACAAGTTGTCAAGGAAATCGAGGATTCACAAATGACATATGATTTGTTAAGGGTAAATTCGAGAGAGAGAGTGTGTGTGGGCATTGTGGAATGAGGTCAAGCAAGAGTGTACTTACCTTTTATTGCGGGATGTGTAGTATACCAAGATTGGCAAGGTGGTTAAATTTGCTTGTTCTTACGACTATGGCGACGATGAACACAAGATCAATCAACGCTGTCAGCAGCTGATGAAGAACTGGAAGTCGTTGATCATTCCTGAAACCCGTAGCGCATCTGTAGAACAGCATGAACAACAATCGTAATATATATAAGCTTCATTTCTTACACACACACTTACACACACACAACCTCACACGCCATTACGCTCACACTCACACTCACAACTCACACAACGCACCGCAACCAAAACATTTGAAATTATATATGTGAGCAAAAAGGCAACAGAATCCTTGATTTCGGTTTCTTTTTTCTTACTACGTATGTATGCAAACTTGGAGAGAACAAAAAGAAAGGATAAAAGTAGTATCCCCCTTTATTATTATCATTATTATCTGCATGTGGTGGAGCCGCTTTTTATTCTTCTTGTTTCTCTTTATCCCCCTCTTTTTTTTTTCTTTCTCTCTTATAATATACAAGGTTTATGCATCATATTATATATAAAAACATATTCTATTCACAAACTAGATCTGTGGTTCATTGAGCAACGTAGCATCTTTGAATGAAATGTGGAGTTGAATTCAGGCAACATTTGATCTAGGCATGTGCTGTATTCAAAGAGAGCGTCGATTTCAAGGAACCGATTTCGTACACCATCAGCCCACTTGAAAGAGCATTTGCCTTTATCTAAGCATCAATGAATAGTAAAAGTGTGAGGTTATCTGTATGCTATCTGCAACTTTGATGCAACTATCCCCCCTGATTCCGATACTGCAATTCTTTAGTTGTCTATTTATCGAGGCGAATCACTACGAAAGAAAAATGCTAATAAATAACAAGCTTTGATAAGAAGGCGTTTGCTGCCTTTTCTCCTACCTACTTGTTTGATACGCAAGCAAATCAGGTCTATCTGTGGTAGAACAGACTTCTCTGCTTATACAACATGCTCTATATTTTTTTTTTCTATCTTACCTTGATCTTAGAACAAGATAATCTGATCGCAAAAGCTTAAATGGACATTGAGCAGACAAATGACTCAGGGCAATCTCCATCAAACGAATAAGAATTTACCAATACTACCTGAATTTGGAATTACACATTTGATGAACTTTATTTATTACGGAGACCTAGCACTGAGCTCGCAGACGTTCTCAAAATAAGTGAATATTGAGCATTTGTAAGCAGAGAAGGGAATAATATGTATGAAAGACGTAACATGAATAGATATTCAACACAGACTTACAAATCACTTTTCGCTTGAGCATTTAGTCATCCAAGAATTTTTTACATAAGTGATAATCGCATAATGTCTTAGCCGTTTGCCGCCGTGCTGATAGTTACTCTTTGCATTTGTACAGTGAAATTTGTTGCTAAACACTTGGATTTGCAAATTTCCGCATTTCAGACATGTAGCAATAGTAAACGTGGGTAAGTTCAGAGTCAATGTAAATAGATTATATACCTTTTGATTCACTTTTCCAGGCTTCTTCAGCGTAAAAGCTTGATCTGTTGAATGCGCGGATTATCAATCCACCAATGATTTCTAATTCTGAATAGTAAAATATTCCTAATTTGACTCCATGCTCCTAACTACACATGTAGAAATCAACCCGAAGAGCCACATTCTTGTGCTACAATCGGAATGGCTTTATAGTTTTTGCCTTTGTTTGCGACCCACAAGAATGATTTCACCACTGAGTAGCCTCCTCTTCTCGTTTGGTCCAATCGTATGCTAGATTTATCGGGAACGGATAACCGTTTAGACAGAAGATGGCCAAAAAGTTAAACTGTCAGAGTATAAATACTCCAGGTATTCAAATCGAATATTGAAACATCATTTTAAAAAAGCATTTAATCAACAACTACTACTACTACTCTAACAACAACAACAATGGGCTTCATGAAACATTTCTTCCACAAAGACTCTTCCAACGTCACTACACCTGCCTCCTCAAATGCTGCTACACCCATCACATCTCCTGCCAACTCTTTAAAGGATGTGGATGCCGCCATAAGCCCCATCGTTGACAGATATCACAACGATCCTATGCGCACAAGCAAGAAGCCTGATACTATTGGAAGCTTTTTCGATCCCATGGGTGGTCATGGTAGCTACTCTGTGAGTAAGGATGTTACCAATACTGGTGCCTAAATATCTGCATTGCATTCTTAATAATCTCTCAAATCATATATATATATACCAAACCTACTTTTTATATAATTTTACACATCATACTTTATACAATTTTTATTAATCATTACAAACACAATAAATGATTCTCAAATCACTACACTACTAAATCATGTTGCTCTTTTTTGATAAGCTTACTGCGAGATAAGCATGTGTGAGTTAAGTGACAATGTAGTGCTACTGATGATGTACAGCTACAATGTTCGCTACAGCTGCAATGTTCGCTCGCAAACTTGTTATCTGGGGGACACGGGATGTACAACGCAGTCTAGACGTAAAATTTTTATCGCTTTGACCAAGATCTACTGCCACGAGACGATGTAATTAATTTTGTTAATCATTTAGGCGAAGATAGCGATCAACCCTAGATTTCGTTTCTATATATAAATGTGCTAACTTTACGTATTCAGGGAAGTTCCAAAGCAACGACTATGGATATTGATTCCGAGGTACTCCTTATATGTATTTGATAAGTACAGAGAAGGCCATCTCATTGGAACCTCTTTAACATAATTTTTCAGTAGTCTATATTCGATTATAAACATTAGATTTTTGAGCGGTTGATTTGATAGAAAACAGAATGTAGCTGTATCGTTTACTCTTCTTTCGGCGACCCTTCGTCAGATGAGCTCGCCCTTGCCATTTTATTCTCCAGATTCTACAATATTAGTATCGCTCTTAATCCGTGTTTGACACTTATCTGCCAACTATTCTTTATCATTATTGTGTTTTGGAGAAATCCTTGTACAGACCACCAATGCTGCTGTTGTTCTCATGGTGCACCTCCTAGCATGGATAATTATTACAAAGGCTGGTCTATGTTTTCTTGTCAAGTGTGCCATATATTATTAATAATTGAGTTGCTTTGCGTCGAGACACTATTTAACCCAACTGAACAATAGATGCAGTAGGGTGGCCAATTTCGTATCGCACTTTGGCAATCGCATTCAAAATAGCATTTCATAATGGTTAAATTTATCAAACATACAAAAATAGACAACAGAGGCATTGAAAGCATTAAGGCTACACTATAAAATCTTTAGCGTTGCAACCCTTTCCTACTACTAGCTTCACAAACCTCATAATAGCAGAGGCATCACGGTTGCCACCAACCAGCAGCCAAAATTATTTTAAACCCAAATTCTATTTTCTGCTCCAGATTGGCCGAGCTTCTATCAGAATCGACTCAATTGATCTATTTTGTTATAATCGACTATATAAACTGTGATTGTCATCGCTTATTTCCTTAAGTGTCCCTGGTGGTAGGGCGAAGTGGTAGAAACTCCCGTATGCCAACGGGAGGATCCTGGTTCAAATCCTGGTGAACGCAAGTTGTTTGATTTTTTGAAGTAGTACTGATGTCCTCGTTTGGTGTTTTGTACTCTATCCATTATCTATATTTTGACGATTTCCGCAAGACTGTATTGGCTCTAGGTGTCGCACCTTATTAGTAGTAGATTTCTTTCCCAACTTAGTTCAAAAATATCTTATTCCCCTTCTTTGCAGACATTGGGTCCACCAACAGTCTTTTCTATCCCTCAGCATGACATTTAAAGGACTTTAAATAAAACCTGGAGCTCGACTCCCCTACAAAAAAAAAAATTATTTCCTTAAGTCAGTCTTCTTCTTCCCTCATCATGACATTTAGAGGACTTTAAATAAAAAATGGAGTACAACTCCCCTACAAAAAAAAAAAAAATTATTTCCTTAAGCTTTATTGGAGTGCTTTTCGAGGCGCATCTAATGATGCTACTTTTAAGAGGTGTTTTGAACAAGCTCATTGAGTAATGCTCTAAGAATATAAAAAGACATTTTTGGCAAAAAAGGTCAAGATTTTATATATGAAGGTGTCACAAACAAACTATCAGGGGGCTGCTTTGGATCGAGAGCAACATTTTGGTTCAATATATGCCATAGTAAAAGTGTTCATTTTTGACGTCAAAAACGCGGTCGTTTTATTTTCGATAAAAATGATGAGGTATTCCTCATGGTTTTTTGGTCGATTTTCGACGGTTCCAAAAAAGTTGAGCAAAGGTGTCAGAAAGTACGTGTTGGTCGAGAGCAATTGTTTGGCACTACTCTGGCGGCCTAGAACAGCTTATAACACGAGAAAACATGATTCAAAAGTGCCTGGATTTAGGCATATGTTTGAATAGTTTAGGAGAATCATATCATATCCTTTCAAAAATTTAGAGAATTGAGTACCATATAAGATGAATAAACCACTGGCAAAGCCGGTATTGGGGAGGAGGGTTTGAAGGAGGTGCTATGCCCATCCATTAAGAACATAACGTATCTAATTCAACATTCGGTAACATTGACCTATGAGGCGGGTTTACCGTAGCGAAGTGAAAGTGAAAAACCATGGCAACTAAGCATCTAACAACCCTATGTTTGGTAATATCAATCTTAATGAGGGGTTTACCGTAGCCAAGGGAAGATACATAACCATAATATTCAAGCAGCAAATTCGTTTTTTCATTTCTATTATTATCAAGCTTACCAACAACATAACGTATCAAATTTTGCATGAATTAGCTTTACCAAAATCAATATGCCTCCTACTCGAATTAGAAGTTGCACAGGCTGCAGAACTACCCTTTCAGTAAATTACAGATACCAAAGATGTGATTCATGCCGTGGAAATAGAAGCTTTAAAGCAAAACATAGCCAAATTTGACGGCTTTCAAGCTTTCATATCTTGACATGTAGACCTTTCTGAGCCACCGGAATGACGCCAAACAATTGTACTTGAGTAGTAGTAACTTCCTGACACCTTTACTCAACTTTTAGAGCCAAAAAAAAAAAAAAAAAAAAAAAAAACATGGCCAAAAATCGACCAAAACCCATGAGGGGTACCTCATGGTTTTCACCGAAAATCAAACGATCGCGTGTTTCACCTTGAAAATGAAGACTTTTACTATGGTGTATATTGAATCAAAATGTTTCTGTCGATCCAAAGCAACTTCTGAAACCACTTTTAAGAGGCTTTCATATGCAAAATATGACTATTTTCGCTAAAAACCTCATTTCAAATTTTACCAAATTGCTCAATAATTTTAATCAAAACACCTGTTACAATTAGTACCATTGGAAGCGCCTTGAAATGTACCCCAGGAATGTATTAGAAAGCATAGGGTGATCATCACACTTTACATAGTCGAATCTAGCAAAATAGATCAATAAAGTCGAAAATCCATCAAAATTGGCCAATCTGGAGTAGAACAAGAGTATGAGTTGAAATTAATTTTGGCGACTGGTGGGACCGGCTGGCAAACTCAATGCCCTTTTCGTCATGAAAGACAATACAATAGTAAAAGATGCTTTTGAAGCGCATGGAAAATAAGTGGCAAATTACATAGCACTATCGCTAGCTATGCTATTTTTCTTGTATTCTATATTTAGCAACGCCAGTCTGTCAAAATACTTGTTAGATCAACTTCTTTTCTTTCTGAGGCTTTGAAAGTGTCTGGGGACCATGAATTTATTGCGCTATGATGGGCCTTTTGACTCTGTAGGCGGCTTCCTGTCCTACACTTCCCTTTGATGGAAGCATACCTATGTTCAGGTGGCTCGCACTGCCGCAGACCTTTGACTCATATCGTAAAATTAATACTAATAGCTAAAATGTTAGAAGAAACTTGTTTGTTGATTGATAGCGATTTAATATAAAATCTCTAATCATATACAATATGAGCCATGCCTGGCAAATGCCTGGCAACTCATTTTTTATATTAGACTTGTAAAAGTGTCTAGGGGGTGAACATTTATAATGTTATGATAGCATTCTCCAAGGCGTCAAAGAAGATTTATTTTTGCAATCGCCAACAAGCATTAGCCCGCTTTATTAGCAGTGTATCTAATTAACAATTTCTTCATTTTGCCATTTCCTGCTTTTTTCATAATGGCATCCCAATGAATACATTGGTAAGTCGCAGGAAAACATGCAACTTTCCGTGAGTAAAATTGATCTTGCCCATCATTTTTCGATCATGCGCTCCTTTCAAGAGTCTGGTACATTGATCCAGACAAACAAACAATCGGGCCAAACCCATCAAATCAAATGCCATCAAAGATAAAACTAATTGCTACTGCTTCGGTTATTCAATCGTCTTAATTTGATCCCCTCCAAACAATAGAATATGGTTCTTTCCCGTGAAATGGTCAACTAGCATTGGATTGAATTAGCAGATAGGTAAATGCGGGGAAATTGTTTGGAATGTTCCATCCCAATAGATCTGCTTTCAAGTTTCAAATCAAAAGCGCGATGCGATTAATCTCAAAATGGCATGCTACAAGCGCATAAGAAATGAAAACTATGCTTTTGCAAGCATTTGCCTATCCTCACATTGGATTCTTATAGACGAATATGACAAGCTGTTTGTGCAAGGTGAAATGCACTATAACCTATATTGGTGATACAAGGGATTGCCCTCCCTTACAACTAATCACCACTGTAGCAGTTCCTCAAAATGGATATGCGCAATACGCAGCATATCAATAAAACCCATCGAAAGATTACTGGGCTCTCTGTATTCATTTTGCTTTCTATCCAGATCACTCATCAAAACTCAAATCATCCAATAATTTCTGCGGGTTACGCTTAAACATTGAGATCTGACTCACATGTGATTTTCTGCGCTGGAGCACGTTCAATATTCCTAATATGCTCATCTCTCAGGTGAATCTGCGGAAGGTAACGTTTGTTAATATAATTATAACGATTCATTGCGCACAGGTATAGAGCATATACTGTATATTGTTGATCCAGATAGGTGCAGCACTTCCGTGGAAAACATCACATTTAAGGCATTTATGCTCAGTCATCTTCAAATTTTCGCAATACATGAATGAATGAACTAGAAACTTGGCACTCTTGGTATATCCTCAGCAGTTTTTTATTCAGCATCTTGCCACAAATAAATAGATTAAGGTTTAACTACGAGTTTGTCCAGCAAGAAATGAAGCTAATGCAGGGATTCTCTTTGGAGTGACATTTGAGACTTGATTTCTTGATCTGTACGTATAAATGATGAGCGCAATTTGCAGTGATGTTGGCGCTTCAAAAGAACAAAAGTAGTGTAATGAAAGCTTGCGCATTTGAAAGTATTTTTTTTTCCATCATATTTTCATGTGTACTACCATGGAATCAGTTGTAGGTTTGCCTCTTTTCGTAAATATCACTTGTAAAGCCTTTTTTTTTCTTTGCCAACCTTCCTTTTTATTCCGAAATATCCATACAGCTCTTTGTGTGTGATCAATCAATAAAGGCGACCTTTGAGAAAAAGATACAAGCTGGTTGTGAAACATTTAATCGTTAGTAATATCATAAAGGGTCCTCTTTATTACAAGTTCCCTCTTAGTAATGTGTAACTAAATATAATAAATATAGGAAATAGAGAATTGGGTGTAACCCGCCTTATACCACTACCAATCAGTCCGTAATCTCGAATAGGTTTTCGAATTTCCTTTGTATTCTCTCCACAATTTAGAGATCCCCGCCTTCAATGCCCCGCCCATATTCGCACACACACTCACACGCTCTCATTATCCAGATACAACTCAAGCTCGCCCTATTTGTTGTTTGAAAGATACATAACGCAGCAATCACATCATGACCTATGAGCTAGAGTTATACCATTGGTAAAGCTGTAAAGACGGGAAAAAATCCCATCTATTGTACCCCTATGATCTCAATCCGAGACGGCTTGTCAAATGAACCCATCTGCCTCTCACTGCATGCTACATTGTTGATTTTGCATAAAATCAATAGTAAACATTACCGATCAGGACTCTACATGGGATAGTAACGAAGGTGCTATTTAGAGAGCATGGCAATTGTTCTCGAAGATGGTCTTTATAAATCTCTCAAGGGTCTTATGACATTTTCTTATTCAAAACAGAGTTGCAAACGACAAATCATCGCATAGCAAGTAACATGAGCAACGGTCTAAAATAAAAAGATACAGTTTTTCCCAACCAGAAATCACACACACTCAAACATATAAACACACGAGAAACAAATCACAATCAGCGTCTTTATTGATGTTACACTATTACAGATGAAAAGGAAAAACTAAATTTCAGTTCTATACCGTTTTTACAACATTACTTTTCAGGATATTTTCTTTTAGCTCTTTCTGTTAAAAATACAGAGAACAGATGCTGCTCTACTACTGAACGAGAGAGGGAGCGATGCGAACATTGCATGGTGATCAAGTTGAAATAAGACTTGATGGTATCTATGGGTTTTATCATTGATTGGGGTGAAATCAGACATTATTACAAATTCAAGCAAGGGTGATGCCTTCCCTGATTTATCCTCAAATGTAGAAGCAACTGACTAAACCTATAATCCTCGGGTCCCCTCTTCATGAGAATTTTTGGGAAGAAACGGAATGATTTTTTTTTGTGGAGGAATAAGAAACAAGTGGGGCTCTCTCAATAAGATCTCGAGTCAGCGCAACAGGGTCCTTTACGATGAGAGTCATTGATTGGTGGCCTGATGTTAGGGTGAAAAAGATCCTAAATGAGAAAATATGTGTATCGATACACTTGTAAATGTGATTTTCTTCATGTTGAATACTTTGCAAAATTTTGGTATGTACCATGTTAAGGCAGATCAGCTATCATTGCTAAGGAAAGTTTATTATTGTATACCCGTTAAACCCAGGTAAGTACTCCACATTATTTGAACAATGATGATAGGCATCCCCCACATTGTCGTTTGTTGAAAGAGATGCATGATCAGGATATCTGATTCGGTCGCTAAATTATTCAGTGCTTTCCCATTCATTTCTCCAGCTTTTGTACCTCTTGGATCCAGTTGCTAATTTTGGTCCACTCATGGTAGCACAGTTTACTATTTGATTTATTTCGCTTGAAATTTGTATAAAAGAACTCGCAATTTTCACAACTTCCTACATTTTTTCTTTTCATTATCGATCTAACAATCAAATCTTTCTCCTTTCTTTTCACACTTCATCTTCTTTACATCTTAATCCGAATACCAACTCTATACATTACTTGAACGATCATAATATCTAATGGGATATAGTTTACAACTCTACGTAGTCTGCGCTTTTGCAGCAATTGGTGGTTTCTGCTTCGGTTACGATTCAGGAATCATTTCTGGTACGTCTTTTGCTCCAAAACCATCGAGTCTTCAGTAGATGTTTGTGGATTTTCCAAATCCTCAAATATCTACTGAGCATTTGATGAAAATCTGATGAATCTCAATTGCTAACATACAAAACAGGTGTCTTGACCATGCCTACTTTTATTGGCAAAATGACTGGTGGTAGCACTTACCTTACTGCTATACAACAATCTGTCATTACCGGTCTCTTGTTGGCTGGTTGTTTCGTTGGTTCTCTCTTTGCTGGTAAGTTTCTGCAGATCAAACGTTAGAAGCATGAAGTCTAAATAAAAATGTTAGGTCAACTCTGTGAAAGACTTTCTCGTAAGTACACCATCATTGTTGCTTCTGGTGTCTTCTGTATCGGTGCTGCTGTCCAAACTGGTGCTACTGGCTATGACATGATCCTTGGTGGTCGTTTTGTTGCTGGTCTCGGTGTCGGTTCTCTTTCCATGTCTGTCCCTCTTTACTTGTCTGAACTTGCTCCCAAGGAAATCCGTGGTCGTCTTATCTCTCTCCAACAACTTACCATTACCATTGGTCTCATGGTTGCTTTCTGGGTCAATGTTGGTACTGAGAATTTGATTACCGATGCCGCCTGGAGAATTCCCCTTGGTATCCAAATTGCTCCTGCTGCTATCCTCTTTGTCGGTACCATCTTCCTTCCTTTCTCTCCCCGTTGGTTGATTAAGAAGGGCCGCAATGCTGAAGCTTTGTCTGTCCTCGCTAGACTCCACTCTAATGGTGATGAAACTGCTCCTCACGTTGTTGCTGAATACGAAGAAATCATTGCTCAAGTTGAACACGAACGTGCCGTCTCTGTTGATAGCTACCTCGAACTCTTCAAGGGTACTTTGCTCAGAAGACTCGTTTTGGGTATCCTCATTCAAGTCTTCCAACAATTCACCGGTATCAACTCTATCATGTACTATGCCCCTACCATCTTCCAACAAGCTGGTGTTCCCGGTCGTTCTGCTTCTTTGATTGCCTCTGGTGTTAACGGTGTTCTTAACGTCCTTTCCACCATCCCTGCTATTCTCTTCCTTGATCGTCTTGGTCGTCGTTTCGTCTTGATATCTGGTGCTCTTGTTATGGGTACTGCCATGTTGCTTTGTGGTATCGTTATGGGTGCTACTGGTCGTGTTTACAAGGATGACGAGTCTGGTCAAAACAAGGTTGACATGTCTGGAAACACCTCTGCCTCTTACTTCTGTATTGTCATGGTCTACTTCTTCGTTGCCGGTTTCGCCTACTCTTGGGGTCCTTGTGGTTGGGTCTACCCCGCTGAAATCTACCCTCTCTCCATTCGTGCCAAGGGTACTTCTCTCACCACTGCTGCTAACTGGCTCATGAACTTCATCATCTCTCTCTTCGTCCCTGTCATGCTTACTACCATCACCTGGGGTACTTACATTTTCTTTGGTTGTTGTTGTGTTGTCATGGCTACTTGTGTCTTCCTTTTCTACCCCGAAACCAAGGGTCGCTCTCTCGAAGAGATGGATGTCGTCTTCTCTGGCCGTATTCTTACTTTCAGAGATGTCAAGGAAGCTGACCGCAAGCTCAAGAGCCAACAAGCTGGTAAGACTGAGTCTTACGACGATGTCAAGGAAGAACAAGTCTAAATTAAATGTCTACAAGATTTGGTGAGGTATCAGTAAAAGAAAATGGGTTCGAAGACTGGCTTCTTCAATACATATCATCTAATTCACATTTTACTCTTTACTTTTAACACCCCCTCACCCATTCTATTCATATATATATACTTTTTATAATCTCGCAATTCTAAATCACAAAAACAAATAATACTTTACAAATTACCCTTTTTTATTATATATGAATAAAACATATACTACTAATGATTAAACAAATACATTATCTGCAAATTGGGTCTTTGGAGTGTGTTCATCCAGTAATTTGCATTAGCAAAGGCTTTTCTTGCTCTAAGTCATGTGAGAAAGCACCAGCAGGACGAGAGATACGATTAATCTGACCTTTAGAGGTAAAAAATCTGTAAACGTAAATGAGGCTTTATTTTATGTTTTCTGCTATCGAGCTAGAACCTTTCATGATTGACCTGTAACTGTGATTCTGAATCTTTATTGGCGCTTTACGTCTATATCAACGCGGACAGCCTGCATACAAGTAGGCAGTATACTAGCACTAGCCGATCAATCTCGCTACGCTCGATGACGGTATCGCCCTGCGGGCTATCGCCGAAGACATTTTAAATCAGATATAATAAAATTTCGATATATCAAGTAGATTTAAACAATCAATTATTAGTTAGTAAAAAAAGGACTATATCAAAAGCAGGAGAAGGAAGGGAAGTATCTTCCTCGGCACCCTTTTTGCCTATATATTGATGTCAAACGAAGCCTATTATTGAGACGATGTGAAAGAAAATTCAAGTTTTATGCAGCTTTTTACACCACAATCTCCATTTTCTGATAGTAGAATTGTCATGCCATTTGCTGCTGCTACTGCTGCTCTTAACATGGCGACATAGAGCTGGTCATAAGTAAATAAAGGACTTGTGTAAGATCTACGGCGACTTTTTTGAGATATTGTCATTGCAAAAGACACCTTTATGAGGCAAAGCTTCACAAAAAAGTATTAAGGCTAATCAATTGTGCTTTCAACTCCATTGTCCCCATTAATCAGCATCGCAATCATCATTGTCATCATCAGAAAGATATTTGGGTCAGCCAGCAGCAATGCCGCCGCCAAAAATCGATTCAAACTCAGATTATTTTTTTTTTCTGTTCAAGATTGGACAGATTTTGTCTTTTTTCGACTTCATTGAGCTATTTTGCTAGGTTCGACTATGTAAAGTGTGATGATCACCCTATGCTTTCTAATACATTCCTGGGGTACATTTCAAGGCGCTTCCAATGGTACTAATTGTAACAGGTGTTTTGATTAAAATTATTGAGCAACTTGGTAAATTTTGAAATGAGGTTTTTAGCGAAAATAGTCATATTTTGCATATGAAAGCCTCTTAAAAGTGGTTTCAGAAGTTGCTTTGAATCGACAGAAACATTTTGATTCAATATACACCATAGTAAAAGTCTTCATTTTTCAAGGTGAAAAACGCGATCGTTTGATTTTCGATGAAAACCATGAGGTACCCCTCATGGGTTTTGGTCGATTTTTGGCCATGTTTTTTTTTGGCTCTAAAAGTTGAGCAAAGGTGTCAGAAAGTTACTGCTACTCAAGTACAATTGTTTGGCGTCATTCCGGTGGCTCAGAAAGGTCTACATGTCAAGATATGAAAGCTTGAAAGCCGTCAAATTTGGCTATGTTTTGCTTTAAAGCTTCTATTTCCACGGCATGAATCACATCTTTGGTATCTTTAATTTACTGAAAGGGTAGTTCTGCAGCCTGTGCAACTTCTAATTCGAGTAGGAGGCATATTGATTTTGGTAAAGCTAATTCATGCAAAATTTGATACGTTATGTTGTTGGTAAGCTTGATAATAATAGAAATGAAAAAACGAATTTGCTGCTTGAGTATTATGGTTATGTATCTTCCCTTGGCTACGGTAAACCCCTCATTAAGATTGATATTACCAAACATAGGGTTGTTAGATGCTTAGTTGCCATGGTTTTTCACTTTCACTTCGCTACGGTAAACCCGCCTCATAGGTCAATGTTACCGAATGTTGAATTAGATACGTTATGTTCTTAATGGATGAGCATAGCACCTCCTTCAAACCCTCCTCCCCAATACCGGCTTTGCCAGTGGTTTATTCATCTTATATGGTACTCAATTCTCTAAATTTTTGAAAGGATATGATATGATTCTCCTAAACTATTCAAACATATGCCTAAATCCAGGCACTTTTGAATCATGTTTTCTCGTGTTATAAGCTGTTCTAGGCCGCCAGAGTAGTGCCAAACAATTGCTCTCGACCAACACGTACTTTCTGACACCTTTGCTCAACTTTTTTGGAACCGTCGAAAATCGACCAAAAAACCATGAGGAATACCTCATCATTTTTATCGAAAATAAAACGACCGCGTTTTTGACGTCAAAAATGAACACTTTTACTATGGCATATATTGAACCAAAATTTTTTTTGTATTTATATATTGAACCAAAATGTTGCTCTCGATCCAAAGCAGCCCCTGATAGTTTGTTTGTGACACCTTCATATATAAAATCTTGACCTTTTTTGCCAAAAATGTCTTTTTATATTCTTAGAGCATTACTCAATGAGCTTGTTCAAAACACCTCTTAAAAATAGCATCATTAGATGCGCCTCGAAAAGCACTCCAATAAAGCTTAAGGAAATAAGTGATGACAATCACAATTTATATAGTCGAATATAACAAAATAGATCAATTGAGTCGATTCTGATAGAAGTTCGGCCAATCTGGAGCAGAAAATAGAAATTGGGTTTGAATTGATTTAGGCCTACTGTTATAGTAAAAAAACGTGGTGCAAAGCATGCGTATCTTCAAGAAACCAAGAAACAGCATCCCCCAAAGGGTTTCCTGTTATAGGCTGACGAAGTCTTAAATCGCTAAACGCAGAAACTCCAAACACTCGGTTTCTAGTACTCAAAGACAAACGCACTACGGAATTGCCAATGGTGAGGATCTTTAACGGTAATAGTCAAGCAGTAAGTGACTGGAAGACAACACGACGAAGTCTCTCTTCTGATTAAAGCCTCACAACAAGCCCGTATTATGCAGCAAGAGACTATGCTTGATAGCAGGTTGGTGGTCAATGAGGAAGACAATAGGTGTTATACAAAAGCTAAGAACATTGTTAACATAATAAGGCTAATTGAGGGCTCTTGAAAACTGGTAACTGGCAATATAAATGGCGATTACCATGAGTAAGACTTCAAGATGTAATCGGATAAACACTCTTGAGAGAGGATGTATCTGAATAAAATATGTTACACTACAGCTTTATTCATATTCGCAACGTTTGGTCTAAATATTAGAGACTGTGTACCACTTGGAGCGACAATCAACTGCCTCTTTTCTTACAATTCTCTTTTTGTCATCCAAAGGTGTCTTCAGCTGTCTAATGACATAATTTACATGTGGAGCCAAAGCATCTTTAGCGATAAAAGCAGGGAATTGAGCTAAACATGTAAGTGCAGCAACACGAACACGAATCGAATTGTGCTTGTCTTCAAGCAATGCCAATAAGGAAGGTAAAATAGCTCTGATTTGTGGAGCCACCACATCAGCAGCTTCGGAAATGGCCAATTTGAAGGTCTCCAAGGTGGATACTTTAAGTGTAGCATCCGATAAAGCAAGAGATTGAATCAGCAGTGGTACAAGAGGAGATAATTCGTTCAAGAGGATTTGTTTGGGAACATTCTTCAATACATAGGACAGGGCAATCAAGTAATTTGGCTTGACATCTAATCAAATAGGAATGAATAAAGAGTGCTTTATACTGTGATGAGCCAACTTACCGTCCTCAGCAGATCGGAAACCATCTACCAGCTTTGGTAAGCAGAAACTAAAAAATCTCTGTTTGTATAAGATCTGTGAATCAAGTGATTAGTTAAAGGTTAGGGAGTGCAAATGGAAAAAGCTGATTTTGGCATGACTCTTACAGTAGTAGTAGCAAAAGTGTTCTTATTCAAAGCAAGCTCATCATCACCAATGAGGATATCAAAGCCCTGAGGAGCATCAGGAGCTGCCTTGTTTCCACACCACTCGATGACTCTGGTAGTCAATTCATAGCCTAAAGCATGAGTGCGAAAAACAAGCGCCTTTGTGATCCACAAGTAGACTTGTAAGGCATTCTTGCTATTTGTTGTTTGTTGTGTAATTGCATCATCCAGTACCAAGGTTGTAGCTTTGACATATTCAGTTAAAGCCGAATCTAAATAAAAAGAGGTTATTACACAGACACGATCAGCAACTCCCTGTGAAGCACACTTACTATCTTTCCATTTATTGATGATTGAACCAATAACTCTTGAGGCGCAAGCTACCTGAATAGGGTTAGTTGAGCCAAGTGCTAAAGTCACCCATTCATTCAGGTAGTCCTCTATGCTGGATGAAATAGGTAGCTCGACATCCTTTCTTAATGAACAGACAATGGCTGCAAAGAGCTGACAGGTACTTTGCTGCTTTTCAGTTGTATCGCTAGTAATGTTAAGGGGCTTGAATGATTGCGTGGATGAAATGGCAAACTCGGGTAACTGGCCATCAACAAACAACTTGAATGCTTTATCCAGAAACGATTTTTGCGCGCTAATAATAGGTTAGGATCCAGTGAGGAAAATGTAACACGCTCGTTAGATTTACCCGCTATCCACTTTTGAAAAGACGGTGATAATGATCAATGCAACCACCTCCATGATGCTAGGCCGTAAGAGGAGATTGTCGCTGGTATCAAGAGAGGCTTCCGCTGATTTGGTGATGAGATGAGGCACAATGATTTTGATATCTTTAGCAACATCATTGTGCTTTTCAGCAGACTTGGTTCTCAAGATATGAAGCACGGTCTCAATGATGGCATAAGCGTAATTTTCGTTTTGATCTGCTTTATAGATGAGGATCCTGCCCAATTCAAATCGAACTATGACTTACCATTGGCGCAGACTGTATCAAACTTCTTGGTCAACAAGGGCATAGCGTGTTGATACACAGATGGAACAGGTGATAATACTCTGAGGGCATATAGCACATGCATATAGCTGGTGCCACCGTCTGTTGTATCAGGGAGTCTGTCAATCAGTGAAGGAATAGTCATTTCATTTATGTATTTGCTGTTGATATGTGATGTGACACGAAGGGCCTCCAAAGCAGCAGATCGAAGTTCCTCGTCCTGTTCCTCCAGCAAGATCTTGTTGATAGACTGAACTGCGAGGCCAACTTCATTTGACTCCAAATATCCCTTTGATAGAATCATCAATTTCAGACCTGTCAAGCCTGATAAACGAAGCAGATTGTATTCATTGGAAGCAACTAGACAAGATTCAAAGATACCAAAGAACCGATCTTTATGCTGAACCAAGGGTGACACGACATCCTCGTCTAAATAGACATGATGGATGAGCAAATCAGCGTCTCTGAAATGGCCTTTTACCCAGTACAAACCTTTCATGTCCTCGGATGCTGATCCATAGAGAGTTTTGCAAGCTTCCAACAAGTCAATCATGATATCTACGTTTGCCTTCTTCAAGGTAGCTACATTTGTCTCGCGGTACTGCTTCAAAACCAAAGGAACAATATTGTCTACAATGTAATGACAAGCACTGTCTGAAGCTGATGCTACGGCTCTCAAAATTCGACCTGCCTGTTTGGAATCTTTCATATCAGGATCCTTTAAATTGGTGGCACATTCATCAAGCAAAGGCTTCAAGGCTTTCTCTGTTGGATCTTGTCCAGATGTGCTGCTGACTGAGGATGATCCCAAAGCATGGACGACAGCGCGAATGGCTTCGATAGCGGCGTCTTCCAAAGGTGCATCGATCGCATGGAACACCTCTAATTTCAGGCTGTTGAAAATGTCATTGATGCTAGGTAATAATGCCTCAGCTCCATAGACAGGGGCACAAGCCGCCAAAGTCTCCATAGAATCCCTCTACACACGTTGACTCAGTACATGCACTTTACAACTCATGGATACTCCATTTTACCTTTGCGCTACCAGACGTGGATGATAATTTCTCCAGGATCAAAGGCAAGGTGAACTTTGCAAATAGCGGTGTCGACGATATACATTCTCTCAAACTGATTTTGAGATCTTCTGCAGTAATTCCATAGGGATCATCTGGTGGGGGTTTGAATGTGATTGGGAAATAACAAAACGCTACTTCGAAAATGTCCTCCACATGAGCTGAAATGTCAAAATTGTACACAATGCTTGTCATGATTTGGAAAGCACTCATCAAATTTCTAGGATCCTTCTCGCCATCCAATTCTTGGGTGAATCCATACACAAACTCGTTGTTGATTGACTTTAATGCGCTGGCATGTCGATTGATCAAGTTCTCAAACACTTTGAAAGCTAGATGCCTGGTGCCTTGAGGAAATTGCTGCACTTGAACGTTCTGAACAACTCTGCAAAATGTACCTCTATCATTACCCTACCCTTCGTCTCTCGTATTGCCTATTCACTCACCTCTTTGATACAAATACTGCATTCTTTCCTGTAAAGTTGGAAAATGTGGTCAAAGCAACAAGACCATCCAAAAGGTTGTGAACACAAGTTTTATCGGATAATCTTTCACAGTAGAAATCGACAAGCACAGATACTATACAGCACGTTAAAAGCGAACAACTCTAGTATATTCGAACTGAATTCTACCTGCTGATTCATTAATGGCTTCTTGCTTGCAGTCTGTCAATGTGTTGGATAAAAGTCCAGTTGCTAGGGGGGGGGGGTTGATTATTAATACCAAATGTATAAGGCACCTATTCGCTTCATCATGTATCACCTTTGGCACGTACGAACTCATCGTCATTTATCAAGTACTCGCCGAGAGTTTGAATGAGACGCAAAAGATTATCTTGCACAGAACCTTCATTCACAACTATATAGAGCAGAAAATGTCAACACCTTGAAATTGGCTAACTAACGGATGGCATACTTGAAACAAGACGTTTGGAGGCTTCGATCGCTTCCGCAGATGCTGAATCTGTGGTTATCATGTAATTTGTCACTTCCTTTTCTAATGCACTCATTTTTGTGTGTGGCAATGTCAGAACAAGTGTAGAGGTGTTGAAAGTAAAGGTCTTTTGATCTAAAAATCTCAATACTGGGTTATCGATGAGCTGAAGTTTCCTATTAGACATCGCGGCATAGTCCTTCATAGTCACAGCGAACCTCTCCATCAATCAAAACAAGAGATCTTATTGTGCGTCATTTGAGGATTTTGCATAATTGATGGATTGCTTCATGACAGGCATCTTTGGGTTGCCATGGCAATGGATCAGGAGGCCGATATGGTTCAGTACCAACACCATGGAAACCGAGGAGATCTTCCCTAGAGATACAAAAGAAGGGGAGATGAGGGGCTCAACATCTGGACATTTGGACAATGTAGTTGTCAGTTTAAAAATAATGAAGATGATGGTAATACACTGTGTTTTTGTTTATTTTTAAGGAGATATCCATCCTCATCGAACTTGGTTCCCCCTGTTTCCTTGATGCTCTCCTTAATTTTGTTGTTATTTGACATGTTAAAAAAAAACTTGTATGAGATGATGATCACATGGTATTCAACTCAAAAGCACTCCTTGTTTTCCTCATCAAGGTTGTTGGCCACCCATTGATCCGATTTTTAAACAATTTGTGCACACGCACTTGTCACTCAATGATTCACTATATCAACCATCATTCTCCCTTAATCTTGAGTAACCCACAATGTGTTGTGTACAAACAAGAGACTAAAAAATCCTGTATAAAAAAATTGGATTGATCATTGATTTCGTCGACACAATATCTTTTTTCTTCTTCTCTTATTATATTACTATTAATATGGTTCCATACCATCATGGTACATCTCCTAATGACTTTCTGCTCAGTCTAAGTTCAGTGCGTGAAAGATGTTACAAAGTCCAAGAAGCTGCTGCTCGGAACCGCCTAAAGCATTTTGATATTGATCAATCAAAGTTGGATGAAATGGTTCAGTTCGTCATTCTCATCATCAAGAGAGATTACGATACTCCCTCGGATATCCCACTGTACAGTAGATGGCGTCATTTTGATATTGGTGGAAGACCTCGTCTTAATAACCTCCTACAAACTTGGGCAAGCCTGGGTCAAGATGCATTGGAGCAAACCAGAAAGCTGATTGATATCTTGGTCATTGCAGTGCTCATGGACATAAAGCCATGTCAGACTTGGACTTACACTGAGAAATCTACGGGTAGAGTTTTCAAGAGAAAAGATGGCATTGCGGTGGCTATCCTAGAGTTGTTTGTGAATGGCACATTTTCAAGTGATCCCACACAGCCTCATCGAGTTGACTGTAAGTAACTGACATTGACATGGCATTGTAGCTGTTCTAATCATGCATTATATATAGCTGAGGCGTTGGTCAATCTCTCTTCCAAAACGCTTCGTGATGGCCTCCAATTTACTGAAACAAACTCGTTTGTTGGTATCGATGAACGCCATGAGGTGCTGAGCAACCTTGGTATGGTGCTACAAAACCGTAAGGATTACTTTGGTAATAGTTTACAGAGACCTGGTAACTTGATGGGTAAGTTGGTATCATGCTTGTTTATTTGTATCATACCTAATCTTGCTTTGCCTCCTTACGAAAATCCAGATTATTTGCTTGATCATCCCACCACCATCAAGACCAAGAAGGGCCCTCTCATCAGCATTGAAACATTATGGCCTGTTGCCCTCGAAATGGGTGAAATCTGGGCATCTGAAGATAATGTTGGCGGAACCCCTGGTTTGGGTGATGTTTGGCCATGCCCTGCTATTTCCAATGATGATAGCAACCTTGTATCTTTCCATAAGCTCTCTCAATGGCTTGTCTACTCTATGATTGAACCTATGGAAAAGCTGCTCGGCGCTACTATTGAGGGCACTGACCTGTTAACACCGCTTCCCGATTACTGCAATGGTGGATTTCTTATAGATTTTGGCTTTCTCACCCTGAAACCCGCTGATTATGAACGTGGGATCAAGAACTATCATGCAAATTCTCTCTTACCTTATCAGCCCAAGGTGGAGGTTGCTCCGATGTTTGATATGTCGGACCCTGTGGTCGTTGAATGGCGTGCATTGACTGTAGCCTACCTCGATCTCATTGCTGAACGTGTTCGTCAATCATTTAGATTGAGCAAGAAGTTGCTTTCTTTGAGCCAACTTATTCAAGGCGGCACTTGGAGTGCTGGAAGAGAACTTGCCGAGATTTCAAGACCAAACACACATGAACCACCCATTGTCATCAAGATTGATAAAAGAGTCATATATTAGCTACACTTTCATTTAATTTTAATTTTACTAAAATGCATATAAAGCTATTTTTTAATTAAAAATTTGACATAAGTATGAGAGAGTTTGTTTGAGAGGGCGAGCGAGAGAGAGAGTGAGGGGGGGGGATTAAATGAAGATTTACATGAAAGAATGATATATAGTAGAAACAAGAAACAAAAGCAAAAATAGGTGAAAATAAATGGCATGATTAGACACGGTCCAAACACTTTACAAAAGCATCCACATCGTGATCAGTCAATGGATAGGTGCTCATGCTACATGAAGCCTTCTTTTTCAGTTCGTCACAGAGCAAGTCCAAGTTGAAATCAGGACATTGTTGCTTAATATCTTGATGCACTTGGTAAATGTATTTGCCTTCTTGTTGACCTTGCTTTAATTTGCTCAAAAGCATCTCCTTCTTATCGGCTGTGAGATTGAGGCGTCGACTTGCTGGTGTTTCAGGCAATCCAAATTGAGCAGCCATGTTCAATTGGTTGCTATTACCAAAACCAAAGAGGTCGTCAGTACCACCGAACAAGCCTGATAAATCTTCATTTGCAAACAAGAAATCGTCGTTCGCATTGTTTGTTGTAGGCACACGGTAGTTTGCAAATAAATCATCTTTACCATGGAAGAGATCTCCAGTAGGAAAGCTATTTGTTTGCTGAGTGTTGAAACCAGAGTTATCAGAAACAGCAAAGAAATCCAGGCTATTGTTCATTGGCGGTTGTTGTGCCTGTAGCAATGGCTGTTGCTGTTGATGTATTAAACCAAATTGCATAGGTTCAGCTGAAAATACAGAGTTGATGGGGGTGTCTGCACTGGTAGAGTCATCCTCATGTGTGTGGGAATTTGATAAAGGCGATTGCTCGGCAGATGAGCCTACATCTTCACCGCTGTAGCTATTGTTGCTACTCATACTACTGCCGCTAGTCGTAGTTTGGTACATGCTACTTTTATCAGATGAAGATCTGTGATTCATGTCAGTGATTGCAGTGGCCGTGCCGCTGCTGCTGCTGCTGTTGTTGTTGTTGTTGTTGTTGTTGTTGATATGAGCAAAGGCATTGGCTTGAGTAGAGTCATTGACAGGAAACTCAAATGTGAATTGAGCTCCCTTAAGAGCATAGTTCTCCTCCTGAAGCTTCTGTAACATCTCCTTAAGTTGTTCGTTTTCTTTAACGAGGTCTTCATCTTTGGTGGCATTCAATGCTTCCAGTTCTGCGATACGAGCTTGTAATTCTGCTACGTGCTTTTCTTTACGATCTCTGAATGCACGCTGAGCAGCTCTGTTTTGTGCTTTTCTCTTTTGTTTAGGATCAAGTGGGGCATCCTACGCCACATTTTGGAATATTGTGTATTAATATCACATCTGGTATATATATATTCATGTTACACTACTTACGGATATTTGAGTTTTATCAAGTGGTTTTCGGCCCGCACGTTTAGGTGCTATAGATGATGTTTCCTCGTCTGAAATGTATACATGGAAGAGGTAAGTAAATCATGAATCACTCAGATGCTAACCAAAAAAAAAAAAAATGTTACCTTTATCAAGCTCTCTCTTTATGTGAACTGAGAGAGAAAAAAAAAGCCATGAAATGTTAGCATTTGCATGTCGATCTTTGCTCTGTAAAGTAATCAACATTTACCATGAACTGAGCTACTCTCGGGGGATGAAGATGCTTCTTTATCGTCTTTACTTGCACTCTTCTTGCTAGATGTATCTGATTTCTTACTGCTCTTATCATTGCTGGTGCTGCTATTATCTACTTTGACTTGATGGCTAGCGATAGCAGCATTTAATAAATCGAGAGCGGAATCATTCAAGTTGAGTTGAAGGATCTCAGAAGGTGTCATGTTGGGATTGGAGGTCAAAGACATTTGTTTTGGTTGTTTTTATCAGAGAAAGAGAGAAAAAAGGAAAATGATTCCAATTTTTTCTATTCCCTTTTGCTGAATAATTCAAAAAAATTGGGTTTATCCAAGAGCGTCTCTCGTTGCTCGGAAGTGATGAATATAGCCAATGAATCCTCTGAATCAGAGTGTCTACAAGGCCACACAGTCACCGCCGTGGTAAGATGATAAGTCTTCAAGCATCTACAAATGGTTTGGTTTTACCCTTGCGCTGTCAGTAAAATCTGTTTTTTCTTAGAAATACACCACCCCCTCATTTAGTGCTTGAGCATCCTTTTTTTCTTTCTTTTTCTCTTACATTTCACTCATATACACAGAATGGTTAAGTTTTATCAGCATGTTTTCAATTATGAGTAAGTGTTGATCACCCACATGTACATTGCTGTTGCTCATTCAATCTGCTCAACATTAGTTACCAATGGCAAAATGTTACCCTAGCTTTCTGGTTGAGATACCCTAATCCATTTGCTTCACATGGTAGCTATTTTCTCATTATCTCATCATGCATATAATGTCTGACTTCATTTGTTGACTCATTAGTGCTCGCTGTGGATGTCTTGGATCGCTATGTTGATGAAAATGGCGTATTAAAGACAACGAGACTCGTATTGAAGAAGGGCAAGGCTCCCAAATGGTTTCCTGAGAATGTAAATATACAGCATCCATCATAAAGCAAAGCATAGCACCTAATCATTTCATCCATAGTTTCTCAAGAATTCAGAGACATTCATCATTGAAGAATCAGAAGTTAATCCAAAGAACAAGACCATGATTACTCGCACCAAGAACTTGAACCATGTTCGCATCATGCAAGTGGAAGAGACTCAAATCTTTAAGCAGCATGAACAAAACAAAGACTGGACAGCTTGCAAGACAGAGGCTCGCATTGTGTCAAAGTTTGGCTGGGGTATGACTGGTCGCATTGAGGGTTTCGGTCAAAGCACCTTCATTGCAAACGCAGCAAAGGTAAATGACTATAGCCATTTCATCTATATTCTGTTATTCATCCATGTCTTTTAGGCTCGCAAGGGAATGCAACACATTTTACAAATGATTCGTGAAAAGCAAGCTGGCAGAGTTCCGTTCCTTGCTCCCGCCGCTCAACAATAACCTTGATTGAATTTTCCCTGTTTCTATGCCACACATCAAAAAACACATCTTCCCGTCTTCCTCTCTTTCTCTCTCACAACGATACAAAAAGAAACCAAAACAAGCCCAATTCTTCTTAGGTTGATGGACCCTATTTGAATTCCCTGTACATATTGTCCTTCAACTTTATTCTTTCTCTACATAATGCCTCGTTTTATTTGTATAAAAAAAATAAAAAAATTATATGCCCACGATCGTTTTTTTTTTTTTCTCTGCAGAATAATCAAGGTACAAATTCACCCGATTGCCGAGTCTCAAACAAGCTTTAAACCCAAGTTGGGATGGAAAAAAAAAAGTAGCATGATAATTTATGAAATCTACTACAGAGAATTTGCTGGTTGATAAATTGACGTAAACAAACAAGAGCATATCAACGCATAAACAAAGTTACCGTCTAGAGTGCTTGATGCGGACCCTCCTTTATAGTGCTTATTGCATTGAACATTGGCATCTCTTCTTTTAGTTACTGGTTCCTAACATTGAGCGACCGTAAAACCGAATTTGGGTGGTGTATTCATTTCGGTGGACATGGATACAGATATTCATTGTATGCCAGTGCTTTTGTGATGCATTGCAAGGACAAGTGTAATTCAACATCGAATGGCTTAGATGATTCTGAGTGTTAGCGATAGCAACATACTATTACCAGACGGGTAAATTCAATATGGAAATGTATTTGAGATTGATCTTCAGAGCTGTGCTCAATGTAAAGGTTTGCGTGTTGGTCATCATTGCATATCTGTCAATGATACTACCAAGCCATATCACTATATATATACACTTGAAGTATCATGCATTTTTAAAAAGAGTAATAAGTATCCATTTTACCATGAACCCGACCTAATTGAGCAAATTGCAAGTAATAAGGTCATTTAATATATAAGTTGCGCTGAAAAATTAAAGCAAAATAGTGAGGCCATGATATAGAACCTGATTCCCTTCTTGTTAGTTTTGCAAACAGCGGTTCCCTTCGTCATATTGATTTTAACAGCAAGCAGAAGCACAGCCAAAACATATTAAAACGTCGATGGTTTTTCACCATTCCAGATTGGCCAAATTTTGTACAGAATCGACTTGAAAGATCTAGTTTGCCAAGTTCGACTATGACAACTGCAATAATCCTTCATGCTTCCTAATGCATTCTGGGAGGATTTTTTCAGGCGCATCTAACCGTATTAATTATGATAGGCGTTTTGAACAAGCTTGTTGACCAATCCTGAAAAATATGAAATGACGATTTGGACGAAAATGGCGAGATTTTTTATCTGAAGGTTTCACAAACACAATTTCATGAGTTGCTTTGGATTGATAGAAACATTTTGATTTAAGATATACCATAGTAAAAGTCTTCATTATCAAGGTGAAAAATGCGATCGTTTGATTTTCGATGAAAACCATGAGGGGTACCTCATGCTTTTTGGTCGATTTTTGACCATGTTTTTTTTGGTCCCCAAAAAGTCGAGCAAAAGTGTCAGAAAGTAACTGCCAGATGAGAGCAACCATTTGGGGTTATTCTGACGATCTAAAACGGCCTTGAACGCAAGAAAACGCAGCTCAAATGCATTCAAATTTTGCTGTATTATGGACACTACGGACTAAAAAATGGAAATAACAGTATGCTGCTTGCACGTATATAAAGTAGCTACGTGTGTATGGATGTAGAGCATCACATAAGGATCAGATCCACAGATAATATGAAAGGTTTTCATGTGTAAGTAGAGGGTCAACATGAACGTAGTAGTATTATGATAAGATACGCAAGGACAATCGGTAGCGCGAGCTGCCGCCGTGCAGGTTGGTTTTCACCGAAGCGAAGCGAAGATAGAGAGCCATCCGAAGCATAAATACTCGTGTGAATAAAGCAAAATATGCTTTTATGTACACATCAAACCAATACCAAAAACGCAGCTTAATATGATTAGCTCGATAAAGTTACTGCTAAACTTACAGAGAGCCTAACAACTGAATAGTAGATAATGCTGCATAAATAGCCTATGTGGATAAGCTGTCGAGTGCTTGAAAGCACATGTACGATGATATCCGTGGAGAATATACGCACTGATCACTCTGATACATGAGCTTAAGCGCTCGTAGTGCGTGACGTTTCCCACTGGAGATTTCAAATAAATTTTCAATTGCTTTAATGAAATATACTCTCACTCTTTTCATCCGCAATACCATCATGTCGAGCGACGATTTTGTTCATGATATTGCTATCGATATCTCACGAGCTTTGAACCTGACGAATCCTAACGATTTGATTGCCAAGAAGGTCATTCAATTTGCTGAAACCAACAAAGATTTTGACAAGTTCAGCAAAGGTAAGTGGATGGATATCGAGACCATTTAAAGGCTTTTTACTCAACAAATCATGTACTAGTTTGTAGCACGTTTGGCAGATTCAGTAAAGAGTTTCTGGCAGAGACATACACTAAAATCAACAACGAAAAGCAGAAGGAAAAGCACAAATCAAGCAGCAAAAGCAGCACTAGCGCAAAACCCGTTCAGCCTGTCGTCGATGCAACAAGAAACGAGGTGCTTGTGTTAGGTAACAACTTACCTGGTGGCCTCATCACCAAAAAGAACAAATCGTCCAAGGCAGATGAAGAGCGACCCATTTTCAAAGTACCTGCTTTACCTAATAAATCATTGCTTGGGTTGGATGAATTGGCACGCAAGAAGCGTTTAGCAGATGCAGCTGCTGTGCCAGCCTCCACCGTAGCAGAGAAGAAAATCAAGATGAGCTGGGACGATGAGGAGGATCAAGACGACAGCAAAATGGACAGTAGAGAGGATAAGGATATCAAAACAAACACAATCCAGACAAGTCGCCCGCATTACAGATCGCAACGCATGGAGACACCTTCCAATCCAGGCGGCATCTCTGAATCAGCATTGAAACGAATGGAAGACATGAAGAGACGAGATAGGCATAGAGGCAACCACTACGACAACAGAAGCAGCCGAGATGATTACAGAAGCAGCCGAGATGAGAGAGGCCGTAGAGAGGACAGAGGCCATCGTGACGACAGAGACCGTGATAGAGATCGCTATGGAAGAGACCGTGATAGGGACGTTCGTGACAGAAGGCCAGACGACAGATACAGCAGTAAAAGTGGCAGTAGCACTCCGCCATCATCTCGAGATGGATCAGAGACACCTGGTAGACGTGGAGGTTTGATCAAGCGTAGCCAATGGACCAGCATGACACCACAAAATCAGGGTGCATTCACACCTCGTCAATCAACCGGCAACATGACACCCGGAAGACATGACAGTGGTATTCGACAATCCACAGGTGCTGCTACTGCTGCAGTAAGACGCACGTGGGATTACATGACACCTGCTGTGCGATCCACAGCCTACGATGAAGTGGCATTGGAATACCCAGAGGAATTTGAAGGCGACGAGGAGGACAGAAGGCGTTGGGAAGAAGAACAAGCTCAATTAGATCGTGAGTGGTATCAAATGGAAGACAACGGTGCTGTAGATGATACGCACAATGCATTCGCTGATTATGAATCGCACGATCAACACAAGGAACAAGAGTTGGCTCAGAAGCAAATGAAGAAATTGTCTGCTCGTCAAGCACAGTACAATCGCGATACAGACATGTGGGAGGCAAGTCGTATGCTCAGCTCAGGCGTTGCACAGCAAATTGAAGTGGATACAGATTTTGATGAAGAGAATGAGGTAAGGCAGATCTTGCTTGAGTGTGTGTAAGCAAGCTACTGACAGTACATGGCAATAGAACCGAGTGCATCTCTTGGTCCATGATATCAAGCCTCCTTTCTTGGATGGTCGCATGGTATTCACCAAACAACTAGAAGCAGTGCAGCATGTCAGAGACCCTACTTCGGATATGGCCATCATCTCTAGAAAGGGCAGTCGACTAGTGCGAGAAAAGAGAGAGCAAGCAGAACGAGCCAAAGCTAGTAAATTTGACCTTGCTGGCACCACGTTGGGCAATGTGATGGGTGTCAAGGGCAAGAAGACGGACGAGCAGCAAAATGGAGAGGGCGATGATGCCAAGGGCGATTCCAAGTTTGCCTCTCATCTGAAATCATCTGAAGCAGCTAGTGAGTTTGCGCGAACAAGAACCATGCGTGAACAGCGAGAGTTTTTGCCTGTATTTGCTGTCCGTGAAGACCTGCTCAAGGTGGTACGCGATAATCAAGTAGTCATTATTGTGGGTGAAACTGGTTCTGGTAAAACAACGCAATTGACACAGTACTTGCACGAAGATGGTTACACAAACTATGGTAAAATCAGTTGCACACAGCCACGTCGTGTTGCTGCCATGTCTGTTGCTAAGCGTGTCGCTGAAGAAATGGGCTGTGAATTGGGCGACACGGTGGGTTACACGATTCGTTTTGAAGATCAAACATCTGAAAATACGCTGATTCGTTACATGACCGATGGTATTCTGCTGCGTGAATCCATGAACTCGCCAGACCTGGAACAATATAGTGCCATCATCATGGATGAAGCCCATGAACGTGCCTTGAACACGGATGTCTTGATGGGTCTCTTGAAAAAGGTGCTTGCTCGCAGAAGAGATCTGAAGCTGATTGTCACCTCTGCTACCATGAATGCTGACAGATTCTCGCAATTCTTTGGTAACGCGCCTTGTTTCTTCATCCCTGGTCGTACTTTCCCCGTGGACACGTTGTTTAGCAAGACATCTTGTGAGGACTATGTGGACAGTGCCGTCAAGCAAACACTGGCTATTCACTTGTCGCAACCTGCTGGTGACATTTTGATCTTTATGACAGGTCAAGAGGACATTGAAGCTACGTGCTCAGCCTTAGCAGAGCGTTTGGAACAGCTAGATGAACCACCACCATTGGCCATCTTGCCCATCTATTCACAATTGCCAGCTGATTTGCAGGCCAAGATTTTCCAAAGAGCCGAGAACAACGCCAGAAAAGTCATTGTCGCTACCAACATTGCTGAAACGTCGCTTACGGTGGACGGTATCATGTACGTGGTGGATTCTGGTTACTGCAAGCTCAAGGTGTACAACCCTCGTATCGGTATGGACGCCCTGCAAGTAACGCCCATCAGTCAAGCCAACGCCAATCAACGTAGTGGTCGTGCTGGTAGAACTGGCCCCGGTGTCGCTTATCGCTTGTACACGGAAGATGCCTACAGGAACGAGATGTTTGTCAATACGATCCCTGAGATTCAGCGTACTAATCTCGCCAGTGTCGTGCTCCAACTGAAATCGCTGGGTGTCAAGAACCTGCTGGAATTTGACTTTATGGATCCTCCTCCTCAAGAGAACATTTTGAATTCCATGTATCAGCTATGGATCATCAACGCTTTTGATAATACGGGTGAATTGACGGATGCGGGTCAAAAGATGAACGAATTCCCTCTGGACCCCTCGTTGGCCAAGATGCTTATTGCAGCTCACGAACAAGGATGTACTGCCGAGGTGCTGACTATTGTCTCTATGCTGTCTGTTCCCTCTGTGTTTTACAGACCCAAGGAGCGTATGGAGGAGTCGGATGCCGCGCGAGAAAAGTTCTTCGTGCCTGAAAGTGACCACTTGACACTGCTTCATGTGTACACACAATGGAAGATTAATCATTACCGCGATGACTGGTGTACAAAGCATTTCGTGCATCCAAAGGCTATGCGCAAGGCAAGAGAAGTGCGTTCTCAATTGATGGACATCATGAAGACTATCAAAATGCCCTACGTCTCCTGTGGCACGGATTGGGACGTGGTTCGGTAAGTACCAAGAGGAGATAGAGAAGAATACCGTACTCATATTTGTCTCTCTAGTAAATGTATCTGTTCAGCCTACTTTCATCAAGCAGCTAAATTAAAAGGCATTGGTGAATATATCAACTGTAGAAGTGGCATGAAATGCCATCTTCATCCTACCAGTGCTCTGTTTGGCGCAGGTTTCACTCCTGATTATGTAGTTTATCATGAACTGGTCTTGACCTCAAAGGAATACATGCAATGCGTTACCTCTGTCGATCCCTTTTGGTTGGCTGAATTGGGCCCCATGTTCTTTTCTATCCGTGATCGCGATAGAAATTATGGTCAAAGAGAAAAGCGTATGGCGAACATTGCCACAGAGTCTCGTCTCAACATGGAGATGGAAATGAAGCTTGGTAAGCGTATGTTTGTCTAGTATTATGAGCAATGTATTTATGTCTGTTTATTGTAGCTCGTGAACGCGAGGAGAAATCAGAAGCAGAAGCCCTCCAAAAGAGACAAAACACGGCGCGTGCTGGGCGTATTGCAACACCTGGCGCTAGAGACATGCGCACGCCTAGACGAAGAGGATTGGGATTGTAGATAGCACCGTAATTAAAATAAATACCCTTTCTGATCCATGATTTCCATGTTGCCAGCTAATGAACCCTGATTATTTATGCGTACTAATTGATACCAATACTCTATGTCTAATTGCCCGCAAACCCTTGAATTATATCACTATATGAAAGCTTACAGTTGCATAAATGCGAATTATCTGCCCATGACAGGACCCACGTGTCTGGACCCGTTTTCTACATTATGTATGCAAGAGAGCCTTCCTCCTCATTCAATCATTTACATTAACATCTTTGATTCGGCTTGAATAACGTGTTTCCACATGTCGGAAAGATGCTTTATGCCTTTTGATTGTATGGGGGATGAGCAAGAATAAAGTCTTTTTATTAAAGATAGTTGGAAGTGGCATGAATTCTATAAAGTGTATGATATGTATGAATGTATGATTGTGTCTATGTGTCTATAAATGGAGAGTGTAGCGCATATGAATGTATATGTTGTAATGGAAGAATGATTAGTCATTGACTTTATGTATGAATAGATGATGGATTTGACCAAGAAGATATAAAAAAAAGGGAGGGGCAAACATAATGATGTGTAGTATAGTATTAAGAGGTAGAGTGCTGTGTATATGTTGTAAAAAAAAAAAAGAGTAATATTCTCATCTATGGTTAAAGTCTAAGTTTTTGGCGAGAATCCTTCTCTTTTAGTACCCATAATTTTCAATGTATTGTTGTTCATATTGTATCTTGTGGTGGTGATGATATTGGAAATTAAAGATAGGACTAATATCGTTACATGAAGTTGAAGGATCTTCGTCTGATGCTGACGAACTATCATCAGAACTAGAAGAGGTCAGCTCGCAATGACTGCTGACAGTGTTGAAGCCTTCATCATCTGTGTAGTCTCCTATGTAAGCCAGCATAGTGCTTTCAAATGATTCGCTGCACTGTATTTGAGAAGATGGAGGTGGAGTCATTGGCTTCACGTCTTGAGGGGCAGTAGTAGCAGCAGTAGTAGTAGCAGAGGGGGTATTTGGAGTAGCAACAGTAAATAAGCGACAGGCGAGTATCATGTTCCTGAGCTCTGCTAATGTAATTCTTTTTGCTGGGTCTAGACAGAAGATGCGAATCAAGATGCGGTCCAAACTCTTGGAGATGCCAGGAAGTATAGTGCGAAAGAAGCGACGAGGTTGTTTCACGTAGGCAGCAAAAGCGGCATCTTGCATATTTGCTTGTTTCCAAGGATTTCGGCCTGAAACGAGATTGATGAGGATGATGCCTAGACTCCAAATGTCGTTGGTCAGAGTATCGTAATACTGCACTTGCTTCATGCTGTGATTGCCAGACACTGTAATACCTTGACATTCTAAATTGAACATTATAAATAAACGAATCTTTCTTGTGTAAATTAGCAAGCCTTCTCTTACCTGGAGAGAAATAGAAGGACGATCCACAATTGAACTCTTTGGATATCATTTGATTTGTTGTCAAGCCAAAATCAGCCAATTTGACACGATGATTTGATAGCAGCAAGATGTTTTCGGGCTTCAGGTCCCGATGAGCGATCAGGTTGTGGTGACAATGTTGCACAGCATCTAGTATTTGCAAAAACAAATGGCGGATAACCTTAGTTTTACCGATAATGGCTTGAGATAGCTTAGGCTGAGTGATGCTTGAGAACAAATCACCATGTGTAGCGTATTCCACGACAATGAATACATGATTTCTTTCTTTGATGACTTTCTCCAACGATAAGATATTAGCATGTCCTGAGAGGGTTGAATGCATTTCGACTTCATTTCGAGTGATATGGTTGTCATGGAGACATTTGACAGCATAATAACGATTGGTATAGACATAACGACCTAGATACACAACTCCGTATGAACCAGACCCAATGATGGAGACGAGCTCAATGGATTGATTGTCAATGAATGAATACAAGAATTGCTGAGGATCGATCATGATACTGAATGACGAGAAAAGAGAGAGAGATTGAGAGAGGGAGTAGAAAGGAAAAGAGGAAAAGAAAGGACTTAATTAATTGCTTATTGACTGATTCAAGAGTCTATTATTTATATGCCCATTCACCACACACGTCTGTGTATCTTGCCTCTCCCCATTTCTCCTTAATTTACATTCTATGTTTCAATTGCCTCGGCCGCGTGGGTGGATAATGATCAACTCCTTGAATATTAGCAACATCTTTAACGTTTTATATGGTAGACTTCTCCTTAATATTATTACACCAAGTAAACACATTCCTTATTTAGTGTGTCCGCCTTCAAGGATTATCACACGTAATGCTCTCATGTTCATCAGGCGTTACATACATGCAATGGATAATCAATGATATTAATGTATATTGCACATACATTACTGCTCTTGCTCGCCCCGCTCCCCCTTGGTGCTGCTGTCCTGATCAGTGTAACAAAATTTTGGTCTTGTAAATATAGTAAACATCATCGTGGTTTACAACGATACATGGCATTGGTGAATTGTTCGCATAAACCTAAATTTTTGTTTGTTGTTGTCTAGACATGCTCATGTTTCATCTCTCGCAGTTCTATCGCTTTATCTTTATTAGGGAATTCACAAACGTATACGAACACAAGACTTGACTGATCTGTGCTTTTTTCTTATCTAGTAGTCTTCAATACAACGTAGATCAGCACCCTTTGGATAAAGTAGCAATATAAGTAGTGATTATAACTGGTTGATATAGCATACATCCTATTATTCAAGCTGGCGAAATGAACACTTGTTGGAAAGAAATATCCTCAGCATCTTAATTAATCGGATATCCTAAATCTAAACCTTGAGTTACCGTTATGCCTACTTTGTGGAACTGCACGTCGCCTTGGAGCATTTAGCAGAAAGGAGGCGAGATGATTATAATGCCTTGAGACAGCTGTTGTTTGTTTTGAATATGGCTTTTCAATGGAACGCATCAACTGAACATCACGCTATTATAGTTCCTGATAAGCAAGCACTTACAAATAGGATGGGAGAGACATGGAGAACTCGAACATTGTAGCAACTATCGATAAATAGATAATGAAACGTCATGGACGATATACATGCTCCATTCATCGTGCAATCATTTGACAGCATTTGCATGTATGACATGTTAAGAGCTCATTTTCCATGGCTTGTAAGGAGGCTTAATTTAAAATACAAAGATCTACACGTTTCTGAAATAATATGGCATCTTGAACATTACATGTGAGCGTATTGAAATTGTAGCTGGCAAACCTGTAAGTCATTTTCAACGACAAGTCAAGTTTACAATGTTCGCTGGCTCAGCAAGTCTCTTTTGTTGTTCTTTGAATGTGCTCACGAGCCTGATAATATGTTCTGGATTGCTGCGAGGGGGGCAGCATAGTACATCTAACATTATAGTATTGTAGGCGTAAAATATGTGGTAATGCCACATAGAAATCAATTATTTGAAATCGCCGTCTAATTATCAAGCATGATGGCTACATGGACTAGACGGAAACAAATGTAGAGTAGATGGGACGACCGAAATGGGCTCTAATTGCTTCCATGCCTCCTTGACAGTTATTACTTTGTGCAGCCCTGAACGACAGGTATGCACACTTATACTGTTCAGTAATACGGAATGCCCTCACTAAATATATACTGGAAAAGTATGTTTTTTTTTTAAAAAAAAATAGACAAGCCATTCATACCCTCTCAAAATTTTATAGAATTGTGTGCCGTGCAAGATGAATAAAACCACCAGCAAAGCCAGCAATGGGAAGGAGGTTCGGGGAAGAACATAACGCGTCTAATTCAACACTTGATAGCATTGATTTGTGGGGGGTTTTACCGTAGCGAAGCAAAGGTGCAAAGCCATGGTAATAAGGCATCTAATCCAACACCTGGTAACATTGATCTATATGAGGGCTTGATCACAGAGAAGCAAAGGTGCAAACCTATGACAACTAAGCATCCAATCCAGTATTTGATAGTATTGATCTATACGAGGGCCTGATTGTAGCGAAGCGAATATGCAAAACCATAGTATCTAAGCAGTAAATTCGGGATTTCATTTCCATTGTTAATAAGCTTACCAGCAACATAGCGCATCAGAATTTGCATAAATTAGCTTAACCAAAATCAATATGCCTCCTATTCGAATTAAAAATTGCTCAAGCTACAGAACTGCCCTTCCAGAAAACTTCAGCTATTAAAGATGTGATTCACGCCGTGTAAAAAACTCTATAATAAAGCAATACGTAATCAAAATTGGTAGCTTTCAAGCCCTTATATGTTGACATGTAAGCCTTTCTGAGCCACCGGAATAACGCCAAGCAATTTTACTTGAGTAGTAGTAACTTCCCGTCACCTTTGCTCAACTTTTTGGGCCAAAAAAAAGGCCAAAAATCGACTAAAAAGCATGAGGGGTACCTCATAGTTTTCAGCAAAAATCAAACGATCGCATTTTTTCACTTTGAAATGAAGACTTTTACTATGGTATATATTAAATCAAAATGTTTCTCTCGATCCAAAGCAACCTCTGAAACCACTTTTATGAGACTTTCATAGGCAAAATCTGGCTATTTTCGCTAAAAACCTCATTTCAAATTTTATTAAATTGCTCAATAAGTTCAGTCAAAATACTTATTACAATTAACACCATTGGAAGCACCTTGAAAAGTACTTCAAGAATGTATTAGAAAACGTAGGGTGATCACCACAATTTATATAGTCGAACTCCACAAAATCGATTAAAGGAGTCGAAAAGAGACGAGATCTGTCCACTCTTGAAGAATAAATTTTGGTTACGGCATTGCTGCTGGCTGACCTAAATGCCTTTCTGTTGATGACAATGATGATTGCGATGCCGATTAAATGGGGATCACGGAATTAAAAGGACAGTTGCTTAGCGCAAATACTTTTTTTTTTGGGGAGCTTCGCCTCATGAAGATGTCTTTTGCAACGACAATAGCTCAAAAAAAGCCGCTGTAGGCCTTACACAAGTCCTGTATTTATTTATGGCCAACCTTATGTCGCCATCTTATTAAGAGCATCAGCAGCAGTGAATGATATGACAATTCTATTATCAGAAAATGAAGATTGTGGTGTACAAATGCTGCATAAAATTTGAATTCTCTTTCACATTGCCCCCAATAATAGGCTTCGTTTGATATCAGTGTAAGCAAAAAGGACGCTGAGGGAGATATCTCCTCTCCTCCTCCTGGTGACTCTAATATAACCTTTCTTTTTTTTTTTTTTTTTTTTTTTTTTTTTTTTTTTTTTTTTTTTTACTAATAATATATCGTTTGAATCTACTTGATATACCAAAATTTTATTATATCTGATTTAAAATGTCTTTGGTGAGAGCCCACAGGGCGACGCCGGCATCGAGGGTAGCGAGATAGATCGGCTAGTGGTGATATATTACACATTATTTGTGACCAAATCATGTAGAAGTTATGGCATAAATGAAGGAAAGGAACCAAACGTAAGTCTTGTAAAATCAAACTCTGTGATCTTTGCTAGCATGCCAATCTTGATCATTAAAAGTATCCTCGCTATAGATCTAAGCATTCGCAGCTTATGAGTCTTTGAATGTGCGTAGATTTTATGATGTCCTGAGAAGAAACAGTGTGTATTGTATGGTATGAGGGCTCTGTTGCCTCTTTTTTCAACGCTTCAATGTATAGTATGCTTTCAGTGCCACAATAATATGTATCCACGGCATGGAATGAAATGCTCTCAGTTTTTGTGTATTCTTCTCTCAACTCGTCAATCTCTTTGAAATGCATCAAGGATAACAGCAAGCAAGCTAATCCGAGTTTACTATACATTGGCATTAATTTTACATTGATCCTACCGCTGTATGTGCTTATTTGCTGGCATTGCTGAGCGCATCTAGGAAATTATCCTTTATAGCCTCAAGCCAAAGCCTTTACGTTTGCTTGTTCGAATGTGTCTGCTTTGAAATTCTTCATCCAATATGAATGGTTCTCACGACTTTCTCTTTGGGTATTATTGAGTCAAGCGTATAGGTATGATACCAGCATATTTGTATAAGACTATTAGCATTACATGGACCATTATGGTAAATTCTGGAGATAGCCATCTACGCAAGAGTTTTTCTTCGTGCTGTAAGCATAGCGTGCATTTATGGTTATAGTCAATCACAGGATGGTCTGGATGATAAACTTGACTAGTGCTGACAATTGTATCCTGAGCTTTGAAAGCAAACAGCAGCTGATTAGAAATAAAGCAGACTGCGTATCTTGACCTCATTCTTTTACAATAGAGCAAACAAAGCATCAGTCAGAAGATTCTGATTATCATGCGTATAGTATCATTACTGGTGCCACTGGAGAATTGTCAAACCTGAGAGATTATGCACAGAACAAACCACAGAGCAGTGACACAAAGTTAATTGAAGAGTCGCAAAGCAGAAATTAGACGTCGCTATGTGCTACTATTCCATCTCACAATAGGTCAACTAATACAAGAAGTATACCTTCATGCGCATCGTCATGTATATTGCGTAAGATACTATATGCACCAAGAATTGATACACCATGAAAGTATTGATGCATACTACATACAGCCTCTGTGCTTGTCAAGTTCGTCTGCTGTATTTCACTTTGTCATTCAATCCATAGGGACAGCTTCTTCTTGACACTGTGTGTTAGCATTGCGATTCATAAAACCAACTAACTGTGCGTTTTACAGAATGCATTTCTGAGAGATTCGCATGATAAATGATGGCATCGCCATGTATGTTTTTGGCAAATTTGCCAAGATACTTACATGTGCGTTTATGCCCAAAGAAAGGCGCAACATCATTTACCTTTGCCTGAGGATAGCAACAGTGTATCACGCAAATTTAAATGTAACACGCATAATGTATCGAGGCAACTGGAACACAGGATGTCCAGATAATTGATTCAACATGTAGCACGGAGTCAGGCGAAAGGAAACGGTCTAGTTTATACATTGAAAGGACCATTCTCACAGCTGTAGATGCATCATTTCAGCAAGCAAGAACCTGCACGATGAATGACATGTAATATGTATCATAATAGAAATGCACACCTCATGTCATTTCCTGTGCAAGTGCAACATAAACAAAACATAGCCTCGTCATCGTCCCATATCGATTTTGCGCAAATGCATAGGTATTTATAAAGCCCTGAGCCACGGCTTGTCATTTCAAAGTTCGTGTAACTGATTTATAAATGGATCCTATAGCAGAGCAGAGTTCAATCCCGTTAATTTTGCCGAATTTGAACTGAAGTAAACCTGGTAACCAACAAAGGCTCAAGCTACCAAAGCCTTCTGCTTCAAAAGATATAAATATAAAATGCGGACAAGATAGGTTTGGACTCTCATGTGTTGCGCCGATCTAAACGAATACATACAAATCATAGATAGCATCAGAAACCTTTTTGAGTTCCATGTATGATCTGCAGGAGTAGTTCTTGTCTTGCTGCTGCTGGTGGTGGTCATCCTGCTTTAGGAGTGTAACAAATACTTAGTAGAGAGATAATGAGTTTGCGCTTGCCAACATGAAATAGAGTATCAGGGAGATACAGGCAATGAAGAGCAAATCAAGGAGGAGGAGGATACGCTATGAAGGTCGTCTTTTTTTTTTTTTTTTTTTTTTTTTTTTTTATAAATAAACTGAAACCTGCTGCCATTCCGTGTATAATGGTAGCAATAGTCTGAGTGGATCTTTCATGTTCTTTACATCATATATTCACCACTGTACTACTGCAATAGTTGTATTTTCTATTTGTAGATTGAGCACGCGATATCAAGTGTATGTTCTAGGCGGCTTTTCATTTGTTTACCATCTCCTGAGAGTGCCATCACAACAAGACAGCATGATATGCATGACCATGATCCCCTTTTGAAGGCTCCTCTTTGCATTCTGTTGTATTTGTTTTACCTTCTCGGTAAGTGCGTATAGTGAGAAACCAACAAATTCATTGCCCATGCTTGAAAGAACAAGAAAGATGTACATGTTCAAACAAACAAATCAAGTGGTTAATAATTTACCAAAAAGACTACAGCTGATTGAATTGAAATTATAAAAAAATTGTTGAGCCGAGGGGTGGGGGGGTTTTTTTTTTCTGTGTGGTTATAAATAGGAGAACCTTTCAAGAATCGAATTCTCTTGTTCTTTTTCTTGTTTATACACTAAATTACTTCAAATACCATCGCCACCGCCACACACAAACACACAATGCCTGCAATTGACAACGCTACTCAACCCACAACCACCGCTCCCAATGCTGCCGTTGAGGCCGAAAAGAAGGCTAAGAAGCCCATCCGCCAGGTAACGTTTTTGTTGTTAACATGAATTGATCTTGTTGTGCTCAATTGAAGTTTTTGTACATTGCAGGCTGTTGGTGGCCTTGTCATTGATACTACCAACAACAAGGTATTGATGCTCTCCAGTCGCAAGGCTGAGGGTGCTTACCGTCTTCCTCGTGGTAATTGCGATGAAAATGAGACACCTGAACAAGCTGTCGTCCGTGTGCTTCATGATGAAGCCGGCGTTGAGGTCGAGAATGTCACTCAGAGAGTGGGCACATACACTGAAGCCAACAAGAAGGGTAAGATCGTTGGCCATCACTGGATGTTTGAGGTTGCAAACCCCAAGCTTCTTGATTCTTGGCCTGCATTGGATCGTAAGCGTGTCTGGGTAAGTGATTGTTTGCGAATGAAAGAGGGTGTGATAATTGACATGTCTGTCTCTGATAGTTCACCTTTGAAGAAGCCATTGCTGCCTCTGCTGATCGCCATATTGCCCGCTTAGCTCTCAACAACTGTTCTTTATCCCACTAATTTTGTCATCTAATATTTCATTGCATTCAATTAATTTTTAGCATCCCATATAAAAAAAAAACCACCACTTTCTCTCTTTATTCCCTTGATTCCTTTTTCACAATTAAAATCCTATTTTAAATGTATAAAAAATCAACCCACCACTTTTCTAAAGAATCGTTTCGACTTTTTCTCGTCTTTTTGCTTTGTTGGGGGAGGAGTTGGTTTAATGGGCCTATCGATTACGGTTGAATTTGCAAAGCAAGTCTGTTGCAGAGACTCGATCAAGTAGGGTTTGTTGCCTAGTAGTTCTAAAACTTCTTGATATGAAAACTAAAAATAGCAAAATGTCAAATCTCTAATGTGTCTGATGATGGAAGCTGGTCAGTTATACGTACCCATCGTCTCTCTCGTCTCTTTTTGTCTGGCCATTTCTTAAATAGCTCGTCGATCTGAAGCTCGTAAATCCTGATGTGTGATTTTGGCTTTCCCTTTTTGCCGCACTCATAAAATGATCCAACGAGTCCTACAATCTGTCCTCGTACACCCGCTTTTTGTAATATATGGTTTCAAATTGAGTAACAAATATCCACGTGTATACAACATATGAAAATCTACCTTGTTCATACACTTCTCGATGGACCTCAGGCTCTTGGTTCTCATGGCTCTCCACCTCGCACTTTGGCTATTCGTTGTGCAAGATGTTGGATTTCAATTAGCATATCCCTCTCAAATGCCATGTCTAACCCTTGATTCACTTACCAAAACCCATTTCTCTTGCTCCTTATCCTTTATTGATGTCAACATGATTCTATTTGAACGAGGATCGATGGGTAATCCATATATAACCTATGATATCATATTGAGAAATCTCTATTTAAAGACATCTTTTGCTCTCTTCCCGGTTTATAATCCCCTACCTGTCTAAGCTCACCCTCATCTATATCAAGAAATACAGGTACAGGCTCGTTGTTTTCTGTATTGGATATCATTTATCGCTAAATAGTGTGCGTCTTGCTCGCTTGGTATTCTCGTAAAAAAATCAAGAGAAAAAGGGAAGGAAAAAAAAAAAACAAATACACAAAGGAAGCGGCCAAGTTAAATATAGATACTGCGTGATATTAAGGGGTGGGGGATTTGCAACTTGAATTGCCGAGGCAGTGAGTGGTAAAAATAGCATGGTAAGCATTTCTGTTAATTCCGTTGGAGGATGCAATTGGTTAGTAATGTCTGATTGCACACTGAAGTTGTTGGAGCCTTGACCCTGCTTTAGAAATTATAGGACATGCTGTCATTGAGAGATATTACATGGAAAATATCACACAATATGATGACAAGAACTCGGTGATTGAGATGTCTCTATGTTTTCCAAATATACAATTTTTGACAAGATGGATTGATGTTACTTGGTTTACAGTGCCGCTAAATATTCATCATTGTGATCAATAGATCTTCTTCAAGCAAAACAAAATATACCGTTGAGTAGACTTCGCATTAGTGATTTTGCTGCTGCTTATATAATGAAGTATAAAGTCCTTTTTGACACAAACCTAGCTGCCCTGAATTAAACGTTGTGCTGCTACGCAAAAAAGGTTGTGCCTGTGATTGGCGCAAAGTTGTGTCCCCTGGTTACCATGGAAACTATCTTGGATCAATCGCAGGCGCTGTTGTCTGGCGAACTGATAGAAAATATGCGATTAGAAGCATTTCAAGTAAAGCAGTAATGAAATACCAATATCAATTATTAACAGTATATCATGACAGCAATACGTTCTAACTGTGGAAGCTACACTAAATTGATCCTACAAAACATCAAAGTAGTCCCTTTCTGATCACAAAAACACGTACTGAACTCCCATTTGCAGGTGCCAATTGGGTATTTTATCACCGATGGTCAAAGCTTCAAAGTAAATTTATGCGATTTCGTAACGCGACACTGTACATCAGTATTTCCCGATTGCAGATAACTGGTAGTGTATTTCACAATGTATTGATAACTATAAACTTTTAGATAACATTGAATTTAATGAATACTACGGATGGAGCATGAGCTTTGAAAGCTTAATTGAATTGTGTACGACAGTAGGTGCACTGATGAAATGACGTGAGCCACTCGTGAGAATCACATCGATTCAATGATAGGAAGAACAGAAATATTTATATTTGACATTGAGGAACCGATGTAAATCAAGGCAATATCTGCCTAGAAAATTGATCCTTGCATTGGATTAATCTCACATACACACAATAGAAATTAGCCTCCAAAGATCAGAATTTACAATATAAGAAACAAATACTTTAACAACAGAAAAAAAAAAATAACTACATAATATCCCAAAGATCCTCAAAAGCACAACAGACTTTGGCACAAGCTACTGAGGCCGACAAAGCGTAAGATGAGATACCTAATATGATTCATTTGTCAATTATGCAAATCCTTCTCCAAAGGTTTGACCTGCTCCCGCCGTCTCTCCACTTACCAATCTTTTCTGTAACATACTCATCAGCAAAACTGTCTGGTCCTTTTGCCATGGCTCCAACAGCAACTACAATAGGAGTGTAATCTGGGATATCTGTAAAGAACTCTCTCAAACGAACTTTGGGTGCATTCCATGACAGAGCTTTTGAGTTGCATTAGTCAAATTTACCACTGTTTGCTGGATATCGTATGATACTTGCCTATTTTTCGGGAACCTTCAGGTAAATATTGAACAACAGGAGGTGGTACGATTTCCAGTAGCTTTGTGTGTCCCTCTATATCACTTGAAATGCTTCCTCTTTCTAACAATTGAACTATGTCTTGTGGTTAAATCAAGATGCCCTGAATTTCTGCTGCAATCCATAACTACCCATTAATCCAGAAAAGCGCTTAATAGTTCTTGGTATACGGCATTCAGGATTGATTCTGATCACGACTCCTTTGGCCGTATGGATGTAAACCTACTATTCTGGTAAGCAAAGAGAAAGATAATTTTCATAGCAGTACTTACTTCCAAATGACCAGATTTGTTCAAAGGACTATCCAATAGAGTCAAGAGACACTTCATGAATGTGAATACAAGTTGAAGGTACAATCATCACAGCATCGACTTACCTGGTGGACAATATCAGGTCTAGCATCAGCAATATCTCTGCCAAGTCTCTTTAGGATAGATTGATGTTCATCGCAATTTAGCAGCTGCATTTTGCTGTCGTGTCTGTAAGCAACCAAGCGAGCAGCTTCCAATGAAGCGTTTTCAAGAACGACAATAACTTTGCGGCTTTGAGGATTAACAGGTTCGCCTTGTGTAGGAGCCTCATGCCAGGAAGATTCTTCTGCCTTGTTGTCGATCTTTTCTTCTTGCGACATTATTCTGATGATCAAATCGAGTAAAGAAGAGAGAAACGAAAAAAAAAGAGATTTCCAAAGGGCATTTAGATGATAGATGTTTCGACGTTGCAAGATACTATCCCAGTCACGATAGATGCAACAAACATCCCATCAATTTGATGTATATTCATGCCATTGACAGCGCACATCTTCACAGTAATAAAACGCAAGAGCACCAGTGCTTTTGTATGATGTCTTGTTTTTGTGATGAATTCCGGATATCGGGTTGATCTGATGCGTCCATGCCAGTAAGAAAACCTTAGATGATTAAACAGAAAGGCTATTCGCTACATTCAACATATCCAATCAACTACATCTTTCGTAAGAACATGCCAATGAGAACGTCATGTTGTGACCATTGAGCATACCCCGAAATCACCCATAATCCCTATAACAATGGCAGAGGCTGCTAAAGGGAGGGTATATAAATGGAGAGCTAATTTGTGCGCTGTGTTTAACTAAGTCTACGGCGGCGACCCTGCATTTTACTTTCATTTCTTTATTTTATCCTTAAATTATGACTTCTCGTCTCCTAAACTCTGCCTCAAGAGCCATCTTGAGACCTAGCAGTTCAGCATTGAAAAATGGCACATCATCCATCATCAGACGTTCGGAATCCACTGTCCCTTACAATGGCAAGGTAAGGGCGCTACATGTCAAGGTTATTCATTTTATATAATTGACCTATTTTTTTCAATTAGACCACTGTAAAAGGCTTCCCTACCATTGTGCAAGAGTATTCAAAGGCATCCACTGGCCTCTGTAAAGTTACAACGCTTCCCAATGGCATCCGCGTTGCATCCGAAAACACACCAGGTCATTTCAGCGCTGTAGGCGTCTATGTCGATGCTGGTAGTCGCTACGAAACTGCTACAACCCGAGGTGTCAGCCATATTTTAGATAGACTAGCATTCAAGGTAAGCATATACATATGACTACTGGTGATTTGCGTTATTAATAGCTATCCATAGAGCACAGCCAACCGCTCTGCCGATCAAGTTGTTGCTGAATTAGAGTCATTGGGAGGCAATATTATGTGCTCTTCCTCTCGTGAATCCATCATGTATCAATCTGCCATCTTCTCACAAGACTTGAGCAGAGTTTTATCACTTTTCTCTGACGTTGTTTGCCATCCCACTGTCAATAGTGCCGAAGTAGAAGAACAACGTCAAACAGCACTATACGAAATTGAAGAGATTTGGTCAAAGCCAGAGATGATTTTACCAGAAATTTTGCATACAGTCGCTTACGAAGGAAATACACTTGGCAATCCCTTGTTATGTCCACCTGAGAACTTGGAATCGATGACACCTGACTTGATCCGCGACTACATGAAGACATGGTATCGCCCTGAACGCATGGTTATTTCTGCTTGTGGTGCTGAGCATGATCAAGTGGTTGATTTAGCTGTCAAATACTTTGGCGATGTACCCAAATCCAAAGAGAACTTAGACTCTGTCATGACACATGTCGAAGCTTTGAAGAAGCAATACACGCAAGCACAAAATGCCAGTAGCAATAATGGCAAGTCTTTTGTCAAATCATTATTCAACAACTCCAAAAAGCAACAGCAACAAGAGGGTCTCACACCTTTTGAACTGGCAACTCAACCTGCTCAATACACTGGCGGAAGTAGCTTTATGGAAACCGGCCCTGAATCACCATTGACACATGTGTATGTTGCATTCGAGGGCCTTTCCATCGACGATCCAGATATTTACGCTCTCACTACGCTTCAAATATTGCTCGGTGGAGGTGGATCCTTCTCTGCTGGTGGTCCAGGCAAGGGCATGTACTCTCGTCTCTTTACGCATGTCTTGAATCAGCACTACTGGGTTGAATCATGTCAAGCATTCAATCACTGCTACACAGACTCTGGTCTCTTTGGTATTGCTGGATCATGTCAACCTGAATATGCCAATGCTCTTGTTGAAGTCATTTGTCGTGAATTGGATATTGTTGCCAGAGGCGATGTTGGACAACTCGCAGTGACAGACATTGAATTGAATCGTGCCAAAAATCAATTAAAGAGCTCGCTCTTGATGAATCTGGAAAGTCGCATGGTACAATTAGAGGATCTTGGTCGACAAATTCAAGTGCACGGTAAAAAGACTGGCATTGACGAAATGTTGGCCAACATTGATAAGGTTGACGTGAATGAATTGAGACGTGTGGCCAGTCGTGTTGTTCGTGGTGCAGTCAGTGTCACCAGTGGTGGCAGTGGAAAGGCTACTGTCGTTGTACAAGGCAATCTTCAAGGCTTGCGTGATGTTAACAAGACAATTGATAAATACGGTTTGGGTAGTGGTAGCAATTAAGGTTAGATCTCCTGTGTACTTTATATTATTTTATTTTCTCGCTTCTTAAATAGTCATTATCCCTCTCCAGCGTCATTTTTCAGAAATCATGTAAATTCTACTGCTATTTCATAGATTAGCTGCTCACAGTTTATTCGTCAATAAATTACTAGAGCATTTTTAGAAGAATTGAGATTTCAAGGCCGTCATCTCCAATCTGTTTACGGCAATTGCCCTAATCTCGCTTCGTTGCGTCCTATCTACACGCACTTGGTGATCAAATGTCATTACTCGAAACACATAGGCATTGGAAAGCACAGAGTTGTCAATAAAGTCGACTAATTGTAGTGCAGGTCAAAAATTAGAGACACAGGCAATTCAATATAAAGTTGGTCTATGAACTCCCATCATATACAGTAAAAGCAAACAATCATCGTTTATATGACTTTTATTAGTAGCATCTACTCTAAATTTGCAAATTTCAAAAATCTTCGTTTCCTCATCACCTACACTTCCTATCTAAAATCTAATTGCTCCATCGTCTTCTACACAAAAATTCGCTATAGGGACATGCTAATTTCAAAGCTCTAGCATCACTTTTTCAAAAATCGATGTTCGATCGTCCAAAAGTTGAAAACCTCAAAATCAAAAAACATTTTGTACATCCAGGTCCTCATAGGTAAAAAAAAATTAGAATCATATAAAGCTGAAATATGTTGTAGAATAATGATATTGGAGCAACTTTTAAGTGGGAATATTATATTGGAAATGCATACTTTATGAGTTAATCGACATTGGAGATGCTATTTCTAAGCGGGGGAATATGCATACCTTAAATGGCAAATCTTATTGTAATCAAACAAAGCAAGCTACAACTGTCTAGTCTTAACAAAAAGATTCTTCAACATGTCAAGTATCTATTGATAACTTGAAACCAGCAAGTTAATATGGCCCTTTTCGTACGCTCCGATTTTTAAAATGCCTGGTCAAATGCAAACTTGTGAGGTGTACACATGCGGAAGGTCAACGGAGCTTCAATTTCTAATATTCTGAATGAGGATCCATGGGATTCCAAAATCTATCGACCTTAAAATTACGCGTTTCTTGATAGTAACTACCCCCTTTAAACTTATATGAAACTTGTAGAGAATTTAAGGGAGAATACAATGGCATCCATATCAAGTTTCTGGTGTACATTGTTCACCTGATATTTGGTACGATTGTTTTTGCGATTTCTTGACTGTTTTCTAAAGATTAATCAGTATCCGTCATCAAAATATTTTGTTAAGCATTACCAAACATTGTAGACCAAAAAATTTCCTATCGAATGAGCTATTTGTTGAAGCTCTGACATGACTCTATCATGAAATATTGAAGATATTGTCCTGACTAAAAAATCGTCACCAGATTTTTTGCTTGCTATCACAGGCAGATTTTGAAGGAAAATCCATGATTTTGCACGATACCTTTTTTTGGCTGTATCTCGACAAATACTCATCCAATCCGCACAAAACAAACACCATTCGATAGCTCTACGTTATACCCATTATTATAAAAGAGCTTTAGGTACCAGATGTACGTTCCCTTCATGAATTCGCTCAAAACCTTATATTTCATGAGCTACAAGCAGGGGATAATCAAAACTTTTTTTATTATCCTATAATAACCATACCATTGTATAGAGAATTGAAAACGAAACAGAATCTATTAAGCTTTAACCTCATGTTCACTTAGTAAAATCAACCGGTACGGCCCTTTGAAATCTGTCCATTTTCTCTCTTTTTCCTCATTACTCATCGACATCGTTCTCAGCAAGCCCAAATACAACACTCCCTAATCAACAAAAGTCCCCTCTACAACTTTTACTAGACATACAACCAACATTCATATAGTAATCCATTGGCTTTTATTAGTAGCATCTACTCTAAATTTGCAAATTTCAAAAATCTTCGTTTCCTCATCACCTACACTTCCTATCTAAAATCTAATTGCTCCATCGTCTTCTACACAAAAATTCGCTATAGGGACATGCTAATTTCAAAGCTCGAATTTCAAAATCGAAATTCAAAGAGAAATTATAAGAGAAAAAAGAGAAAGTAAACCAAGCAGAGAAAAACTAACGCGCGAAGGTTTTTCTTTATAGTGAAAAAAAACAAGATACTCATGATGGACCGCTTTCAAAATATGACAGCCGCAAAGAAGTCTAAAAACTTGAAATACAATGGTGTTTTATCAGAACTCATTGCTTATTTATATGTACAGTATGCATGCAGCATAAAGGGCCTCACATCAAAATACATTTCGTGAAGGAAGTTGTGGCAAGTTAAACACATAGTCGATGTTGAATGCTTATGATAGGTAAAGCTCTAAATTGCTTCATGGTTTATTATTATAGAGAGATGAAGCATAATCATGTGGGGTGAGCATAATACAGTTTTACAAGATACTCAAAGATTGTTCCTTGACAAGTCCAGCATAGATGCCATCCAGCGAAAGTAGTTCCCAATGCGTGCCTTGCTCAAACACACGGCCATCTTTGACGACACAAATCAAATCAGCAGTTTGGATGGTAGATAAACGATGAGCTATAGTAATCGTTGTGCGACCACCTTCTTCCAAGATGTTATCCAAAGCCTCCTGTACAAGTTTTTCACTATCGCTATCAAGAGCAGACGTAGCCTTTGTATCTAATGGCGTTAGAGTATACAAAAGAAAAGATCCACATGACAATAGTTACCTCATCCAATAGCAGCACTTTTGGTTTACGGATCAACGCACGAGCAATGGCAATTCTTTGCTTTTGACCGCCAGATAGTTGGCTACCCTTATTACCTACTCTTTCATCGTATCCCTTGGGTAAACCAACGATGAAGTTGTGGATGTTGGCGGCCTTGCATGCTGCTTCGACTTCTTCTCGGGTGACCTCTATACCATCATCGACGCCAAAGCAAATATTGTCCAGCACCGACATGTCGAACAACGCAGGTTCTTGTCCTAACATCAAAACCAGCGTGAATACGGATTGTATTGATATGTAATCGCACGCAAGTACTTACCAACAAGTGCCATATGGCTACGCAAATTGTTTAGAGAGTACGATCTGACATTATTTGCATCCAGTATGACTGAACCAGAGAGAGGATCATACCAGCGTTGAAACATGCCAATGGTTGTTGATTTTCCACAGCCAGAATTTCCCACCAAGGCAATAGTTTGACCAGCCTTACCAGTAAGATTGAATCCACCGTTGAAGATCTGAGTGTCAGGACGAGCAGGATAGGCAAATTCTATATTCTTGAAGTTGATATCACCATGCACTGAGCCAAGAGCAGGTTCAATGCCCTCCAGATCAGGATCAATCTCTGGCTGACGTTCCATTACTTCAAAAGATGCGATAGCCGAGTATTTTGCTTTGGCAAAGGTACTAGCAAAGACGGAGCTACGACCAGCACTTTCGGCGGTTGTCATGACTACAGTCATTGTTGTGAACATTTGTTGAAACGAGATGGTGCCGTTGATGATAAGACGCATGCCCGCATAGAAACTGACAGCGCTCGTGTACAGACTGATACCACGATTCAAAGCATAGCCAATGGATGAGAAGTAGGCCTTGCGCTCGGCGAGTTTGTGCGGATGCTCAGTAGCATGATAGTAACGTTCTTCAAAGTAACATTGCTTGTTCAAAGCAGCCACAGTACGGATCTCACGAATGGCTTCACCAGCAACCTCTCCGCTTTCAGCATTGGCTTTTTTGGTTTTATCCTCAAAACCACGATGAATTTTGGATTCGTAAGAAGTAGCGACCATGATGAAAGGAGCCATACACAAGATGATCAGAGTGAGAGCCCAACTATAAATGAAAGCAATGATCAAGCCAACACAGATAGTGATAATGAGCTGCGTCAAATCTCCCCATACTAAGGAGCATTATTGGTGTCAGTTTATTGCCTACTTGCACGAACCCAACATACCTTTTGTCACCATTTCATTGACATTACGAGCATCGACCGCCAGCTTAGCTGTAAGGGCACCTGCATTGTTTTCATCTCTGTCAAACCAGCCAATCTCTTGACGCATGTAAGACGCAAAAATGTTTCCACGCAGACGCTTTATGTATAGCTCACCAGCAATTCCAAAAGCCAATGTTTGCAGGCCAAAGCCAATAAAAGCGGCGATACCGAGGATCAGAAAAATGAAAGCGTACAGACTGGCACCTTGCATAGGACCCGGATTGATATCTTCACCAGGTAAACTAATGACGGCAATCACCTTGGAAAATACAAACGAGTAGACAGGGAACACAGCACCAGCAATGGCTGCACCAAGGATACCAAGGGCAATCAATTTCCATTCAGGTCGCATTTGTTGCAGCACTTTTCTGACAGGCGCATCTTGCTTTTTCATCAGCCTCTTTTCTTCCTTTTGCTTTTGAAGTTTGAGGTCGAACGCATTGATGGTGTCAGAGCTTGCATTGCTGGACGGAGAAGCGGTACGGTGGTCGTGATAGACGGTAGGCTTTTCGTCGTTGTAAGTAGTGCTGTTGTGGGTAAGGCTGATTTCGAGTGCCTGTTGATTTTCTAGCACATGAGTCTGGTTTTTTATATCCAATTGCTCTTGCTGAAGGAGGGCCTCAGGATCCAAGTCTTTAGGAGCATCGTTTTGGTCGGTATTAATCATCTGTTTACGCACTAAGTCAGTATAGACACCGTTCATCTTGAGCAGCTCATTGTGTTTGCCGTGCTCAATGATATCACCGTGATCCAAGACGACAATGAGATCAGCATTGACAATGGTAGACAGACGATGGGCAACAACAATAGTAGTACGACTGGTAGAGGCTTTGTCCAAGGCAGATTGCACAAGACGCTCAGATTGTGTATCCAAGGCAGAGGTTGCCTGTGTATGTTGGCTTAGTATTTGCGCATTGTTTCTGACTTGTTGGATTTACCTCATCTAACAATAATATGGTAGGATTCTTCAAAATAGCACGAGCAATTGCAATTCTCTGCTTTTGACCACCAGACAACATGCCGCCATGCTCACCTACTAGAGTGTTGTAGCCATCAGGAAGTTGAGAAATGAATGAGTGGCAGTTGGCCTCTTTGCAGGCAGTGATGATTTCTTGGTCAGGCACATCTCTGTCGACTCCCATGGCGAGGTTTGAGCGGATGCTCATATTGAACAAGACTGGCTCTTGCCCTGCGTTCTTTCTTAGTGCTCATTACATGTTTTACAACAGTGTATGTCTTACCTACAACACCAATGTTTCGTCGCAGCCATTTGACATTCAACGATTTGAGATCATGTCCATCCAGGGTAACAGAGCCACTTATAGGATCATAGAATCTTTGAACGAGCTGCACAGTAGTTGATTTACCAGAGCCACTCGCGCCCACGAAAGCTACCGTCATTCCAGGCTTGATCTTCAAAGAGAGATCTTTCAAAATAATAAGATCAGGGCGAGTAGGGTACTTGAATTTGACATTGTTGAATTCAATTTCACCTCTGATAGAACCAGGGACCACACCATCTTGAGCATCGACATCAATTTCAGGTACGCGGTCAATAGTGGCAAAGATCTTATAAGCAGCACCGCATGCTGAGGAGACAGCAGATAGATTAGCTGGTAATTGCAACAAACTCGTAAAACCCATCATCATTGCTAGAAATACAACAAGTACAATGGGCCCCGTGAGTTGGCCTCTCACGACAAGTGTTGCACCATACCAAAGCGCTAATGAATAGGTGCCAAACAGAAAGAACATGAAAAAGGCAAAGCCAATACCTAGTGAAGTGCCACGCTTGATGCCAGTTTTGAGAGCATTGTTGAGTTCGTTATTGTAGCGCTCAGAAAATCTTTTTTGCAATGAAAATGAATACACCGTACGGATGGAATTGAACACTTGCTCAGCAATGGAGCCAGCTGATGCATACGCATTCTGGGAAGCCAAGGTATATTTAGTGATAAAATAGCCCATACAGCCACCAGCAACAACAAGCAGTGGCATAACGGCAAGCATAATGACAGCAAGTCTCCAGCCTATTTCAGGGTTATCATTCATGCAAAATGTTTATCCTATTAGTTTTTGATGTACCTTTGATGAAAGCAACTACAAAACCAGCAATGAATTGCGAAAGCAACATCACGAATTGACCAAATTTCTATGAGAATGGTTGAGCAAGTGAGGTTCTTTTTACAGTTATTTTGAGCTACCTCTGAGATTCCTTCTTGAATGAGCTGTGTGTCATTGGCCAGTCGAGTAGTCAAAGATCCTTCTGCAGCCATATCAAACCAGCTCATGTCTTGACGAAGCACTGAATGCACATAAAGTCCTCGAATGCGACGTGCTTGGTTTTCTCCAGTAACAATCCAAAAGCAGTTTGAGATGTAAGATGCTACCAAAACTGCTGTGCCCATGTAAGCCATTGTGTGGATCACAGGCAAGGTAGATTCTAGTAGTTGACTGTAGTCTGTAAGTGATGATGTGACATTTGAAATATAAGATCCGTAAATGATGATGGAAATAGGTTGCATTGCACCTGAGCCAGCTGAACAAATGATGGCTATCAATATCATTAATCGCTCCAGCGGTGTAGCGAAGCGAAACAGCTGCCATATCGACACACTGGGATCCTTGGGCCTCTTTTTCACTGTGGTATTTGTAACGTCAGTTTCTGTTTGAGAGGGTAATGTTGTCTCCTGGTCGGGCTTCTTTGACATTTGAGTTTCTTTTAATTGTATAAAGCTAAAATGGAGAAGGAGTGGTGAAAAGATGGGTATTTATACCCAACATGACAGAAGACGCTATTTGCAGAATGCGCTAGAGAGTGAGGAGAAACACACAGGTGGTGATATGACAAAACTTTCCTAAAGCATAAGGTGCCGAAAACGTAATTTGAGGCAATCGAGATTTGACAGGGCGATCATGCGGTTTCAGGTCCATTACACAGTCATTAGAATATTGTGATTTATGCAAAGGTCTGTTGATGGATATAGCTCTTTGCGGAAAAAGGACAAATCCATAAAGAGTGGCTATGAGCCCATATCTAATTTATAAGTATAGTCAATTCAAAGCTTGCATATATAGTCTACATAAAGGCGTTGGCAGCAAACAGATCAATGCGATCATGCTTTATTAATAAACCAGCGGCGGGTGAACATTCAAAGTACGTTTGTTTGATTACAAGAACAGTTAAACTTCACTTTAAGGGGGCCGAACGGACCGAAACATGTAGAAAACTACGATTGGCATGTCAATGGCTTGTTTCGGCCTCTAGTTACGAAAGCAAAAAAGATATAATTTAATAGTAAACAGAAGAAAGATTTGATATCTCAGTAGTTGAAGTTTCACCAAATGTGATTTGCGAACTTGCTCCAATGGTACTGGCCAATGGCTCAAAGTTGGATGTTTGAATGATCTCGCTAGGAACCTTCTTCTTTTCGTCATGGCCACCTTTAGTTGACTGAAGGCTGCGGTACTTGTTTACAAATCGCTTGGCAATCTGATCTCTTGATTTATGTATTCCCACTTGAAGAAAGAAACATATTACGATAAATACAGAAATGGCGACATACCATATGATGGCGCTTGGACCTACACTCCAGTCGAGAAAAGAGTATACCCACCAATGCTCCCTTTATAAATGACAAGTCAATGCATGATTTCTCTTGTTCTACGGGCCACTTACACTGCGAATATGATGAATACGAGACACATGTATAGCAACACTGTACCAAACACTAGTAATACCATATTGATGCTGATAATCATCCGATTAAAAATGACCTCCACTATCACTATGAACAAGGTAACCGCATGCAATGAAATGCTCATCCAGAAATCAATGGGCGATAAATGGGCTATTGGATAGTTTGTTGAGAGTATGTATATAGAGGTTAATACAACGTGGTGTTATTTACCCTCAAACAGCTTTTCTTTTGCCAGTAATAACCAAAACACAACGGGAGTTTGTACACTGTTTTCTCCAAGGTCAGCATATTTGATCTGCAGTCTCTACTATATGCAACACTAATTACTTACTTGTAAACAATGACCGTGTGATACAAATACACGTAGGCGTAGTTCAGCACCGAGCTTTGATCCAAAAAAGAGGAAGGCCTTTTAAAGGATTGATGTGGCCATAGATACTTTGCATGATGATACAGGGTAGTCTATATAACACATACACACATGTCAATGTACCGATTGTATGCATCCCTAAAAGGCACTTACCATCAGATAAGCATGCATTCCGATAAATGTCAAGTCAGTAAAATAAGCAAAAAAGTGCCTGAATCCACCAGTTTTTGCTGTATAAATGACATCAACCCACATGACAACAAGACTGTACAAAGCCAGTGGCAACCTAATCAAGAACAAGGATTTCGATGATACGAAATGAGATGTAAGAGCTCGTTCTGGCTCAAACCGATCCAAACCAAGCCATTGTACTGTTTTGCTCGATGATTGATGGATAGGTTCATCCCGAAAAATCAGCTTTGTGTGTGTCATGGATCAAGCACTATATGGTGGAAAAGGGCAATTTTTCATAAAATCGGCTGTTTTTATAACTAGCTCTTCTCCTATTTTATTTCATCTTGTATCATCTAGGGAGGTATTTTCAAACAACAACCGTCGCTTGTGTGTGTGTGTGTGTGTGTGTGTGTGTGTGTGTGTGTGTTGATACAGGTTTTCCTTACATTAAAAAACCAAAAGAAAGAAGAAACAGAAGTTTTCCTCCTCTAATCCCTCTTGTTGTTGGAAATATTTCTCCTAAATGCTCTCGATGAATTCGAACTATCGCTACTACTACCATCACTATCAAATAAGAGTCCTCTGGATTCTTGCTGAACTTGTTCCTCGTCATGGCCAGCAGTACTGACAAAGAAATGATCTCTGATAGGCTCCTCATCATGCACAACGCCACCAACAGCATCAACACAGCTGGGGCAAATCTCCAATGGGACACCCACGGGCTCAGATGTTTGATGCCTGTTTTTGATGGATTCATAGAGACCTTTTTTACCCATAACAAGAACAGCTGCAACACCAATTAGCCACCAGACGAGCAAATTAAACACTAAAGTAGGATAAACACCTCCGTAAAACGTGGCCAAATCCCAGAGTCCCTGGACACGCCACAGCCAGTACATCAAGACGAGCACCTGAAACCATACTCGCTCACATACAAGACGAGTGGGATGTTGCTGCCCATTGCCTTTGCATGTTAATTGATAAGCGCTGGTAGACTTCCAGATGAAGTACAAGATGAAAATACCAACATTGAATGTCAATTGAAAGATAACATACAGCCACGTATCCAGAGGCACCCACTGATGCTTTTCGAATAGCAAGCCCCAGAGATAAAAGAACCCCATTCTCTCACCTTCATCCTTACCAGAAGGAATGAATGCTGCTCGGAACCATGGCAATGTCAATAGGCCCAAAAGACAAACAAAGCATAATGACCAAACGTAAGGCTGCTCCTCGGGGAACTGTAAAATGCGGTGCACCCATACGAATATGTGCTTTTGGATACCAGCATAAATGCCACGATTGATACCAACATTGATTTCATGGATGGAAAGCAAGGTTTTGTTGCGAAGGTTGTGTCTAGCATCTCTCTGTTGGCTCTTTTCGTAGTCATTGTAGATTTTGGGCACAGTAATGGTGATCAGCATGGCGATCACAGCGAATATAGACAGGAATCGAACCAAAGAAGAAATACGAGCCCAGATGATCCATTCACCAGCACCGCCCTGAATCTTGACCCTCATGTTGTCCATTCGAAAGGGCACTTCATGAACGCCTACTTGCTGATCGGGTGCTGTCACTTCAATGCGCAAACGGTGTGTTTCGAAATCGTCAAAGTCGATGGGATCCCATAAGATGGCCCACAATGGCATGTTGTTGTCTCGGTCAATGGAACCAACGAACTTTGCTGGGTAAGCATGGTGCTTGTCGTCTACAAATGTGCGAATCTTGAGGCTTCCCGGTGCAAATTCTGAAAAGATCAATAGACGGATATGCGTACTGAGTCGCGATTCGTGAAGAGGCTCTTTGGTAGGCAATGTATAGCGAGAGTCCTTGGGATTTGTGATTAAAACAACTGGTGCAGTATGAATCTTTTCAGGCCAGATTATTTTGTTGTCCTCTGTCAATGGCACAATATTGGTTACAGGTGGAATCTGAGCGATCGGCAATTCGACATCCACAAAAGAAATTAAATCATGATCTACTGCGACAATACGGTAGGCGCCGTGGTCTTTCATGTCTGCTACTTCCAGCTCCAAAGAATCAGATCCTCTTCTGTACGTCTTGAGCACTTCTCCTAGTCCAGCAGCCAGCTTATGCAGATGGCCACAAAAGTAGATGCTGAAATGGTCTGCTAAATCTCTAAACGTATATCCTTCTGACGATACACCGGGGAACATGGTTGTTGTAGGGTAATGCGAAAACTAGTTCAATGATCCCGTCAGAGCTAAATTCGCTGTCTGTATTCGAGATAATAATACCAAAAATGTATGATTAAATGTGGACGGCATGATTTTGGATACCAGGCGATTCATGGTGTTGGTGGTGAGATAGCCGAAAAAGTTGAACGGGCGAGATGGACCCTTTCGAGGACTACGAGCTTATAATTAGCTAGACTGCATCCATGAAAACATTGCCATCTTACCATGAATCTACAGCGACAAATTGGTAGTTACCAAATGTCTTTGACACTTGCCAGCTGTAGACACCTTTACCGTCATCCAATTCTTTAGCACTTTTTCCATGGTCTTTGTAGAGATTGTTTTCTGCTTGCCATGAAACCAAATCAAAGCAATCATGATTTCCACGCATATCATACCAGGCTGTACCGTTGGCACCTTGCTCAACTGCAGACTTGTACACCTGCCATTCCTGAGGGTATTGTGCTGATACAGTTCTAGATTTATCTTTGGCATCAGTCAAATCCCCAGTGACAACGACGAATTCAGGGCTAATGCCTAGTGTTTAGTAGTTGAGCATCATTGGGTCCAGTAAGAAGAGACTTACTTTATTGCAGGTAAAGCAGATTGTAAAAAGTGCAAGAAATGGATGGTATGTCCTTGAGGCTGAAACTGTGAAATGTGCAAGTCTGATACTTGGATAAAGTAGAATATCTGATCAGGTTGGTCAGCCATTCTTCCTGTTGCGTTTCTATATGCTGCGTGCTGTAACTCGGCAGGTACTGTACTTGGTGGCTGCTGATACCAATTATCATCCTTGTTGGCAATTCTCAAGTCTCTTGTGGAAGAATAAAACAATTGAATAGCTCTTATAATTCCAATCAGCACTAGAGTCAAACAAAAATATGAAGAAGGTGATAGTAACTTCATCTTGTTGATCAATGTCTTCCTGGGCCAAAAAACAAGAAAAAAAGAGATGAAAAAAAAGAAAAGATAAGGTCTTAATTTAGAGTTTGCTTTTCATTCGCCTATAGGAGGTTAGTTTAATTAGACGTTTGAAACGAACTGAGCCAGCTATTGCTGGGCAATACAGTTGTCAAAGCACATGAATGCCAACTAACTTGGAGCATGGCAGTCGAAAGAAGCCTGTGTACTGAAATAAACTTTCCACTCATGTGCGAGAAGCCTTTATACAAGCCTTGTAACTGTAAATTTGACTCTCTATGATGCTGTACATCTGAATCAACGGGATCAATTCTACTTTTGGCAGACAGGATACTCGCATTGCCCTCAACTATTCAATAATAGGCAAAACACAGCCAGCATTGAGCACATTTGAACCACAATTTATCGTGTTGGAAGTCGTTTTGGACTGCCAGAGTAGCACCAAACGATTGCTCTCGACTAGCACTCACTTGCTGACACTTTTGCTCAACTTTTTGAAGATCTGAAAAACATGGCCGAAAATCATGAGGGATATACCTCATGGTTTTCTTCAAAAATTAGACGATCGCATTTTTGAGCCCAAAAACCAAGACTTCTACTATGGTATATGTTACATCAAAATTTTTTTTTTTTTTTTTTTGTATTTAAATGTGTTTTTTATTTATATTATAGACAGTAAGGTGCCATAAGGGTCTTACATGTCTAAGAAAGAAGAAATTAACTTGGAATGATCTTCCAGAAAAGAGGAGAAAACAGCCCGAGTGATCCAAGATTTACCATCAATTGTGCAGCCCCAATGATGTTGCCAGATAGATGAGAAGGCAGCGCCGAGAAGTTCCAAAATGGAAATGTCCAGAGGATTGTTGTCCTGGCCGTGAAGGGTGGTCAACCCAATCCAGATGGCCTCGTCCGTAGGGAACAGATCAGCAAGACCAAGGTGAGAGACAAACTCATACCAGAAGAGGGACTTCATACTGCAGCCAATGACCATATGGTATTCATCTTCAGTTGCTTCATGACACATCTTACACAGTGGGGAAGGATACTTCACACGGTTCATGGAGTGCAGGCGAACCTGCACCGAGAGATGTCCATGCAGCAAACGCCACCACGGTGTAAATGCCTTGGGCGGGAGACAGAGAGACCAGAAATCACGCCAGAGGTGAGGAGGAAGCAGGAGATGTGGTGGGCGATAGCCAGGAGGATGGGCTGGGCGACGCAACATGTCAAATGACGGATGCCAGGAACGGCGTAACGCCCCGAGAGTGATCTTGTCCACTGTAGCTTTTGAGCGAGGGCCAGTGGTGATGAACCAATGCGAAAAGCTAGCCGTGGGTGGAGAGGGGGTAGTGGAACTCTCCAGCAGTGCGGTTCGCTCTGGAGCGGTGAAGGCCATGACGGACCTGAGAGGAGCAGGGACAACCCAAACAGGAGGACCCTCGATGGGGCACAAGGCATTGAACAGATGTTGCAATGCAGCAGTATCACGGGGACGCACGCAAACCAAGATGTGGGAGTTGGGGAGCACGCTCAAGAGGCTGGCAATCAAGGCATGAGGTGGCAGTTTGTCACTGTTCCTAGTCAAAGGCAAAGTCGCTGTGGGAGACAGGGAGCATACTTGTAACCAGGGCAGATCTAGGAGCCACCAAGACGGCCACTCAGGAGTGAGAGTCAAGGGAGGCAAACGAGTGAGTAGACGAGCCAGATGCTCCAAGTGAGGGCATTTCCGCACACGCGGCCAGCAGGTACGTGGGTATAGCAGCAAAGGCAGCACAGTAGCATGACCTGAGTATACATGGAATGTATACATCAGCCAGGGAGTGAGGAAATCCGCTGGGGATCTGGGACGAAGCAGACGCTTGACATATATGAGATGCAAGGCGAGATGTTGCTTCTTGATGTCAACCAGACCAATACCTCCATGCTTCCTAGGAAGGCAGAGAGAATCCCAAGCCACAGTAGGCCAAAACGAGACGATGTACTGGCGTACCACGCGCTGTATCTCCTCCAGCCACTTGTCAGGAACCACAACCACACGCAGGAGATGCCACAAGCGAGACAGCAGAAGGGAATTCGCCACTAAACCCTTTCCACGAATGGATAGCTGCCGCTTGGTGAGCAGATTGCAATGACGTTGAATCTTCACGGTAATGGAATTCAGGAAATGCTGCAACTGCTCCTCTGTATGATACAGAGGGTAACCTAGATACCTCACAGAGCCAACTGACGAGCTGTCGTACCACTCAATGTTAGACGTTTCCGTCACTCGCTTCCAATCAGCATGAGCCTCGCCTGACAGCGACAACAGCACGGTTTTCTCCAAATTGACCTTGGCGTTGGACGCTTTGCCATAGAGCGACAAAAGAGACAGCAGCACAGGCCATTCCGCCGTAGAAGTCAGGAAGACTTCCAGATCATCGGCATAGCTCAACAGCTTCACCCGTGGAGGGGTCGCCGGAGCGCGTAGGAGATCATGGTCGCCTTGGACCGGCACGAGAGAGGAGGCACGAGAGATACGCCCTGCGAGAGGAGCACGGACAGCGGTAGACATTGAGACGCCTTGAAGAGAAGGGCAGGCCAAGATGGTTCTAAGGAACGGCTCGAAAGCCAGGTTGAACAGCAAAGGGGACAACGGATCACCCTGTCGTAAACCACGTTGTTGATCGATGGGGGCGCCCAACCACCCATTGATTGACAAGGAGATACGAGTACCAAAGAACAGACTTGACACACTGGATACCAACGATGCCGGGAAGCCAAACTGACGAAGGACCATCGCCAGATATGTCGGATTGACCCGATCATAGGCTTTCTCTTGATCCAAGAGTACGGCGACATTGGGATCCTGAGGAGCTGCATCACGGAGGTTGGTCATCAGCGTCTGGTTCAACCACGCATTGTCCGAGATGAGCCGGTGAGGCATAAAGCCTGTTTGGTACGGCGTAATCAATCGGGAGAGGACACGTTTGAACCGGTTGGCTAACATCTTGGTGAACAGCTTAGCATCGCTATTGATCATCGAGAGAGGTCGCCAGTTCTTGAGGAGCTCTGGATCGCCCTTCTTGAACAGCAGTACCATCCTCGTTTCTTTCCAAGAGTCAGGGAAGACACCACGCAGCGCATCAGTCAGCACTTGCTGCAAGAGAAGCAGAACAGCAGGGAAATTCGCCGCCAAATAGCGATACACCTCAAACGGAAGGCCATCCAAACCAGGAGACTTGTTCTTGGGTGCATGGTCCAGTAACAGCAAGACAGAGTCTGTAGAGGGTGGTTCAATCAGCCGGTCTGCCTCAGCTTCTTGTAGCTTCGCATCAGCAGGGATATTGTCAAAGAGAGAGTTGACGGCAGCCAAATCAATGTCTTCAGGTGTGTAGAGATCCTGATAGAAAGTACGAGCTTCTTGGAGAATGTCGCCCATGTCTGTCAGCTTCTCTCCAGTGCCAGCCTTTTTCAGGGACTGGATGGTTTGTTGCGCCTCACGATCCTTGATCACATTGAAAAAGTATTTGTTGTTTTGCTCTCCCATTTCCAGCCAACGAGTAGCCGAACGCAGCATAGCTTGACGAGTGTCATCTTGAATCCGTTGCTCAATCAGTTGCTCCAGTCTTTTGATCCTTGCCGACTCCTCCGGGGTCCCAAGTAGCTGTTCCCGTTCACGTTGGAGGTGGGAGACTCGAGCTTTGAAGCGAGCCTTCTGGCCTTTGGTGAACTGTTTGGCACAGTACTTGATGATCGACTTGAGAGATTCCCACTTCTCCTGACCAGAGACACCCATATCAGCCACATCTGTCGTATAATAGTCAGACGCCAAAAACATATCCACGGTTTTATCCAAAAGGGCTTGAAATTCACGGTTCTCAAGCAAGTACGGATTCAAACGCCAGCTGCCAGGACCCAACTTGACGCCAGAGGTGACCAGATCGATTGTGAGGAGGCTGTGATCGGTCCACTCAGGTGGAATGTGGTGAGTCTGAGTGTTGATGATACGAGTCGCCATAGGAGGAGGAGCAAAGACATAGTCAATGGTGGTGCCAGCTTTAGGGAGAGTCATTGTGCCTTTTGGAAAACAGTTGAAAAAATGAGTGTTCAGCCATTCAACAAAAGGTTGGACTCTAGGGAGACGAGCTTCGACCGCATCATGTAAATGGATATTGAAATCCCCAAGCAAGATCCACTGGGAGTCAAGCATATCAGACCAGAAGGGCATGGTCATCAGCTCCTCCAGGAAAGCATAGCGATGGGCTCTGTGCACGGGCATGTACACATTAGCTATCTGGCATATGGTGTGATTAGCGTCCTTAATAGTGGCGGTGATGCAGCGTTCGTCACGAGAGATGGTGGCATCCGCGAGCTCCAAGCCTTGCTTCAGACACACTATTGCACAATGCTTCGAGACGACAAAGGAAGACCGAGGAAACATAAAAGAGAAAGCACGCACATTATCATCAGTGAGGTGGGCCTGCTGACGGTAATGAGAGACCTCCTGCAGACAGAGAATATCTAGCTGGAGGGTTTTGGAGCGCAGAAAGGAAGTGAATTCCTTCTGTATAGATTTTGAGGAACCCTTAAAGATGCTCCGGGCATTAAGGGTACCTATGCGCAATGATTGTTGTATCATTATGCCCTATGGGCGACATGATACACTTGAGGCTGCGACATAGACGTCGAGCTCATAGAATGACGGCGGAGAGAGGGCACATCAGTCTGGAAATCATTGGGAGAGGAGACATTGTCAGCAGATAACTTGGGATCCAAATGCATATGGAAGGACGAAGCTAACGGAGCATGCTTAGAAGCATCGCTACCGTTGGGAGAACGCTGGAGGGTCTGGGGATCGACCTCCATCACATCCGGAGACTGGTCCCAGGTTTGGCTGTCATTTGCGGAAAACAAGGTACTGATCTGGCTACTTGTGAGCTCGGTCGTTTTGCCGGCTAGCTTGTCTGTGGTGGTGGGCTGAGATGGCAGTTGCTGCGCGAGAATATCATTGATCGCGGGGGATGCTCTGTGGCCCTTCTCTTTTTCGTTAACTTTATCAATTGGAGTGACTGAGTAGGAATCAGTGTGATCCCTTTGGCTCGACTCATATTCAGCGATTGCTTCGTCAAAAGGCTTCTCTTCCTCTCGACAGAACTTAACAGTGTGTCCCAACTTGTGACATTTGAAACATTTGCGTTTAGCTAGGATAGGACAAGCAGCGCGAATGTGTCCACTCTGACGGCAGAAATGGCAAACTGGTGGTGCTCCTCTGTATGTCGCTGGCACATAGACATCCCAGGCGGAAAGGTAAAGCATGCGACTCAAAGGCTGTACGTCGTAGGAGTGACCTTCCGCGTCAGTGTACTTGACCGAAGTGTCGATCAGGAAGCTGACATGACCCTCAAAGAAGCCATCAACAGTGTACTTCTTGATTTGGTATAGCTTACCATAGTATTTCAGCGAGCGTTGCAAGTCCTCCAGAAAAGTGGTCATGTTTGGCATGCGGACAATAGTCATCTGCACATGGGTGAGTTTGCCCTCGCTGTTGTCCTTGACAGCAGTAGCTTTGTATACCACATCGCCATGAGTGATGCCGTTGTTGATGGCTCGTTTGGCATCCTCAGGGGAGTCAAATTTAGCTTCCACCAAGAGATCTCCAGTTGACTTCTGGTGATACAGACTAAGGGGGCGAAACTGGACATTAGCAGCTATTTGTTCCTGAATGAGGCGATACGCTGTTGTACGATGCACAAAAAGTTTGTTTGGAAAGGTAAACAAAACCGATCCCGGTGTCAAAGCTTGCTGCAGGATGGCAGTAGCTTTACGAGTGAGCACCTCGGCCTTCAGATCTTCGTGTTCGAACATAACTTCAGGAATTAGTTTAAAATGGTCATCTTTAGCTCGCTGTTGTGGAGCATTGATGACCTTCTTGGAGAGGCCTCGAGAGAGGACCGTGACCCAAGAGAGGTCAGTGGTGGTAGCCATGAGGATGGGTAGTGGAACGCTGGTGGTTATAAGGTTGTAGATGTGATTTAAGCAGTGGCGTAATTTTCACCTTAGGGGTAGTGATGGTTACGCGAAAGAGCCTTTATGTTACATCAAAATGTTGCTCTCGATTCAAAGCAACCCCTGAGACCGCTTTTGAGAGATCTCGATATGCAAAATCTTGACATTTTGGCTACAATCGTTATTTCATATTTTCGAGCATTACTCGGTCAGTACACTAATACATCTGCTATAATCAGCACCATTAGATGCGCCTGAAAAAGCTCCCTGAGAAAGCTTAAGGACATATGAGAAGATCATGACGATTTATAGAGTCGAATTCTGCAAAAAAAAAAATGTTTGAAGTCGATTTTAATTGGAATTTGTCCAATCTGGAGTAGATGAATGAGTTGGCATTTGAACTGGGTTTGGCTGCGGCTGGCTGGCAAGGCAGTATGGCCCGTGTCATGGAGACAACCAGCGCTTGTGAAGCTAATCACAAGAGATTGCAAATCGAAAGGTGATGTAGCCTAGTCTGGCAGTTTTCTTTTGTTTTTTGGGGAGTTTTGTTTTACATAATTACATATGTGATAGGTTCAACTGCTTAAAATCCTTCGTCCGAATGCCTTAGATCAACCCGAGCCCCACAAGACAGAGCCTTGATAGAACGTAGCGAAATCAAGTAACTTGTATACAGTGGTTGGATGAATCTGCTGTTGTCACAACTATCGTAACTGCTACTCACAACCAATGTACTGTTAGCAGATGCCTTGCTATACTGAATTTTCACCTTCACCAACATTGCCAATCCCTAAATCCTTTGTGAATATGTATTGCTCACATTATAAAGCATCTTTTCTCCAATCAACCATCTTGTCCATAAAGCAATCAACATTGAAACTCTAGGCGAGTCAATAGCTCTTCCGTATCTTCCGCATTATCCTGAATCCTCCAATATATATCCTCATACACATGCAAACTGAAGCTTTAACCATAAAATACATTGTTTCGTGATTTATTCAAAGCTTTTTTTTTTTGGCAACAGAAAATTAGTTGCCTTCAACAGCAGCTTCAGCAGCGGCAGGGGCAGCAGCGGGAGCAGGTCTGAAATCTTGAGCAGAGGGCTCAGTGATGGCAGCTTCATCCTTGGGTTCAAGGATAGTGACAATATCGGGAAGACATTGCTTGGGACCGTTACGACCAGTAGGATCGTTATCCAACATGATCTTGACCTTGATACCCAAAACACCTTGACGCAAATCAACGTGACGGACAGCAGTGGTGATGAATTCACGAGCAGGGTTACCAGAGTGAATCATGAAACCATCAGCAAACTTCATGGCCTTGGCACGAGCAGCACGGACCTTACCAGAGACAACGACTTCACAACCCTTGGCACCGGATTCCATGACAAAACGAACAACACCATAACAGGCACGACGAACAGCCAAACCGTTAAGGAGCTTGAACTTGACAGACTCACATTGAGCAATGGCACAGAGACCACGGTTTTGGACACGCTCAGCATAAAGCTCAACAGCGTTCTCGGGGAACTTGAAACGCTTTTGAACAAGAGTGGTCAATTCACGGATGCGACGGCCCTTCTCACCAAGCACATTTTGGGTGTGAGTGGCACGGATGATGATTCTATTCAGTTTGCATTGATTAACATTGCTGTCATTCGTATATCTCTATCAACATGTACACTTACTCGGTACGAGCAGGAGTGACACGGACCTCAACACCAGCATAACCATCTTCAGCAAGTTCACGAGTGAAGAATTCGTTAAGTTCAGCGTAGAAAACACCGTCTGCGACCTATAATGTAACGTTCTTTCATCAGACTTTGCTCTTATGTTGAAAACGACATGCTCTGTTGGAATGACAACTTACGAACTAAAGTTGTTGTTGAAAGAGTAAGTGTGGATAAAGAAAGAAGAAATTAGCATGTCAGTTACTGGACATTGGACGATGTTGATGAATGTCAAGATGAACTGTCGTAGTGGCGTATCCAACTTGTAGTGAAAATGTTGGATTTTTGCTGTCAAAATTCGATTCTAAAATTCATCCATCCATCCATCAACATCTAGTGGTTCTCACAAACCTTTCTCTTCTTTGAGATTTGAGCTGCCATGATGAAATGAAAGAGGGGGATCTATACAGCTACAGATTGTTTCTGTGCTCATATTGCTGCTCCTCCTACCTCCACCTCCACACTAAACTCTCTCTCACTTTCTGTCTCTCTTTGCTCACTCACATTGGGAGCTCCTCTGCTTTCCACACACCCCTAATTGCTGGTTTCCAGCCTATCCGAATTTGAGAACGTTCGACTCGGATCCAACCTCGATTAATGATCCGCAACAGAATTCATCAAACTGCATCCGCTTCGGGACAATAGGAAAACAGCTGAAAATGCATTAATTTAGATTTTTTTTAATTTATTTGCGAGGGGAGAGTGTGTTAGATGAAATGTGATGTGTGTTGGTGCAGTGTATTTGTAAATGGGCTGAATATAAAGGGAAGAAGGGGGGAGGGGCTAAAGTAAGAATTATCACCTTGTTATTGATCACTGTTTCTTGTCTGATTTCTTGTTGATATACGTGATTTGCTTTGTCATGATTAGCGAGAATAGAGATTGGGAGAAAGAGAAGGGAAAGTTATTATATAGAAAACTAATGTGAATATAATACAGGTAATAAACGAAATATGGCATCCTTAAACATATAAGCGGATGAGATTTTCCTTTGATCAACACGACCAAATTATGCAGTGTAAGCAAAAAAAAAAAGAAACGAAACAGAATAATACAATAACAAATGATAAGTTGTGCATGTGTGTGTTTGGGGAGGGGAGGAAGGGGAGAAGAAGGGGGATAATGTGTTGGAAAAAAAAAAAAAAAAAAAAAAAAAAAGAATCCATTCTTTACAACATCAATGGCGAGACATATACAGATGATAAGGAGAAAGGGTATATCGATGTTGTAAAGATGTGAGCATGGAGACAAAAAAAAAATCCAGCGTGGCGGTTTAAATCTTCAGCATGGATCGCAATCCTCTTTGGATTTCGGATAAATCACTATCAAATTCACGATGATGAGGTTTGGGTGACAAAAGATTCATCAAATCTTGAGAGTGTCGTTGAAGATCATCCTTTCCATTCGCCGCAGTGAGGGTGGTAGTTGTGCTAGTGATCAGATCCACAGATAACAAAGTGGGAGAGAAAGCAGGCATAGGCAAAGCACTGGGAGCAGGGGCATTATTGAATGTGGGTCCAGCATAAACATGGCTCTTTCTAACATCAATGGCACTACTTGACCTACGACGATTTCTCTGTTGCTCTCTTTCAAATATAGGAACCATTTGAGTTTACTAGCACTCGACACAATCAAAAGGAATACATTGTTTACCTCTTTTTAGTGGATTCCGCAGAGATAATGGTAGTGGAAGTAGTGGCGTTAATGATAGTAGGCATCACCTTTTTCTGCTGTTTGTTACTATGACCATGGTTCTTCTTTCCAGCCTTTTTGCCGCCCCCGCCGCCTCCAGGGGAAGAGTGAGATGTAGATGATGAGGATGAATCATCAGACTCTGTGGATGAGGGAGTATCCAGCTCGACTTTGATGGCCTCTGTCATGGATACAATTTCCTTTCTACGCTCAACTCTTCTAGCCTTTGCTGGTAAGACGGTTCTTCTTTGTTGTGGGGTAGTCGGTGCAGATACGCAAGCTTTCTTCACGACATTATTGTTATTAACATTGGATGCTGATTTCCTAGACTTTTGTTGCGGTTTCTGTTCTTGCTGGTGTTGCTGTTTGTTGTGTTGCGATCTCTTATTACTCTTTAAAACCTTAACTTGGGTACTCGTATTCTTTGATAAAGTGGGCTGTTTACTACTTGCGCTGCTGTTGACGCTGCTCGCATGCACCATCACAGATGGAATGCCACCCGTCTTTTGCTTGAGGATTGTGACATTGGTAGTAGCAGACGTTCGACTTGACATGACGGAATAATATGTGTTTTTTAATATGTCCAAAGAAATCGTGTATGGTTTAATTGAAAGATAAGGAAAGAGAGGGAAAAAAAGAGAAACATGCTTTCAAAGAGTCATATCTGCTTTTTAAATAAAAATTTTCTTGGTGGATTGTAAGTGGCCATGTCCTTGGTCGGGCCTTTCAACGGCATCAGAGCCATGAATTGGAGCAACAATGCGCCTCATTCAATGCAGATGAACAAGATTCGCTCATCGGTGTCTTCTTTATTTACAGACCGAGGCGATGCTTATGGTCAAGTCAGTAGGATTCCGTCCTGCAGCTGGCTCAATCAAATGCCCCATGTTGCCTAATCACTCTATCCCCGAAACACTGATACAAAGTGTGTTCCTGATGGATTTATAAGACTCAGTATCTGCAGGACACTCGATCTAGAATCCTACCTCAACGGCATGCTCTTCAATCTCGTACGAAAAAAAAAAAAGACTCGAATTCTGATTTTGTTCCATACATCATGCTGGACTCACGCTGCCAAGTTCGCTTCATAATGTTAATGTTAATGGCCATGTGTGTTCTCTGAACAAGCGCTTCTATTCAAAGGTTTGAGTCATATACATTCCAATGTTGGCATATGCTCACAAACAGTAAGATGATGGCTCGTAAGAATGTCAGGTCATTATTCATAATAAAATGGTTCATTGTCTCCAATGATGGGAACACAGACCCTCATTTCTTTGTAGTTGAGAGAAAACAAGTTTGTTAAATGAACCAACCATTAGGAATACCTCAAATGTCCAATTTAAATCATTTAAATGCAAAGAAACTCTAAAAACGTGGAACAGTAAGAGCGTTTGCAGTGTAACATTGATTGTCTTGCTTGCTAGTCTATTTAGAGCGAGCCTACATATTCTTTGTTCTAAATGAATAATGAAAAGCTTCTTGAATCAAGAATGCAATTGTTGAAACTCACAGAGAGTAGTACCGCATTAGTATCACGAACCACTTGCATGTGTTTGATCCACCAGTCAAAGCACCATCTTGGTGCCTAAATAATAAAAACGTTGTTGCTTTGAAACCTGATTCAACAGCCCATTTACAACTGACTGGCTCCCTTTATACCCTAAAATAAGGTTGATTTTCATAGGTATTTTAACAAATGAAGATTAACACAAGATCCCCCCGAATAAACCATTTGCTGTTGCTTATTCTCCTTATATTCCACTCTTTTTCTTTTTAAGATGAAAAATAGTGAATCAATTAGAGTTCCCATTTTTAAACTATATTTTATCGACCCTTTTTTTTTAATTTCTCTCTCTCTCTCTCTCTCTCTCTCTCTTTCTCTCTCTTTCTCACTTTCCTTTTGCTTCCTTTCCACTCCTTTCACATTCATCCCAACATGTCAAGCAAGACATGGTCAGATTCACGACGACCATTGGCATCCCATTCAACGCCAACACACATTGCGGAGCATAATCAACAGCAATTCATACAAGATCAACTTCATATTGGTGATAGAGTTCAGGTCAACTCGCATCATGGCATAGTACGATTTATTGGCGCTACAAAGTTCAAGGCAGGTACTTGGGCTGGTATTGAATTAGACACTGTTGGTTTAGGCAAAAATGATGGGTCTGTTGATGGGTAAAGTAGAATAACACGTTTTTATTAGCTCTTTTTTCCCGGTGCACACACAATTAATTAATATCTCTGAATAGTAAACGCTACTTTGTTTGTCCTCCCAAGACAGGATTATTCATATTAGCTATCAAAGTCATCAAGCAACAACAGCATTTGCATCTGATCAATAGACCGTCTACACCACATCATCAACTCAAATCAAAAAAGCCTCCTTCTTTCACAATCGATGCACCTCCTCCTTTACCAACTAAAGTCAATCACAATATTGATCTAATATCCAGAATCAAAGCACTGGAGCAAGAGAACAGCGAATTGAAACAAGCCGCCTCCTTGATGGAAAAGAAGAAGAATGAGCATATCGAGCAGTTGGAAGACACCATTGTGCAGATCAAAAAGGCTAGCATGGATAGCATAGAGATATTAGAAGATATTCATAGCCAGAAAATACAGCAAATGACAGCAACATTAGACGACGAAAAAAGAAAAGTGCAGGATCTGCTGCTAGAGCAAAATGATCTACGAAAAGCCGGTTTAGAAGCCATTGAATCGTACGAAGCAACACTGTCAGGATTGGAAAAGAGCACATCCAAGTCCAGGCAACTCTGGGATTTGGAGCGCAAAAAGATGCAAGAGGAGCAAAACGCCATGATGAAATCACATCACGATCAGGTCAAATTGCTATTACACGACATAGACACTTTAGAGATGGTGCTACAAGATAAAATGTCCAAAGAGATCGATCTTGTGGAATCGCTCAGAAAAGAACGGCAAAACAACAGCTTACTGGCCACTGAACTCAAAGGCATCAAGTTCCAAATGAAGAGCAACAACAATGCGACACACATCATCACTGATATCAGTCATCGATGGTCCTTTAGAGACAAATTAGACACGCCTATACCCGAAGAAGATGAGGAGGAGGAACAGGAAGAAGACTTGTTTGATGACAACATCATGTCCATTTGCGCTCTCTGCGAACAGAAAGGACACCATCTCATCCATTGCCATATCTTATCCAACCAGCAGCAACGACAGCATCTTATTTAAGTATTATCCTCACCTTTTTGTAAATTTCGTCCCTTTCCTTCCCTTGTAATTACTGTACACACACAATCTCTCTCTCTCTCTCTCTCTCTGTTTGCTTTATTTTGAATAAATTTTAATTTGTCTTTTTCAACACTACATCATGATACTAAAGTGTGGACCCTTTTTCCCTGGTTTCTGGCTGTTGCCATGATTACCCGGAATTGGGGGGGGGGAGTGAGGAGGGGATCCTGCTTTCATTGTTCCAAGATGAGTTTGAGGAGTCGCAATCATGCGAAAAACACCCATCAAAAATAATCGATAGCGTTTCTCCTGATTATTATGTCGATCTGCCATTTAAGTTAATCTCACTCAAACTCCTGAACTGTGTTTGCATGAAATTGCGTACACGTGAGCTTGCGACACGAAATAGATAGTGAGCATGTAAACAACAATACAAGAAGGGCGTAACTTTATACGGGGCAAACTATCGCATGGATTGTATTAATGAGAGAATCGTATAAGAATATCCGGTATTTTGTGCGCATCATTCACTGAGTAAGCATTTGGCCTATGTTTCACACTTTTGAGAACTGTCGTCATGGAAACAAGATGAGAATTCTTATCCGGAAGGAAGCTGTCTATCTCAACACCACGCATGGCCACATCCTAGGCATCCAAATCATAGTGAGATAGACGAAAATATCCACATGGATGTTTGTCTGACACATGAAAGTACAAGTCATTCGACGATATGTCATGCATGGAAACAAACAAACAGAGCTAAATGAGATAAATTGCGTGTGTTCTTCTCTTGATGTGAATTGCTTGGTATCTCTCTCTTTCTCTCTCTCTCTTTAAACTTTTCTTTCGTAAGCATGTCCAAATTCACTATTGAAGAAGTTGCAAAGCACAGAGTTGATACAGATTGGTAAATGTAACACAGATGTACCATCATGTATTGCGTAATCATTGACAAGTGTCATAGTTGGATTGTCATTCACGGCAAAGTGTACGATGTAACCCACTTTCTACAGGAGCATCCAGGTAACATAAGCTGTTACTCTGACGTTTGGAGTTGATTTGACTGACAAGTAGAACAGGAGGCAAAAAGGTCTTGCTCAAAGTTGCTGGTACTGACGCGTCCAAGCAATTTGATGCATATCACAACGCCAGTGTGTTACAAAACGTAGCTGCAAAATACGAAATCGGACAGATGAGCGATGCCACAGACAGTGAGCAAGAAGAAATCACAACCACTGAAGAGTTGGATGAGCAAGAAAAGCCTTCATCAGAAAACAATCCGTTGATTATGGGCGAAACATTTGGCGATATGGTTCCTTTTGGCGATCCCATGTGGTATCAAGACTGGCAGAGCCCCTTTTATAATGATTCTCATCGTGCTGTACGCAAATACATGCGCGAGTTTGTTGAGAAAGAAATTATGCCAAACTGTCATGCGTGGGATGAAGCAAAGCAGGTGTGTATTGACACTGGTATGCATCTGTTGACTGCAACAATCAACTGACATGAAAGCAGATTCCTAGTGAGTTATTCATCAAGGCTGCCAAAGCAGGCATTTTGGCTGCTGTCGTGAGCTTTGGTAGCGAGGGAAAATATCTTCCATACCCTCTTCCTGCTGGCATTGCTCTTGAAGAGTGGGATGCATTTCATTCTGTGATTGTCACTGATGAACTCTCTCGTTGTGGTTCTGGTGGTGTAGGTACACTATACCATGGTTTCGTATTAAAACTAACCATTTGCCCCTTAGGTTCTTTGGGCATTGTGTGGAGGATTAGGTATGTACATCCAAATGAATACTATATGTGCGTATTATTGACAGGACACAACATAGGAATTGGCCTTCCTCCAATCTTGCACTTTGGTTCTGATTACCTAAAGGAAAAGGTAGTTTCTGATTGCTTGGCTGGAACAAAGATCATCTGTCTGGCAATCACTGAGCCTTCTGGCGGGTCTGACGTTGCAGGCCTCCAAACAGAGGCTAAAGATATGGGCGACCACTACTTGCTAAACGGTGAAAAGAAATGGATTACCAATGGCGTATTTGCAGACTACTTTTGTGTAGCTGTTCGAACTGGCCAACCTGGCTTTGGTGGTATCTCTTTTCTTTTAGTTGAGCGTGACATGCCTGGCGTTAGTACGTATCGTTATCAGAAGTATCAAAGATCCGCATTGACATCTAATTTCGTTTAGGTACTCGACAAATGAAGTGCAGTGGTGTCTGGCCATCTGGAACTGCCTACATTACATTTGAAGATGTGAAAGTGCCCAAAGAAAACCTTGTGGGTAAAGAGAACAAGGGCTTCAAGTATATTATGTGGAATTTTTCATCAGAACGATTGGGGATAGTCATTCAGGCCAATCGATTTGCAAGAGTTTGCATTGAAGAGTCAATCAAGGTAAATAGAACAGGTGTTGTAAGTGATTGCCGTTATGTAATTAACATGCTGATTGAAATGTTAGTATGCCAACAAACGAAAGACATTTGGAAAAAAGCTTATTGATCATCCTGTAATTCGAAACAAGATTGCACATATGATAAGACAAGTAGAGGCCACTCATGCTTGGATGGAGATCCTGACCTACCAAGCTAGCAAGCTGCCCCCTCAATTGCTGCCTATTCGCTTGGGTGGCCCGATTGCTTTGTGCAAAGCTCAATCGACACAGACATTTGAATACTGTGCTCGTGAGGCCGCCCAAATATTTGGTGGATTGTCGTACACTCGTGGTGGGCAAGGTGAAAAGATTGAAAGATTATACAGAGAGGTCAGAGGTAGATATTACAGTGTTACATTTGTCTATTCAACACCCTTTACTGATTTAAACTTGCACCTATCTTTTCTGACAGCGTATTCGATTCCAGGTAATTAGTACATCTTTATTCTACTTTTTTTCACGTCTAGTTTTACTAATAGCAATTGAAATAGGCGGAAGCGAGGAGATTATGCTCGATCTTGGCGTTCGACAAGCAATGAAAGTTGGAGCTTTTATGGGAGCCAAGATGTAATGAAATGCTGCACATCTGGAAACGCATCTCTTCTAGTAAATGTTCAAATTGATGGTTGTTATATGAATAAAATGCTGAAATGCACATAGTTATTTAATTTCATCACACATGTAGTACTTTTTTAAAGTGTGAGTGATGCTACTTGGCAGAGATATATGCTATGAGTGACTCTATGACAATAAGATCTACCATTGATTGCTACCCAACAAGTGATTTGTGAATCTGCATCGTTGCAAATGAGGTCATGAAAGCAGGGGAATTAAGTTGCAATACATATTTCACATTATGTTGCAAAGAAGACTTGCAAACAGATCCTGCACTGTAGAGGTTCGTTCGATGATGCAATGGATGATGAAAGAAACTGCGTATCGCTATTGCATGAATCACGGAAACTTTATCATCTGCTTATCATGCTTTGCAAGCAGACTAATTTTTTTGAAACATGAGCTTCATTTCCTTACTCATTGAAGCGCTGCACAACGAGCAACTGCATATTATCATAAAATCTGAAGACAGTAGAGATGCCACTGAGAGGACCTAGTCATCAATGAACTGCTGTATTCATTAAATAACTTTTGCCACGCAATAAATTTAATAATAGGCATCCCTCACATGAAACTGTGTAGTCGATATCAAATTAAACAACTGTACCTTATCTTGCTATTGAATATCGAAGAATTTAAATTGTTGTATCTATCTAGTGCAGGCACAAATCATGTTAAATGAAAGATCTGCAGTAAAAAATGGGTCAAAAAGCAGATAAAATACTGTTATTAGTATCCTTCTTTATTCGAAATTAGAATTAAAATGTATCTTCTACGTCTCTATTCATATTATTATTTGGTTTGCTTTACGATGTTTAAGCTTGCAATGCAAGAGACCTGAAGGGGTCAAAGATCAACGGTCACCCACCAAGGAAAAAGACAGTTATGGCTACTCCAAAAGGTTTGAATGCCCATATTGTAAGGCGCCATTGGAGAAGGTTCCTTGTGATGTTCCTGTAACTTTTACCTTCCTTGTAAATGACTCTCGCAGTGAAGACAGAGGCAGTACCGTAACAATGCGTCAAGAAATAACAGAAACGAAGAAGCACACACACACACCATTTACAATTCGCTCCATCTCGATAGATACGAAAAGAGGGAGCTTAACAAGATGGTAAAAACAAGACCAAAAATTACTGCTGCTGCTGCCATTTCTGGCATTGATCCCTATACTGGTGAAATTACGAAAAGTGTCAGAAAAATTAACAATTTGATGGCTAATCATGGACGTACAAAGTATGAGATCCGAAGATCAAAGATCCAACAGGATCTGTATACTACAAAAGAAGATGCTGTAGCTGCTTTCCAAGATCTTGATGTGAAGTATCCACACTTTATGGATTCAGCCCAAATTCTCCCTAGCAAGTTTTTTGTAAGCTTTTCCTCACCAGAAATGCCTCAACGCAATCTGCCTTTTGCCGACCAACCCATCGCAACAGATGTTACATTCAAGGCCGTCCCAAAGGGGTGTTATCTTTGCTCAAGTGTCATATACATCGAGCAACTCCAAAAGCATGTCGTCTTTTATCAAGCGATAATCAAAAGCAACAGCGCTCAAGTTTTCAAGCAGTATTTTGTTGCCTTGTTTAGAAAGTTCGACATCAAGCTAGAGCAGTTTTTGGGAGCCATCGTGGATTTCTCAGCTGCACAACGCAAAGGGTTCATACTAGCTCTTAAGGAGGTTTTTGATGTCAAGCAGCACAACGCATTGCCCTTTTTGAAAGGTTGCTATATGCATTGGATGCAGTCAGTCAGACGGCTGTCTAACAATCATCAAGTTGTCAAGCCAGATGATATTGATCTGTTTTTGAAGCTAGTTCATCGCTTCCGTGCAACCAGCAATTCAATTGAATTCTACCGTACCGGCCAAGAGATTCTCTCTAAATTTCCCAATAGCAAAAAGTGGCTGCAATGGTGGTTACAGCCTGGCGTATCAAGCATGATCTTCAGATGCAAGTCACTGATGAAAAAGGAATTGTCTAAAGATTGATGACATTGCAGATGGCAATATCAGCGATGAGAGATTCTTCCTTGAACTACTCTCAGATAGTGATGGTGAAAACGATGAAGTAGACGACAGATATCATAGAACCGAAAATCTAGAAAACGACATTAAGGATATGTTTAAAGGTACGGATACTTTAAGTGGTTTTTACTTGCTCATGTTGTAACATATCAAAAATAATTAGGTGCTGGTGTTTCTGTCGAAGATGTTGTTGTCAACTCTGATGAGAGCTTCGAATCGTCTGTTATTGATCTTGTATCTTCCTCTTCGCCAATAATGAAGACCAAGTCTGAGCCTACTGCATCTAAGATGAGAGCACCAGCTGATCCTGATTTCTCGTTGTCTTCGTCTTCCTCGAACTTACCCTGTCTTGCAAGTAATGACAAGCACATTGATCCTATTATACAAAGCATTTAAAAGTCCACATCTGCTACTATAATAGATCTTTCCTCTCCCCCAATGCTCCCTGATATTTTGGCATCAGTAGCAATTGAACCTATTGCAAGCAGTTCAACCTTCGCTTGAGAACGGCCCATCTACCGCTGCTGGCTTCCTGTCGCCACAAAAAAGAACATCTCTCTTGCAGAAATATCAGTGGCTCGTGAAAGATTATCAAAATAACCATCCAGAACCATCTCTGCCCGTTCCCACCTACATTGTGTCAAACGAAAGTAACTCCTGCTTCATCGATGCGTTTTTTGAGCTTCTGTTCAATGCTGTCCTTCCATTTGTGGATATGATGTCTTTCGCTGATGAAAACAACGCCTATGGTTGTCTTCTCATGAATGCTTTTGAATTATATTCTCAGCAATCACCTTCTGGTATCCGTGCTGCTACTTCTACTGTGAAGCACTTTGTTTGGAATATGACAGAATACAAGCTTGTCTCTGGTGTTCGTCAGCTGGTTAAGTCATTCCCAAAAGGTCGTCAGGGTGATACTCTTGATTTGGTGAGCATGGCATTGGAGCGTTTGTCGAGTGTCTTTGCCAGCAAGGTTTGCACATTTCCATCGTTGCAATGTGAAAGAAAAGTGCCTTGCTCTGTGGAAAAAGCGCATGCGTATGCGAGAGATGACTTTTTCTCATTTATCTACATGCTCCCGACAAACGTCATTAATGAATTGAGAGATTGCCGTGGGGTTTTCAATGAAGCGGCACTGGATACGAAATTCAATGACTTGTTCAGAGAGAAGGTGCTCGAGGAACACCAAAAAGGAAGATGCAACGCTCCAGGATGTGATGGAATCTCTACATCATTCAGATCATTACCTCAAGATAATCAGTTTCCTAAGTTCATGTTCGTACAAGATGGTGCAAACTTTGTCCTTGGCAGAACAGCCGGAAACAATGTCTATATGCCAACATACATCCACGTTTCGCAGAGCGTAAAATATAAACTGCACGGTAGAATCTACTCGACTAGTTTTGATGGTGTACACTTTTATACGAGGTGTTATAAAACAATTGGTGAAATTGTATATCTCGTGGATATTGACAATTGGCAGCAACAACAAATGAAGGTGCTCACCTCGGATTTGGACGTAGCAGAGCGTCTTCTAAAAGATATTTCCAACACGGAATATGCATGCTACAAAAGAGTATAAATATTTGCTAAAAAAAATTGGACTTGCCAGATCAGAAAATAATTCTGCATGAATAAAACTTAAAATTTGACACCCATTACTCCTCTACATTCTATATACCACCCTACTCCCTATACTCCCTAGATCTACCTACACCCTATGCATCCTGTATCTACCTACACCTATGCACCCTATCCCTACCTGCGTCCTATACCCCCCACGGCCTATCTATTATCCGGATTACACCCTAGCTTTTATACACCCTTTTTATCCTACAGCGTTTTGATGTGAGACAAATTTAAAGCTCCGCTATATATAGCAATATAGCTATAACTCTTATCAAATTTCCCTCGGGTGCTAAAGCATGCCTTACTTACACCACCTAGCTTTATATTCTGGCATTGAGAGGCACTCAATCATCACCAAAGTAAGTGGCGATAACTAAGTGGAGGCAGCCTATCTGCGTCCTACTCTTGGATAAAGACCTGTTGAGCTTCAGCGATAGGCACATCCACACAACGTAAAAAAGGTATGCTTCAAAGAAACATAAACTTAATAAAAGAAAGAAAAGAACATATTACTATACGAGTATAGTAGTATGTAGACAAAAAGAGACACTCACACGAAGCGAGTCAAAGAAAAGCATAACAAACACAACATCAAAGAAGTTTAAAAAAGCTCGTTGCTGTTGCAAGAGAAATGCATACATAAGCAACGCGCATGGAAGTATTAGTCGGATGTAAAGCAACATGACACAAATACGCACAATTGCAAAAGCAACAGTTGCATTATAAGTTGGCGATACAACATAATGACTAATGTTGTTTCATGTAAAGCTACAGAGGAAACACTACCAACAAAAGAAAAAGAAGAAAAAAGCGCAACAAGGCAAACATCATGAATGCATTATCACGAGAAAGGAAGCAATAATATAAGCGTTCAAAGAAGTTTTATATCATTGCGACCAGAAGAAAAAAGAAGATACTTACTACTTACCACAGCAACAGATAGACCAAAAGAGTATGGGCAATCACCGGAGACAGACCAGAGAACGAGCATGCAGCAAGTACAGTAGACCAGGAAAGACCAGATTAGCAGTAGCAGCAGCAGCAGCAGCAACACCGGCACTATAGAAAAAACCATAGAACGAACGCCATTAGCAGAGAGGTGATGGGAGCAACACCCGCATCAAACAGTCAAAAAGAATCATCAAACCCTAATAAAAAATTCTTTTAGCGTTGATTCTACATCTTCCAATAATGCTCGTTATTGAATGGTACCTAGCATATTCCACTTGAAAGAAGAAGTATCAAGTTCTTCCAACAGTACAACAAGACAGAGCTATCAGAAGCTAGAGTGTTATTAGCAATCAAACGGTTTCCAAAACCACCATGATTTGATACTAAACGCGTTTTGCAAAAATGGGGAAAAAAACAGGAATATGGAAAAATGAGAGGGGGCCCTATCCGGCATCACGGCCAGTATATTTGGCCTCATTTCTCTGCAGTGGCAGCCGTAACTGCGGCAATTCAATTTGAAATTGTGCAGTGGGTATCTTCGTGTTCAAACTTGACTTGATCTGACATCTCTTAAAAGTTTTTGCCAAATTTGGCTATGAAAACTGTCGTAATGGCACCCAGCTTTCTAATACGTCCTTAGAGGACTAAAGAAGCCGCATCGAATGGTACTGATTATATTCAGCTTTTTGACTGAAAATAACGAGCAACTTGCAAGAATATGAAAACAGGTTTTCTGTGAATATGTCAGGATTTAGCATATACAAGTCTCATAGAAATAGTTTCCGATGTTGCATTCCATCTTTATGATCAATTTGCTCTAATATGTATCATAGAAAAAGTCTTTATTTTCGGGGCGATAAACGCGATCTTGTGATTTTCAAGAATTTTCCCTTGCTAATACTCGTCAAAAAATGAGAATTTTCATGAATTTGCGATGACCCAAAAAAAAATTGAGATAAAGCGTCAGTAAGTAAGGCGTATCGAAGGAAAGCCGTTTGGTGCTATTCCGAGCGCACAGAACGCTTTGTAGCATGAGCTATTCGTGCTTCAAAATGGCTAATTTTGGACAGGATTTGGCCTAAAAACAAGGCGTAGTATGTTGCGCTGCCAAAGAAGTAAGTAAACTACACTTCTGCTTGATGAACCCTGATGCTCTGCATTGTATGGAACATAGTGTTGTGCCAAAAGGGCTATAACTGTCTATAAAGATTAAGGTATTCTTGATGGGTAGATATGTCTGTGTTGTGCAACAACATGGACAAGCTACTATGAGAATTGAAGTGCATCTCAGCTATCTAGATGCTGAGGTTCACCAGATGTGATAAGTGTTGTAGAAGTTAAATTGCTATTTTGGCATCCAGAATTTAGTATAAATAGGATAACTCTTGTCTTCATCAATAAATATTTAGTTTTTGTGTCTGATCTTACTCAAATAAACCTTTTCTTGTTTTTATAATATCAAACATTTTTTATAAGCTACAAATAATAATCCTTTTATTTTTTTTGTGCTTAACACATAGTTTCTAAGTGACAGATGTTTTTTTTATTCTGATCCTATGGCTCAGGTCTTTCTTTTTGAAATGCGCGAATACAGTAATTTCACAATTTGAGCATTAATGATATTATGCAAGTTTGGATCTAACAACTTGCTCAGATTGAACGAGATGTTTACCAGGTTAGCAGGACACTTTTGATGGTTGTCCATAATAGAGATGCCATATCGAGCCGTAGAACTAAAGGTCTTCTATCCACAACAATGCTAAACACTCATATTTATGGAGAAAAAATGACTGAAACCGAACAGGATGAGTCGGTGTCAGCACAATTGGGGAAGCAGACAACCAAATTTTGGATCAAATTCGAGCGATTAGAGATTCATGATATCTACAAATTCCGTAATACAAGATTCGATACCAGGGGATTGTAGTGAAATCGTGTTTAGATGGCTTCAGGGATCTACACTGCCAAAAAGATCAGCCCCAGCCAAATTGTCCAAACTCAATCGCTCATAGCTAACTTTTGCTACAGTGGCGCATATAAAGCTCTTTTTGTGTGCCAGCATGAGCTATACAATGTCCTGAATTTATTTCATAGACTTGTTCATCACATGGATGTTTCTGTGCTGTTATGAAGGAAAGCGTGTTTTTGCTACCGTACATTCCAATTTGGGGTTCGAAAACCTGATTTTAAAGGAAGCATTGTAGGTGCTCAAACGACGACTCATTTTGTAGAGCAAACACAGGGGAGCAAAGTTTAATCAGTACAACTTGCCGTGGAAAAGCTGTTGTCCTTTGCCAATAAAAAGCGAAGCACAACTTTGAGCCTTCGCAGCATGACAAGTCAATATTATTAGACCAAGTGGTTGCGACTAGACTATTTTATCTGGAGCACCTTATCAATTGAAACAATACTTTCAACAATTAACAGGTTGAGCTTATGAAAGCTAGCAAACTTAATCCTTACAGTAGAATAGTCATCAGAATTAATCTTCATGGTGTCCAAACGTGTTGCTCTTTGTATTGCTAATTTTTCCTTATTCATCAGTTATCTGGCAGTCTATGAACTTCATCGAAATGCTTATCGGTCGCAGCTTTATTGAAAGCCTCAATCCAAAGGCTTTTGATAGAATGTACGCAATTATTGTCCTCATTTCCTATCCTTTAAAGCCTGGTAAGCAAAATTGTCAAAGACCTTCTTCAAAGATGTGGCATCATGCATCTAATTGTTGTAAGACTGATAATGGCAATTTTGGGTGAATCCGCATTATTTACTAGTTTATGGGGCGATGAATGCAAACTTCAAGGTATGTATTCCTACATTATCAAGTATATAGCAGGCTTATTCTACGGAACTATAGAGCTTACAGTGGTTTTATGATTCATAGGCTCATTGAAGTGACAATTTGAAGTTTAATTCATACACAACAATAATAAGAAAAGAGGCATTAAAACATGACGAATTTCAGCTGACTACTCGCAAAACTGACGATCTACCAGAAAATACGTATTTGATTTTTTTCAATGACTTCTACAGCATCTTGTTAGGCGTAATGTGATCTGAACATTATCCTTGTTTATAAAACAGTACGTTTCAACTGACAACACCAGTATAATTAACTTTTGCATGGATGGTATTACATCAACCTTCTAAATTAGATAACATCATATGTGGAATATACAACAAAACAAATCTATATATGATCAAATATCATGCTACTCTGCCGCTTTTTTTCGTTCTTTTTTCATAAATATAAACACAAAATTTCTCATGGGTCTCAACCAGAGCTACATGTATGATCCATATTGGCAGCAGTATTTCAACAACTATGGCATACTAGGAGGTGTTAGTACGCCTATCTATGATGCTCTACAACAGGTATGTACATGAGCCATATAGACTGGGGATCTGTATAGAATTTACACATGAGCATTACATGTAGTATAGGTGGAACAGAAACTATTATGGATATTATCCCTACACTTCCATGTATCTGAACAGTGTCTATAATGACCCATATACGAGGCAACTGATGTATCTGCAGCAGCCCTATTACTCTACTCCACTGCAAAACCAGCCGCTGTATCAAAACTCCAATCCCTTTTGCTATCCTCTAATGCCAAATTACTTTTACTAGTGCACAAGGCACGGCACATCAATGCGCGGTGCTTAAATGGCTCAAATGAAACATATCTTTTGTAAAGCAACATGTTAATTCCCTTTCCTTTTCTCTTTTGAACTAAATATAAATAATAAAAAAAAAGATGTCTTTGGCACAGTGGAGACAGTTTAATTTCTTTGATAAGCAACAAGCTACAGATCCTATAGAAAAAGGAAAGACGCCTGCTGTATTCCAGGTAGATTTTGCACTGATGACATGACCGTGTTTCAATAGCTGATGAATGGAATAGAAGCAAGATATTTCAGTATTCACTACTGGTCGCGGCCATATCGTATTGTCTGATATCCTTTTTTAAACAAATAGATCATAGCTACTGACATCTCGAACGACATCATATTACCTTAACACACTATTTTACATTCGGCAGGTCATGTTTACATTGTAGACCGCTCCTTCAAGACCCAAAAGTTTATTGCATATGACGGTGGCCGAGTAACTCACATGAAACAGTTGAAACAAAAGAACGTCCTTGTTACTGTTGGAGTAAGTGATGTAAAAGATGGATCAGGGCGTGGATAGTATGACTGAACGAAGGAGCCATAGGAAGATGATGCTGTATCAGGTATTCCAGTGGTCAAATTTTGGGATTTGGATTCCTTGAAGCCTATCGAAGGAGCGGATGATATCATTGTACCCACATTGCTTCGTACCATCAAAATACAGCATGGCGGAAAGACCTATCCAGTATCCACATTTGCCATTCTAGAAAACATGTCTCAACTGGCTATCGGTTTAGCAAACGGCGTGGTTATATTGATTCGTGGTGATCTCTCCAAAGACAAGACCACCAAACAGAAAGTGATCTACGAGGGAGAGGAGCCTATCACTGGGCTTGGATTCAGAGAGCAAACGAAATCCACCATTCTATTCATTGTGACAACCAGCAACATCATGTCCTATAACACAACAGCAGTAAAGCCTGCGGTCACCATATTGGATGAACAGGGCTGTGGGTTGGGATGTGCTGTCATGAATGATCAGCAGGAAATGGTGGTGGGCCGTGATGAGGCTATTTACTTGTATGACCCCACGGGCAGAGGACCTTGTTTTGCATATGATACACCCAAATCATCACTGACTTGGTTCAAATCAAGCTACCTGGTCATAGTGTCTCCTCCTGTAACAACATCTGCTAATTTACCCAGTGGTGCTCGTGCTTCTCTCAATTTTAATCCCAAAAGAACATCATCAAACGAGCTCACAAAGATTGCTATTTTCGATACAGCCAACAAGTTTGTTGCCTATGTGGGTACGTTTTTGGGTGGCATTCGAGGCATATTTTGCGAGTGGAATTCGATCTGGGTTGTGGGCATGGATGGCAAAGTAAGTTGGGTATACCAAAGGTGAGTATGCTAGATAACTAATAGCAGAGTTGATAGTTGTATCATTTGGATGAAAAAGACACGCCCACAAAGCTCGAGATTCTGTTCAAACTGAACTTGTATGTGTTGGCTATCAACCTGGCTCATATGCAAAAGTATGACGATACCAGTATATCCGAGATTTTCAAAAAGTACGGTGATCACCTGTATAACAAGGGTGATTACGATGGATCCATGGAGCAGTACATACGAACAATTGGACAATTGGAGCCATCCTATGTGATTCGAAAGGTAAGTTTGCCCAATCCACCCACTGCCAAGATGCTGACCAGAGTATGCGCCTTAGTTTCTGGATGCACAGCGCATCTATAATCTGACCAGCTATCTTCATGAGTTACACGCCAAAGGACTAGCAAACGCAGATCATACAACACTGCTACTGAATTGCTACACGAAACTGAAGGATGTTTCTCGCTTGGATCAATTCATCAAAACCGATACAGACCTGAAGTTTGATTTGGAGACAGCCATCAGCGTGTGTCGACAAGCTGGCTACTTTGAACATGCCATCTACTTAGCCGAAAAGTTTCAGGAACATGATATGTATCTGGATATTGTGATTGAGGACATGAAAAAGTATGACACGGCATTGGCCTACATCAAGAAACTGGGTCCATACGAAGCCGACAAGAACCTTCAAAAGTATAGCAAGACCTTGTTGAGTCATTTACCCGACGAAACAACACAGCTATTAATCGAACTCTGCACGGGTACGCTTCCGTTAGCTACCATCCACAAGCCGTCTACACCGACAGATCCCAAGTCTCCTGCTCCTAGCGACAATACCAGAGCCCTCTCCAATCTACCTTTCGGTGGCCCTTTAGCAGGAGACAGTTCATCCATCTTTAGCGAAAACAGTTCGACGTTGCACAACAACAGTAGCTCACAAACACCCACACTGAGCAGACTGGCGCAGACCAAACATGCCAGTGGCCGCTTGAGCTACTCTCCACCCTCTCCACGCAAATTCATGCCTGCTTTTGTAGATCGTCCAAACTACCTCACCACATTCTTGGAATCAGTGTTTGAGAAACTATGGGGCACTGCCAACAACAGCAGCTCATCACCAACTACATCAACAACTGCCGGCGTAGCATCTCCTGTCTCTGACAACGCCACTATTGTCAACGGGTTGCGCCATTGGTCTTTGCAAGAGCAAGAGGAACGCAAGACGATTTGGAATACCTTGTTGGAACTGTATTTGATGGATGATATCAAGGAACCTACTTCAGCTCGTGAGAGACAGAAACGCAAGCGCGAATTCCGACAAAAGGCATTGACATTGTTGCATGATGAGTCTGTTCATTACGATACCAACCAAGCATTGGTGCTCTGTCAACTGAAGCAATTTGATGAGGGTATTGTGTATCTGTATGAAAAGACGGGCATGTATACGGATATTTTGCGTTATTGGATGGACAAGGGCAATACAGATCGTGTGATTGAAGGTGTCAGAAAATACGGGTGAGTGTTCACTTTTTGATTCCGTGAATAGCCTTACTAATGACATCATGTAGACCCAAAGACTCTTCGTTATACCCTATGGTGCTGACATACTTTTCATCTACGCCTGAAGTCATGGCCAAGTCGACTGAGGAATTAGCCTCTGTCATGAAGCATATCGATGAAAAGGATTTACTGCCTCCTATCCAGGTTGTACAGGCTTTATCAAGATCCAATGTAGCGACCATTGGTTTACTCAAAGAATACATTGGTAAAAAGATTGAGCATGAGCATGCTGAATTGAAGCAAGTAAGTTTTCAATTGCTTATTGTACGACTGTGTACTAATCTGCTCTCTTATAGAATGAAGAGTTGATAGAAAGTTATCGCGCAGAAACCGAGAAACGCAGAAAAGAGATTGAAGAATTGCAAACCAGGTAATGACAGAACAATACATATAAAAAGGGTCGTCAAACTGACATGGAAGTACAGCGCTCGTATCTTCCAAGTTCAAAAGTGCTCAGGCTGTGAGGGTAATCTGGATCTTCCTGCTATCCACTTTTTGTGTCGACATTCTTATCATCAACGGTAGGTCCCATTTTCAGTCTATTCCTAAAATTGCAAACACCAACACATTCCTTGTAGTTGTATTGGCGATAATGAGCGAGAATGTCCCCAATGTGCTATTCATCACCGTATGATTAGCGAAATCAGAAGAACACAGGAAGCAAATGCTGATCGCCACGACTTGTTCTTTGAGCAACTGGATCATGAAGAGGATGGATTTGATGTGATTGCGGATTACTTTTCCAAGAATACCATGGCATTTGCCAAACTGATCGACTAATTATGTATAAATAAAGGGGCTTCCGATGCCGACAATGTTGTCTTCTAATTAATGTGATGCATGTTGCTCAGACGAAAGCTTTGTGGGATGGCTGTGGGAGTACATGATGCACTGAGGGCCAGAACTCAGATCAATGGTATTGCAGTCGATGATTGGATGCTTGTTGGCCTTATTCATGCATGCTTAATGTAACAATGGACGCAGTACTCTCGAGATCCTTGCTCTGCAATAGAGCAACACTATGCGGCACATATCAAACGAGCAAGAAAAGCAAGTAGCAGAGTCAAAGTGGGCATTAGACATATCATACTTGTAGGAACCCAAGATACGAAGCTTGAAATTGGACGAATCAAAACAGCAGTGTTAGCTACGCAATGAAATGAGCCTTGAGGTTATGCTAGATGCTTGTTGAGCTGTTTACAACGCTGATACAGATGTGCAATGCTATATTAAGATAAACAACGCCATGCTATATACAGACCGAATCTAATAGTGTCAAGGAGGAACCAAAAAAGAGAGGTTAAATTACGAAAATGGCAACGTCCATGACATGACACAAAAGAGGCATTTCGGCTTGTTTGCGTCACCTTTGATATATAATACCTTTTTCATTTCTCAATCAATTTTGAATCCTTTTTGCTTATTATCCATCATCAAACACCACACTTTAAAATGTCACTCGGAATACAAAGACACTTACGACAACGACGACAGTATGGTTCAACTAGATTATTTGGTAGGATCTAAACATGACACCTTCAAGCAAAAATCAACTGATGCTGACATCCTTTATCAACAAACAGACAAACAGATATATGCAGACCAATACATTATGTCAAATTTGACATTGGAGAGGGAATTACCTGGACACACTGGGTGTGTCAACACATTAGAGTGAGTGTATACGCATGAACAAGCAAACGCATCCAGAGGCTAATGTAGAGAGGCGTAGTTGGTCATCAGCAGGCGATAAATTATTGACTGGATCTGACGATACAAAACTTAACGTCTACCTAACTTTTGAGAACTACGAATTACAGACAACCATTGATACAGGTAGCCAATGCATAGTGCGATTGAAAGAGACAGAAAATCTGATCATTCAACAAAAGGACACCGAGCAAACATCTTTACAGCTAAATTCATGCCACAAACATCAGACAATATCATCGTTTCGGGTGCTGGTGATTCAGAGATCCGTATATTTGACTTGACGAATCCTGAGAAGCAGCTCGATTCCATGTATGTGTGTCATAGCGATCAACTAAAGAGGATTTGTGTGTTCGAGGACAACCCGTATGAATTTATGTCCTGTTCGCAAGATGGTGAGTTGAGCAGTTTACAACGGCATTCAGTTACTGAAAACTTCCCTCTTGATCAGGCACTGTTAGACATTTCGATAGACGAACACCGCATCTGTGCTCGCCGCACAATGTAAGATCGTTTATTACAGCGCAAAGCAAGCCAGCTCGACAGCACCCACTTCCTGACAGTAAAGATGCTCGCCGTGGCTGCCCAAGTCCAATAGTCAACTATGGTCGATACAACATTGAATTGAACAGCATGACGATTAGTAAACTGTTTCCGCACTATTTTGCTGTGGCTGGCATGAACGATTACATCTATTTGCACGACAGGCGAATGACGAACAGCAGTAATGTGTCTTTCTCTACCAGCAGCAGCAGCAGCCACCAGATGATGGACAAACTGAAATGCATCAAGCGGTTCTCGCCTACCATTGATGGATTGAATCGACCCGACAAGCATATCACAGCATGCAAGTTTAGCGATACCAATGGATACGAACTGTTAGGCAGCTGGTCATCCGACGGCATTTATCTGTTCAACATCAATGACGATACCATTCAATCTTCCATTTCAACCAATACTTCCACCAGCCACACTAGAAATAAAACAGCATCTGACAATTCGCCTTCTTCGGATGCTGTTGATCTACTACAGCAAAAGAAGGAAGCCTGGGAGAATATTGTCTCGTTTATGGAATCTGGCCTGGCATCAAGCGCAGTAGATAGCCTTTATGATCTCTTACAAGAGAAACACCCCAGCATCATGGATTTGGATGGTCGTATTGGCGTAGCATGTGTTTATATGATGGAAGCGCATCTTGTGTGCAAGCTGAGAACAAGGAGAGACACTTGGTATACAAACGAGGTGGAAGATCCAGAGGCGGCTTGGTCGAGGTACTTTTTCGCACATGAATTGACACAGATTCAGAAAAAGATGGAAGACGCAGAGGCACTAGTTTTACCAACAAAGACATGGCAAGCCTATTGGTGCTTGGCTATAGGCTACTGGACCTTACGAGGTGGACATGAGACGATTGCAAATCATAATAGACAAGCAGTATTGGATAAAGCGCTGGATTATGCCAACAAGGCAATGGACACATTTAAACAAGCAGCAGAAGTGGCCAGCTCCTCCTCTTCTTCTTCATCTACTACGATGGCGGATACTTCCAACCTTTCTCAGATAGATGGCACTTATTTGGCAATGATGCAGCTTTTCATTATTGATTGGCAGCATGCTGCTGTTCGTGAAGGCGCTTTAACTAATGAAGAGATCGAAATTGAAGAAAACGGGATATCAGGCTGGCCTTGGGAGCGATTAATGTACATTACGCTCTACAGTCCAGATGAAATTGAAGACTTCTTCATGAGGAAGATAACGGAGGGCATTGGGGAGTCAGAGGCAAGTACGAGCTCCTCCTCCACATCATCGCTCACATCAAATGAGGAGGATGAGGACATGGAGGAAGAGGAGGATGAAGACGAAGAAATGACAGAAGACGAAGTATCTTTATACACTCGTATCATGAGTAGGCAAATTATGGATATATATAGAGGCAACAGCATAGGCGATGACAGCGATGATTCAGATCTGGATTTAGAGGAATTAGCCGTTTTACGAGAGAGTGCACAGAAGCCTGTAGAAGCTGATGTTGGTGTAGTGAAGCCACGCGTAAAGTACATGGGACATTGCAACATTGAGGTGAGTGGTTCTATCATGTATGGTTTTTCAAGGCATTGACAAAAAGAGTTTGCAGACTATCAAAGATGTCGACTTTTTTGGGCCAAATGACGAGTACATTGTATCAGGTAGTGATGGTGGCTATCTATTTATATGGGACAAGAAGACAGCCAAAATATTACAAATTTTACAAGCGGACCAAGATATTGTCAATGTAGCAAAAGGGCATCCCACTCTACCTATTCTTGCAGTGTCAGGAATCGATTCAACTACCAAAATATTCACGCCCACCTCAAAACCTCATACAACGCTCAAAAGCAAAGAGCCAAACAACCCAAACTCGTATTCAGCATCATCTCACATGTATGAAGAGCAAGCTATTGTTTCCTTGAACCGAGAGAATACTCAAACCTTAGGCACAGATATTTATATCACGCGAAATATGATTGCTGCCTTATCTAGAATTAGTAGGGTGCATCGACTGAGAAGAAATAGCGACGAAGATGAGGATGAGGATGAAAATGGAGAGAATGATGACGAACACTATGATAGTAACGGAGACGACAGCGATGGTCCAAGTCGACTTTATCGCATGATTGAAGAGGGATTGCTTGACGAGGATTTGTGAACAAATGTGATACCGCCTCAAGTCTTTTTTTTATACGTTAATAGACTGTATTTACAAACTTATCTATACCCATCTCAAATAAGCCTGCATTGCATTTTATACACTTAAATAAAGTGCAAATATAAAGTGCAATAGCAAAATTTCCAAATATGGTAGTAATTTGACATATCAACTCCGCTCAGGGGTACATGATTTTGCGTTTCTCTGTTAAGTGTGCATGGTAAGTATCATCTGGAATGACCATATTTCATCGCCAGCATTTCATCATTGCCTTCTTCACTCAATTGTTATCATCATCAGATGGCACAAGGATAATGTAATTTCAAGCATGAATAGGAAAGAAGTGTTGAAAGAAAAGAGAAGAAAAAGACATCATCCCTACGTAATCATATCAGATAATCTTGCATACATGTTGTCGATCTAAAAATTGCAACATTGATAGCTCAAGCGGCGTATGGAATAAGCCAAAGCATCGATAGTCAAGCTCATTATTAGTCTGCGTCACAGCAAGCTGCATTAAAGCATCATCGTTATAGTATGCTTGTTGATTGTCTAGATGATAGCATTCAAAATTGATTCGTTCTTCAATCCAGTACTTTTGGCAAGTCCCAGGGCTTGCGCAATTGATTCCATCAAACAGTGATCTATAGATTATACATAGACTAGCTTTTCAATATTTCCTCCTTCTCTCTCTCTCTTTTTCACTCTCTTTTTCATTCATTCATTCATAATTGGATCTATATCAGATATGTCTTTAGATGGCTTACAATAGATGTTTCATCTACTCGTCTATTCTAGATGGTAAGGTGTTCTCCCATTGAGGTGGTTTAATGGTAAGTACTCTATCAAACAAGCTGTTTCCAAACATATCTGTTCCACTGATGTATCAAAAAAGGCGTTTCAAGGTTTCAACGAAGGCAATCAAGGTTGTATTGGTATCATCCCAAGTCTTTCAAGGCGTTCTCTGGCCCTCTCTTGGTGGTGAATCTGCTTCTCTTTTCAGTGGTTTGTGGAATGGTGAGTACTCCATCAAACAAGCTGCTCTCAAACAGGTCTGTAACACTGGCATGTATCAATAACCCAAGGTGCTTCTCTCACGGCGTATGTGGTAATTCTGCCTGGTCATATGCAGCTCTATCAAGGCTCTCAAAAATATTGCCTACTCATGAAGCCATCTCAAGACTTTCAAGATTTCCTTGATGGTCTATGTACGATATGCTCATGAGTACCCTTCTCTGGTATAACTCAAGTGCTCTAAATGCTTCCCAGTGTGTCTCATAGGATTTGCATTTTTCATGCTGTCTTCCACACAGGGATTTTCCTCTGCTATCACTCTCTGCTCAAGTGGAGGCTTTTTAGCCCGTGGTCATTATCCTTATGGCTCAATGTATGGTGCATTCTCTGCTTAGAACCCATTTCTGTCGTTGCTAATTCATGGTTATCAAGGTCCTTGGCACTACATATGGTTTACTTCGGCCTGGATTTCTTCCTGCTTATACGAGGGTTTCATGCTGCTATTGACTTTAAGAGATTTTATTGCTCGCTTATATCCTTTTCATTGATTCAGGCTATATTTCCTGTACGGTGATCCTGCCATGTTTTGGGAGTTGGCATGATCTGTAAGTACAACTTCTTCTCATACTTGATGTCTCTACTAAATGTCTCTTTTCCTTCCTTTCTTTTATGTTTTATTTTGAATTTATTTTTTTACGAACCCGAAGCGAATAGTCTGTACCATGGTGTGATGTGAGATCTAAACATTAAATTTCAGACTTTTCGTTTCCATAAATTGCTTCCAAAGCTCCAATGCAATGGAAAGGGATAATGCAAGCGGCTGTTCAAAGGGAACGCACCAACAGATGTATTCATGTTCCAGAAACCACAATCCATTTTATTGGTTCCGTTTCGGTTTTACATGTGAGGTTCCTATGATACTTTATAATAGGTGCCTTGATTCTCATTGATTGCTCTTCTCTCTTTATTTGCCTACATGCTCATGATAAAATGACTGACTTAAACTGGTGCACATATTGTGACAATGCCATATCACAAAACTCAGTGAGTTCATCATCAACACTTTGCATGAAACGTAAAATAACTAACACGGCTTAGAATGCCTTGTATTGCTCAGAAAAATGCCTTCGTCTGGACACTTTGCATTTGCTGAGCAATCCTGATAAACGCTACCATCAACTCGACTTGATACCGCATTACAGAAAAAAATATTTGCCAAAAAAGATCCAATTCACGCCAGAAGAAACACCTCCCTCACTCAGCTCAAATTTTGCAAATGCAAAGCCCACAATCACATCTTGTCAGCTCTATCGTCCTCCTTTCAACACTAATAACGCTAAATCTATTAGACGATCATCTAAATTAAACTAATTGAAAATTCAATGTACATTACAAATGCGAAAAAATAAAAAAAAAAAAAATAGTGAATTCATGCATACGCAGATTACATAATGTTTTCATTTGTTCTATTTCGAAAAGAAGATGCCAAGGAAGAAGAGGACACTGACGACACCAACATTGGGTAAGAAGGCCGTTTCTTCAACGGTTGGCTTTTGCTTCTGCGACGCGAGCGATGGTGATGATGACAAGTGCTATCTGACAAGGACGTGGACGTGCTTGTGGTGATGGTGGTTGACGAAGGTCGCTTCCTAAATATGTATTCCTCTTGCTCTTGCTGCTTCATGATATCTTGATTCAAGCATGCTTTCCATGATTCCATGGTGATAAAATCGCCCAACTGAATATAAACATCGTGCTTGTCTTGGCCATGTATCTTGAGAATAAAGTCTTCCTCTGGATTGGTGCTGCTGTAGACAGAGGCATGCGTGTAAGAAATCATGGTGCCTTTTTTTGTTTTTTCAGAATAGTAAGAGATGTATCCGAATCTTGGGAATATCATCAGTCTTCGCATTTTCCATTGAGATAGAAATGGGAAATACTTGAAGGCTTTTCGAACAGGCACATCGCCTTCTTGTACTTCAACATAGACATTGGTGTTGTCGTATCTACCTTCAACCGTCGTTGTCATGGCGTGATCGTCATGGACGTAGTTGCTAGTGGCGATAGGTGATAATAAAGTAACAGGTGATGGTGGCGGAAGTGGGTCTTTGCTTGGTTTCTTTGTTGTAGATTTAAGGAACGAGTAAAGAGTGATATCGTCTATTTCATCTTCATGACAAGCTGTGGTGGATGGCGAAAATGAAGGAGGTTCATCAGTTGTCTCGGTTGCAGTTACAGCCTTTCGCCATTGCTTGTAAAATATGTACACTTTGGGTATAAAGAGCACCGCTAATGAGAATGTAGTTGCCCATAAAATGGCAACAGCAACAGAATAAAACTTGAGGTAGTAATTTGCTAAAGGATTGATCATGGCGGTAAAGCCCACTAAAGCAGAAAATAGGATGTTGCTACATGTACGCTTATCAGTATCGTACTCAAAGTCTTTGGTAAACAACTTACTAAACAGAGATACCCATTTGCTTGCATTCATTGTAGTGGTCATAGTGCTTGCCGGCGGATCTCGTCTTATAGGCTAGAAATGTTGCAAAGATCAACATGCTACCAGCATAAATTGCACCAAAACTTAGAAAGATGGTTCGGCTGGCTGTTGGAGCAGCCCGGCAAACCCAATAATGAGATGTTGGATTCACTTGCACAAGCACAGGCTCTGGTGAAGATACCAGCAAGCCAATGGTCAATACAGCCATGTTGACTGAAATCACAACAGATAGCAATTTCATCAATTTGAAGTCGGTCAGCACTGTCCTTGATATGAATATGTTGTTAAATATTCGGTATATTCGATAGTTCTTGGCAATCAAATTTCCCAACACCAGCAGGAAGCCAAAATTGAAGGTAATTGGTACCAGAAAACAGGACGTCTTTGTTGGTATACCCATTGTGAATATGACCGAAGTATAGGTGAACAGAAGTCCAAGCAATTCAAAGCAACAAAACAACGGACTCGATGCACGGAAAATGTCATGTTTTCTAAACATGATGACGAGCAACAGCACAAGACATGTACAGAACATTCCAGTGGCAGTGAAGCCCAGTATAATTTGGGAAGTCATACTTGAGAAACTAGGATTGAGTGCATTACTAGGAGGCAAATCCGCTGGAGGCTACTATTTAGAAACAAACTGTTGTAAAAAAAAAAAAAACTGCTAGAAACGTTTGAAGATGAGTAATACCTGATGCGTGCCATCATGGTACATGGGAGGTGTTGTAAATTCGAATTTGCCGGCAATACTGCGACCGATAGAGACTAAATTACCACGTTGAATGTTGAAAATGTGGTGGTTTCTGTTTCCAAGTGTTAGTAAATTATGTTCACACATAAAGAATAGGCATACCCTGTAAGTAAATCGCCATTACTGTCATAATGCAAAGGTCCTTCAGGACTAAGATAGCCCGTATCAAATGTGCGTGGTGTCATGGCAGATCCTAATGAACGATTTGAGAGCATTTCTAAGCCTAGCGAGTGATTGCTGATGGTAGATAAGGTTTGATTAAACCCTCGAGCCATTGTCATCATGCATGAAAAAGCGGGTCTGTCATACAAACAAAAACTCATTAGGTAGTTGCTTCATGGTGCAGGTATATAAAACCTTACCCTTCGTTTGTAGATACATTTCTTCTTCCAGCATATGGATACCTGTCGATCAGTGAATAAACCACCCTTCATAGCACTGTACACAACTTACGCTTCAGGGTCCAAACGCATCCAGTCACTCAAAAATGCTTCAAACGGCGGGTAGCCATATAATGACATTTTCATGTCAAACATAAACGCACCATCCATGGCCCCAGTCATTATCATGTCCTTCATATTGGCTGAATTGTCGTCCATTAATAACCACACATATTCACTCGAAGTCAAGTTTCTTGCTGCAGCCATTTTCATCAGATTTATCTGATGTGTGCCTGTAACACCTACCATGATGATTCGCATGGCACTGGATTCAATGAATTTTAGCAAATCGGTTATATTTGCGGATATGTATGGTTGATAGCTAATCACGTTGAGATTACGATAAGTAGCTTGATTCAAGACTTTTTGATAGACTATGCAGCAAAAAAGACGTGAGTAATTCAATAGGTTGATCTCATGCAAGGACTTACATTGCTGTCCGAGTGGATCGTTGTCGTAAATCACGCCTATATTTCTCCAACCCTGACTTGCTATGAAATCGAGCATTACACCTGCTAATGTGGCTTTTGTTGGTATAGTACGATAAAAATACTTGTATTGCGATTTGTCCGAGAAACCGACTATGGCAAGTGAATGTGTTAGCATGGATATCGTCTCCCTCAGGCATGAAACTTACTCGCATTAGCAGTAAACGAACACTGCGGTATTTCCAATGTACTGGTTATCAATGCACTCAGTGTCGTCCAAGAACTCGAAACATCGCCAATGACAGCAATAACACCTTGCTGCAATAATGTAACGGAGGCATACACGGCTTGAGTTACAGCTCCCTGATCTTCGGCATTTTCGTTCGGAAACGAATCCTTTTCAATTAAAGTAATGTATGCACCTTGAATGATCTTTTGTTGATTGATCATATTTGCTGCCATCCGAATAGCAGAAGACCCTCTATGGATTTAAGCCTTGTGGTTTAGAGGGAAATTTAGAATCCAAATTAGTGTAAACCATTACCCCCAAACAATCTCTGCTGTCAAATTATCGTTGCTCTGGCTAAAGGGTAGTAACACCCCTACCTAATACAAAACATTCAGAGGCACATTCATATATATATATATATATATATATATAAAGTGTAACCTGGTATACCTTAAGCTCTTGGAGGCCCGATGTATTGAATTTTGGTGTGATAATCACAGTGTCATCGTCAACCTGATTTATATAATTGTATGGATCCACTGCCAAAACTCTTCCAAATGCTGCTACCGTTTTGTTGATAGGTTCATTTGACATTGTAATTTTTATTGAAAAACAAAAAAAAAGTAATGAAAACAAGAGAGAGGGGGTATATAGTTCAAGAACAAGAGAAAAAACTACTGCTATGTATAGGTATGTATATATACATATATAAGGATGAATTTATGCAATATGTAAATGGCGGTCAATTTTTAAAGGATTAAATTCTGGTTCATTACCGTAGTATATGGGTTTCAGCTATGGCAATATTGGCTCGCGGTGGTAGAGCTTATAGTAGCATATGTGTAGTTTAGCGCTGCTAGGAACGGATTGCGATGTCCGCTATTCAACACGGTTAGTCATGGCAGTTACACATGTAAACAAGACTCAATCCACCTACTTTTGAAGCGCACACCAAGAGTAATGGTTTGTATTAGATAAATTGGCACTGCAAATGGGGCAAATGGAGTGAGCAGACATTTTTTTAGTTGGAAAGAAAGGAAAACGAGAAAAGGAGAAAAAGAATAAGAGAGAAGAATTATATATCTCCAATACGATTACACAAGAAAATAAACATTATTTCATTTATTTGTCAATGGAATACAACCATTCCTCAGTGATGGTTGGGAATATCTTGTCCAATACATTGAATTCTTCTTGCTTCTTGAGTTTGATCTCCTTGTAAATTGTGTCGGAATACAGCATGATATCATTCTCATTCAAATATTTGTGTTGTTCGTTTGTCCAACCTTGAAGAAGCGCGGTGGTCTCCAGCACCGAAAATGGCAATAGATACTTGGAATTGCGTTTTTCCTCCTCTGCTGATGTTGGCGGTACGGGTATACTAGTGGTAGGTGATTCCAGTTCATGCATGGTTTTGTTTGTAGGTGTCAAGAGACTATTCAGGCTAGATATGCTAGTGGGTCTGGCTCGGGTCTCTCGCTCGTCAATCTCGATCGATGCTTTTCGCTGGTTACGCCAATGATGTTGATGATCTACCACCCACTGATTGGCCAGTTCAGTTACCTGATCCGGTAATCGAGATTCAGTTACTTCATAACGGTAGTTTTGTACACAGCGTTTCACTTGCAGTGCATTTAATTTATCGAATGTCTGGATTGTGCTACTAAACAATAGCACATCATCCAGCTGAGATAAGCATTGGAGCAGCTGTAGCAATTGCACAAGGGGCTCGAATGACTGGTTCAATGATGTAGGTAGCTTTTGAATACGGATCCAATCTTCAAATGCGGATAGATTCATTCGAATCTGCAGTGCTTTGGAGCGGCACAGGTATTTCTTGTAGGTCAGAACACGGTTGAACATCTCGCAGGACAGGTAGTGAAAGAACTGTGCTATGGCCTGGATCACAATGGCTGGAGGGACATGATACGACTGTAATGTGCGTTGTAGCTCTGTCAATAGTAGTGTCATATATTGTGGTGTGGATGCTGTCTCGTCCAAGCTGTTCAAGGAAGCAGCGTCCAATGAGTATTTTCTCTCTGACGAATCCGGTCTATTTGTTGTTGCAGTGTTTGTGGTAGATAGAACGTCAATTGACTTTCTGTTACTCAAAGTGTAGCTACTCCTTCTAAAGAATCTCTGCCAGTCGTCTGCAAAGTCCACCTGGTTCAGTTCGTGGATTGGCTCGTAGTCCATCACGACTGGGAGGAACTTTTCCAATCTCTTTTGTGATTCTGTTATATAATAGGTGTACGCTTCAGAGATCAATGCTGATAGCGTTTCTTGCGTGTCAATGGTGGAGATGGAGAGGCCGGGATCCTTTTTTAAGTAGCTGGATAACTGACACATATTGGCAATCCAAAAAGCCAAACCTTGTGTATCTCGAGAAGTAGCCTAGTCCATATATATTCATATAAGTTTATGTTAAATGTTTGTGTTTGTCGCCTCTTATACCTTGATGATCCTTGAAAGCTTAGCTGCGGTAGTATTGAGTAACAACGCCAATAAATCCCTGCTAGAGCAGTAGTGGGCAAATCGAGCGCTCAGGAACACAATGTTGGCTGGTTGCCACAACGCGTTGTCCAGTGCATTTTTGTTGGCGAGTGATTTGGTATCAGTGACATGAAGAGCATGGTCTAATATGTAGTGCATTTCGTCCTGACTAAACACAAACATTTGATCCGGCAAGCATTGATTCCATGAAAAGGTGCTCAGTGATTTCACAGAAGCTTCCCATTGCTTGAGATCCTCCTCTTCCTCCTGTGTCATGACAGCACACGAAATTTCCTTGTTTCGCTGTTGCTGTTGCTGTTTGGGTGGTGTGGTGATGGACAACAGCTGGCTGAAATCCGGTGGCGTTAATTTGGGGCTGTCAGTGGGCCTGTTCGTTGTTGTGGAACCAGATGAAGACGCAAGTTTGGCTTTTGTATGCTGATGATGGTTGAGAAAATGGTTGTAGCCGTCTACAGATGCTTGGTAATACATGTCGTGATGGGGTATACTTGCCGTAGTGGGTGTTGGTGTAGTAGGCGATTCCAATAGTTCGGTAGGCTGTGGTGGTGGCGTGAGTGTCGGGGCAGGTATCGTGGTATTCGCAGCAGCATCAGACACAGGCACAGGCATAGAGACCTCTGGCTCGCCCAGCAGCTCCTTGATTGAATGTAGGGTGGGGTATTGATACACGGTTCTCGCCTGCTTCGTCTTGATGGACTTGTTGGCACCGTGATCCAGCAGTACTTTCACAGCATCCAGTTGATGTCCATGGACAGCCCAAATCAACGCTGTCCAACCCTCTAATAGAATGCAGTGATGAGTGTCCCTTTTTCTCACATTTTGTACGGGGATTATAAAAAAAAGCAATTATAATCCGTACGACGTCAAACATAAACTTACTTTTGTCTTGTTGATTGATGGTGTCCATGTTATTCTGCTTTTGGTGATTTAGCAGTAATTGCAAACATTGAAGATGGCCAAAATAAGCAGTGTACATCAGTGCTGTGATGCCGGTCTTTGTGTCGTCTGTGTCGTGGATACTGACTTGGGTTGTTGCTAGCATGCGTTTCATGGTGTCAAGGTCGCCAATGGAAGCAGCACGGTTGAACCACTTAATTAGCAAGCAATGTCGGAGTCTTGTGTTGCCATGTAGTAGTGGTATTTCATCCAAATTGTCATGCTCATTAAAAACTGCATAACGAGAGTAAATTTCAACTAATTTAGTTGCTTTAATAGCGTCCTCCTCATTATCATCTTGGCAATCCGTGTGCTCGTGCGATGTGGTAACTAGTGCTGCTGGTTTCTTGGTCTTTTTCTTGATTGATTTCTCTATAGATCTTCGCTGCTGTTTCTGTTGCTGTGGTTGTGGTTGCGGAGACGATGAAGGGGGGTGTCTGACCAAAGTCGACTTTGCAGAGGGTAATGGTGGCAGTGTTGGTGGTGGTGTGACAGGAGCTGTTGGTGTTGTAACCATGCCGGATTTCGCAACTGCCGCATTATGAGTACGTTGATGCTTCTGCTGTAATGTTGTATTGGTGGATAATTGGGATAGCATACTGGAAAACTGCTGAAAGCTATCCGCAATCTTGGAGGAAAGCTCTTCTGGGCTCATCTGTGTGCTAGTAGCCAATGTAGGTAAAGGAGGGGGTGGTGTAGAAGATGCGTGGATGCCTGATCGATGTCTATTACTTGTGGTCATTGATGAGCTGTTTCTTCTCATCAGGTCATGATGCGTTGCACTTGTATTGATGGATAAGACAGACATTGATCTTTGAGAATTCAGCATTGGCCGTCGAGATGCAATGGTGGTCTTGGGCGTCTTCAATGCGGCTATCTTGGAAGTGTTGTCCATGTCGAGATGAAAAGGAGAGGAAGGTTGGAGCTTATGCAAACAAGATGGTTCAGTGTCAACAAACGATGAATTGAGAGAGAAGAGAAAAAAAAAAGGGAAAAAGAAGGGGGTTGAAGAAGGCAGCAGAAAGGGTATTGAGATATAAAGAAGGAGAGAAATCTAAACTGTGTGTCTTTGTTGAAGAAACCAAGAGTTACACCAAAAGCATTGCGTTGCTATTTGTGCAATGGTAACTATTTCAAGTGAATTTGTCTCCATGATTTAGTCATCCAATCACCTTTAGCTGTTTAATTTGATTCAGTGGCTTGATTATCATACATTGATAGTTTTGTCCCTGAAGCCAGGTGCCATATGCTTAAACAGTCATTTTTCTTGTACCCGGATTGCAAGCATCACAAACATTGGCCACATCTAAATAACTTTTTAGGATGGCCAAATTGTTGACAACGGAGACCATGGACATGTTGTATAGCATCATGTAGTTGATAGCTTTACATTCAAAAGTACATTTGTAGAGACTATGGAAGCATGGACGAGTATCACACATTTGAGCAATGCACACGGCCAGTGCTGCAAATCATCGTTGCCCCTACTTACAGGAGATACACCCATTTTCAAAGTATGAAGCGATTGATCGATATCATCCAAAGTGAGACGCTTCTCAATGCCGTTTTCTCTTTTCAAAAGAGAGAAAAGGGGAGCTAATGACAAAAAGATAACCAAATTCTACTGAACTTTCACATTTATAGTCTCCATTATTATCTGATACCCTTTATGAACGCCGTGTACTTACAGACCTGACTCTCCTGCGATGATCCGCGCATCTAGCATTGAGAATAGTACACATATAAGCAAGCATAACGCATGTATTACCTCTTACTACTCAAATATATACAAACCCTAGCGAACTTTGGATATATTTGAGCCATGTCTTCTCGTGTTAGAAGTCGCTTCAGACTGTAAGAATAGTACCAAATCACTGCTTTCAACAAGCAGTTACTTCCTGACACTTTTGCTCAACTTTTTGGGGACCAAAAAAAACCTCACCAAAAATCCACCAAAAAGCATGAGGGGTACCTCATGGGTTTCATCAAAAATCAAACGATCGCGTTTTTGACCCCAAAAATGAAGGCTTCTACTATAGCATATATTGAATCAAAACGTTTTTTTCGACTCAAAGCAACTTTTGAAACTGTGTTTGTGAAATTTTGATATGCAAAATTTTGATATTTTGGCCTAAATTGTCATTTTATGTTTTCTAAATTTGCTCAACAAGTTTATTAAAAACATTTATCTTATTTGGTACCATTGGATGCGCCTTAAAAAGTACTCCAGGAAAGCTTAAGAGCGTATAGGATGATCATCGCATCGAATATAATTGAATACGAAAGATTAGTTTAATCGAGCCGAATTTGATCAGATTTTGACCAATCTAGAACAGAAAAACGTATATCGGAGATAGAAATATTTTGGCTGGCAGCATCAGTAACGTCATTCATCAAATAGAGGCTAATAAGAAGAGGATTGCGGATCAACATACAGTATAATCTAGCATCAGAATATCTAGGATTATTACTTTTTTTAACATAATTCGAACTTAATAGAATTGATTGGTGTTAATTGCTGATTCAAATAGGAACCCCAACGCGATGTACAAAATTGACACCGTATTCAGATTAGCTTTATTCAATCCTATTATTTGTGTGGACATTGAAGTTTGCGATCAGTAATGATGTTAATGAACAGATCAAATCATTTTGTAAGCTAACAATAGAATATGAGGTTTATTTATATAGATATGTATAGTAGATTAGAATTCACGATGAAGGTAGGAAAGGCTAGCAACTTTTCTCGCTGAGGAACCTTATTAAAGCCTCCTTCCCGCCCTGGTGCTTTTAATAGTAGTGATTTCCTTGCTGATAAGTTGTTTGAGGTTGGTAAGTTTGATGCTGCGCTTGATGATAGGATGGATAGTGTTGTGTAGTAGGCGATGAGATGGCATGCGTGTATTCATAGTCATCTTGTTTTGTGGGCGAGTTGAGATACGTTGTTTGTGCATCGTATGGTGAAGACGTAGCCATAGGCTTCTGATTTGTGCTTGCATTCAAATCATAGTCATACAAGTGGAATGTCTCTCTTTTGTAGCTCTCTGATTTATAGGTAAACAAGCTAATCACGAAGCACACCAAGGTGATTAGGATACATCCACTGCCAATACCGACCAGGTAGATAGCAGGCCCCCATTGATGAGATAGCCCCTCAACTCTCCTCTCCAGTGTAGCTAACCCTTTCCAAAATGTAACAATAACGAGAGCCAGGCCAGCTGCACCCGTGAAAAAAGCAAACAATGAGCTGAATGTGCCAATAAACGGTATGATATTATTCTTGCGCAATCTTCGAATCAATAATGCACCTGTAAATTTGCAAAAAGGTTAATATATTGGTAATTTATCATGATTTGAAACTCACAAACGACACTGAAAAATGCAAGGATCACTGCTGGCATGATGAGCACGATGCCTTTAAAGGTGGTTAACTGAGCTTCTTTGATTACATCTGAGTAGACAGTGACCATGGTGGCATTGGTGATATCAGCGCCACATACTTCTGCAAACTGCGTTGAGTCAAATGAATAGCCAGGTAGTTTCTTGGTGCAAGAGTGAGGTGTTTTGTTGTCCTCTTGATAGTATAAGCAGGAGCTATACACGCCATACCTTATGGATCTTCCATTGACTGCTTGATTTACTTTGACCAAATAAATATCTGGTAGAAATGTGCTATCAAATGTTGTTCCGAGATTGGCGATGAGCAGTAAAATGAATGAGCAGACGCTGAATATAAGCGCTATAAAGTGAAGAGCCATGGGTGTGATGTGTAAAAGCGGCAAAAAAGAAAAGGAAAGCAAAGAAGAAGAACAGCAGGAATTTGTATCATAAATTGCATTTCCAATGTCTTTGATCTATTTTGCATGTAGCTTTTTATTTTAGCTTGAGAAACTCTAATTTATTACTGTGCAACAGTTGTGTAGCCTCTTTATTGTTCTACACCTCATATCATGTGTATTTGTATTAATACATTGTACTTGATAATTCTAATCTAAAACGTATTATATGCGTATATTGATTGCATATAGTCTAATGCACCATTTTCAAGTATTCATAATATCTTGGCTAGGTTTTGACGAGGTATCCCAAGCAAATGAGAGTTTGTCCAAGTGGAGATAGATCAACGAGATGTGTATATTCGAGAATGTCTCAACTATCTACTATTTCTTTTGTAACATCTTGAAAAGGCCTAATAAATGCTCGCTTTTAAAAAGTAGGCGTCAAGACAGACATTTGTCCTTTCTTCTGAATTGGAACTTTCCGTTATAATACTGACCAATCGCTCAAATAGTGAAATCAAGGCATATTTAGCAAGTGCCACAACATGGTTGTGCTCAATCAACTCTACTTTTTTTTATACATCTCTACTAATATCAGATCTTTTAAAAGCCGTAAAGCCGTCAAAAGATAAGTTTATTTACTATATACAACATTACTTTGATGCCACTACAGTTCTTCTCTTTCGTGGTACACCTCTACCATGATTAGGCGTCCATGGGCCCAAACTATCATTTGCGTAAAAGTCCATAGGATACACGTCTTGCCATTCTGCCTTTCCTAATGCAATCGATGCTTCATACGGTGTTAGTAAAGGCTTAGGGAATGCGTAACCCCAATCAATAGATAATCTTGGACATGCAATTTGGATCCAAGCATCCACATCCTCAAACTGCTCCAATTTGCCCGGGAAAATCTCAGATAGTAACACATTGACAGATTCTTTGCCTTGCTCCTTGATGGCTTGCTCCAGATATTCCAAGATTTGTGGTTTGCCCTGACGACCCAATGTACCCAACACAAGACCGTACTTCTTGGCCTCTTTGGCTACAGAAATAGCATGCTTGCGAAGTGAATGCATCTCTAAATGGTCGTATCTCTCGCGAGTGAAGGTTTTGCCGTAAGGATTGTATTGGAAAGCGGGTAAATCAGGATTATGAATCATGATGGACTCCAAGTGGAAACGACCATCACCAATGCACACAATATAGTCCATGTCTGTGAGTTTGGGTGATGTGCAACCCAAAATTTCTCCTGGTGATAAGGGTTTGGATTGAGGAATGAATACTGTGAAATCCTCTTCCAAGGGTGCTTTGGATGCTTGTAATGCTGCTGCAAATTGAATAGTGCCTACCAGAACAAGTCGGCTTCCCTTTTCAAAATTCTTCTTGACTGTAGCAATGAAATGTTGTGTATCAATGCCAATATCCACAAACACATAGAGTGTTTCAATGGTGGTGATATCAACAGGCACGAGACAACTGTGGCCGTAGTGCACCAAGAAATCGCATCCTAATGCTCTGGCTGTGTAATCGTCAACGCAACATGCACCATAGGTAACATCGCCCATAATCAAAGTTTCCGCATCACAAAAACTAGACAGTTTGTTAAGTCTTATTGCATGTGTTGATTCTGCATCGTAGAACCTACATTTCGAGGATATCGGCAATCAAACAGGCAAACATCATCAAACCCTCTGGTAATTGAAGTGCGACTACATGGAATCATGTCAGAAAACATCCTGCCAATTGCTCTCACATCATATTACCTCGCTTGGCCTTGGCTTTTCTCACTCTCCAGACAGTTTTATGGATTTCAAAGTTGTAATTTGATGGCATCTAACATTTGCAGTGATTAATAATCAATGCATGATTTTCGACATATCTTGACATGCTTACAGTTTCCAGTGATTTGTTCAAGAGAGGGTCATTCAAGATTTCATCGGGCACTTGGTTAGCTACTCGGCTACTGCGGGCTCTTGGTGCCTCTGTTCATTCAAGATGAGGCGTTAGTAACGTATATGGGTACTGTAACGTCGAAAACTTTACTTGCAAATCCAACAGCACCGTCTTCAATGGCACCGCCAGCCTCATTGTTTGCATTTGATGCTGCCTTTTTGGCTTTTCCAACAAATCTCTTTCTAGGCTTCTTCACTTGATCAGAATCGACGATAGCTTCTTGTTTTTCCATGATGAAATGATACTTTAAAATGTGAAAAAACAAATATATCAAAATTGGATTGAGTATGACCCCTAAGCCACTGAAACTATGAGGACACATTTGCTCCGATGTGCATTGAATTTTTGATCTGTAACATGACCCTGAATCTTATGAGTGTATAGGTCTTACAGTAATTGGTATATAGATCAACTGTAGCAATATACTGATAATTCATTATATAGTTTTCAGTTGTACAAGTACTAAACTAAAGATGAACGTGCCTGTTTTTCAATTTCATCGATTTGAGCTAACGAGACTTTCATTTCGGTCATCATGGGTTGCTTCAATGCATTGTATCTTGTTTGCAAATCCTGGTAAGCCTTTTCTCTTTGCCAGGATCCGGGAGTTATCAATGATGCTCAACTGTTTTCCATTTTCGAACCGTGAAGCCGTGCGAATTCCTCCCAATTCTACAGAGAAAAAAGACAATACCAAACATTCAATATGTGGTATTCTCTGAGTTTATGCCTAAGCCTTCCTTGGCTAGAAATATAGCCTTCTTACTGTATAGCTTCAACACTATAGATTACATAGCAGCATACAAATTAACAGCCGTGTTGACACTTTGCGTACCATCGTGCCACATCAGCCCTAGGGCACCTCTTTCTATATGAAGTACCATGCACTTTTAAAGTCTCAAGACCCAAGGTAAATAACCATTCAAAATTCGCGCTCTGTTGGCATCGAATGCAACGTACACCTACACCCACAAGCTCTTCTCGAGTGCCGCTACTGATACTTCGAGCATTATTGAGTTGACCGTCGATCTGGCACACTGCGCAGGACACAAATACAAGGTCGTGTCTTTCTTCAACTTTTACAATATCTTAGATTACGCTCCTCGTGTCCCACAACTGGAGTTCAGTGGTAGACATATCAAATTCGGAGGCTTCAGACATCTCCCAGCTTTAAATGATCTGAAGACAACTCTTATAACGCGGATAATGATGATTCTGGTGAAAAGATTGAACTACTTGAAGTAAACGAGCTCAGAGACATCAATGAAAAGCTTAAAAGACAGAATATCACCTGCTTCCATGTCAAAAACAACGAAGCTGGCGACAAGTATTTCCTATGGAGACTAGAAAACAAGGTGGCCACATTCATCAGCAAGCAAAAGTTTGATTTGAGAATAGAGGGAGTAACTGTCACTCGCTATTGACCTGGGTAGAATCTGCGCAGAAATTCGATTTGCGAATAGCACACAAGCAAGCAACGGGCTGCTGCTGCTGCTGATTTAGAAAGAGCTCTTCAAGACTTGTAGATGATATACGACGCATTGAAACAATGTACATCGTCTGAATCGAGCATATCACCTGCTTAATTTGATACTATTGTCGCTCTAGCCCGCCCATCATTACCTTTAATTTCGGATCTTTATCAACTGTAAGAATAAATATTGGAAATGCGTATAATGACTCGCTTACTTTATGATACTCGCTTGATCTTTGAAAGTTTTGGTGTCATTGAAATATGAAACAGCTATGTTCTTATGTTTTGTTCTTCTTAATGCCTTTATTACTTATTTGAGTCAAGCAGGATTTTTATCTTAGCCTATTAATATTGTGAAATTCATCAATAAATTGCAGTACAGGATTCCTGGCTGCGCTCAGTAACTGAGAGTAGAAAAAACTGTATTGTAAATTTTATATGTATAAATAAAGGCATGTGGTTACAAATGATTTAGGATTTTATTTTATATATAAGTTGACAATTAGATGTATGATAATAATGATAATATGGGAAAAGAGATAATAAGAAGAAAGAAGGTGGGTTAAAAGGTGAGAGAGAGAGGGGGGGTATGTGAAAAAAAAACGGATTACTACTATACAAAAATGTTTATAAACCCATATCTCTCAGTTCATTAACAATATCCTCTTCTTCTAATGATTGCTGATGTCTCAAGAACGCCTTCTTTAGTTTGTCAGTGTATTCAGTTGCCTTGGCTACGTGCTGTAGTTTTTGGTTTTGAGCTCTATCTTGCCAGCGGCATGAGGATTCTTTAGAGATGCTGCTCTTTCGGAGGTGCTGTGCATACGCCGATGTATTCCTCTTTTGTTTGGTGCTTCTTTTGAAGCTATTGTGTTTTTCATCTTTTATCGTTTTGCGCAGTAGTTTATCTAATGTTTGCGCATGCTGTTCTAAATGATTAGAGTAAATGGTCGCTGTATTCGTAGCACTCGTAGGATCCAGATTGTGATTCTTGTTATTGACCATGCATGCTTCTAATGATGCGTTTAGTTTTTCAGAAAACAAGATGTCCAACATGGGCTTTGCTTGCGGCGAAGGTGGAGGTGCTTGAGGCTGTAACATTTTGAAATCAAAATCTTCGTCTTCTTCGCTTGAGAATTCTGACAAATGGCTTTCATTTGGCGAGATGTTGTTGATATTATTGAGATAGAGGTCATCCATAGCAAACGGCGAAGCATATCGAAGCACTTGGTTCTCATTTAAGAATAGTAAATCGTCGTTAGGATCAGCATCAAGAATCAAAGTGCTCATGATAAAATGGGAAATGTTGTAACAGCAAACAAAGAAGAAAAGAGAAACCTATGGTTTGAATCTATCCAAAAAGCCTAAAAAATTTTATGTTTACCAATCAACGATGCTCTATATTTGACTCGCAGCATTGGTTATTTGTGGTCTGTCGAGTTGTATGCCAGCATGATCCACACAGGAGGGGGGTTTTTTTTTTGAAATGCTTTGTCAAGCATGGCCTTCGTCCTATATCAGCCCATTCTATACAAATCCCAAAGGATTGTTGTCTGAAAGTGTATACTAATACTTGCATCAGTGCAAATTGGACTCTGATAAGCTATCTCCAATGTTTATTTTCAACAAATGTTGATGCAAGTTCTGCAACCCTTAATATTATAATGAATCTACTACTTTCGACATTGTAAACTTTAGGCTATAATATATTCAGTTCTATTCTTTAGATCAAATCCTCTTTCTATAGATCCGCAAACATCAGTTGCTTTCAAATAGCAATGGCACATATTTTGCCAGCCAGAACAAATTCAATCGCAGACTCACGTTTTCTGGTCAAGATTGGCCAAATTTTAATTATTCTCGACTTGATTGAACTATTTTGCCAGATTTGACTATACAAGCCGTACAAATTCTCGTACACTCTCTTAAGCTTCCTTGGAGTATTTTTCAAGGCGCTCCCAATGGTACCAAGTAAAACGGGTGTTATGAATAAACTTATTGAGCACTGTTTAAAAATATGAAATGAGGTTTTTGGCGAAAATATCGAGATTTTGCATAGCAAGGTCTCGTGAATAAAGTTTTAAGAGTTGCTTTGGATCGAGAGAAGCATTTTGAATCAATATATGCCATAGTAAAAATCTTCATTTTGAAGGTCAAAAACGCGATTGTTTAATTTTCGATGAAAACCATGAGGTACCCCTCATGGTTTGGGGTCAATTTTCAACGAGCCCAAAAAAGTTGCTCAAAGGTGTCAGTAAGTAAGCGCTAGGTGAGAGCAACTGTTTAGTGCTACTCTGGCGGTCTAAAACTTCTAACGCGAGAGAACACGGCCAAAATACATCTATTTTACGGTGTGTTTGAGCAGTCAGAGGTATTGCAAGTACGCTGCTTCGCCGTATATGAGCTGCTCCCACTTCTAAAGGCATGGATTATTGCAGGAGGGCTTGATTCATATCTACAAACGTTAATGCAGGCTTCTCATACGACGATGCACAATTTAGAAGTGAAATTCTAATACACATTAGTAGGACGAACTAGCTTTATTTATTGCACGCTGAATGATGTTCATAATTTACCAGGATTACAACTCATATACGAATAAATATCGGCGTATCTGTTGAAGGAGTCCATAAGAACCAGTAGACCAAAGTAGCGGTAAAGCGTAAGCAGAGATAAACGCAGAAACAGAAGTAGAGGAAGCCCCTAGGGGACTTCTTAAAGGATGGCCACAGATATCTGACAGTATACTAATAGCAGCTGCATATGCATGGGACAAGGCAGTGATTATGGGGCCGTTGATGTAACCGGTTGGGTTCACGGCCATCGTTGTGCCTGAAATCTCTTACTAAAAGTTCCTTAAATAGCTATCTATCTTCCTTGTTATGAATAGGGAAGACAACATAGCATTTTTTTGGAATTTCTCAAGCAAGGCATACGATGTATTGTATAGTCAGCACACATAAATCAGAGAAGATAATATCAAATATGTGAATCAAGAGATTTGAGACGAAATCATTATATATACTGTAAATCATTCCTTTTTTTTTTTGGCTGGCAGTTTGGATAGCCTTTTTTTTTTGGCTGGCAGTTTGGATAGCCTTTTTTTTTTGGCTGGCAGTTTGGATAGCCTTTCAAAAATTTAAAGAATTGAGCACCATACAAGACGGATAACGCGTCTAATTCAACACATGATAGCATTGATCTATAGAGGGTTTTTACTGTAGCGAAGCAAAGGTGCAAACCTGTGACAACTAAGCATCCAATCCAGCATTTGATAGTATTGATCTATATGAGGGCTTGATTGTAGCGAAGCGAATATGCAAAACCATAGTATCTAAGCAGCAAATTCGGGTTTTTGTTTCCATTGTTAATAAGCTTACCAGCAACATAGCGCATCGAAATTTGCATGAATCAGCTTTACCTAAAATGCGATTTATGCCGTGTAAATACACTCTGTAAAACAGTACATAACCAAATTTGACAGCTTTCAAGCCTTCGTATCTTGACATGTAGGACTTCCTGAGCCACCGGAATAACGCCAAACAATTTTACTCGAGTAGTAATACCTTCCTGACACCTTTGCTCAACTTTTTGGGCCAAAAAAAAACATGGCCAAAAATTGACCAAAAAGCATGAGAAGTACCTCATGGTGTTCACCAAAATTTAAACGATCGCATTTCTCACCTTGAAAACGAAGTGTTTTACTATGGTATATATTAAATCAAAATGTTTCTGTCGATCCAAAGCAACCTGTGAAACCACTTTTATGAGGTTTTCATATGCAAAATATGGCTATTTACGCTAAAAACCTCATTTCATATTTTACTGGATTACTCGTTAATTTCATTCAAAACATCTATTACAACTAGCACCATTGGAAGCACCTTGAAAAGTACTTCAAGAATGTATTAGGAAGCGTAGGGTGATCATCACAATTTATATCGTCGAACTTCACAAAGTAGATTAAAGAAGTCGAAAAAAGACATGACCTGCCCAATCTTGAATAGAGAAAACTAAACTGAGTTTGAATGGATTTTGGTGGTGGTTACAGCATTGCTGCCTTTCTGTTGATGACAATGATGATTGCGATACTGATTAAATGGGGATCATGGAATTGAAAGAACAATTGCTTAGCGCAAATACTTTTTTTCGGGAAGCTTCGTCCCATGAAGATGTCTTTTGCAATGACAATATCTCAAAAAAAAAGTCGCTGTAGGCCTTATACAAGTCCTGTATTTATTTATGACCAGCTTTCTGTCGCCATCTTATTAAGAGCATCAGCAGCAGTGAAAGGTAGGGCAATTCTACTATCAAAAAATGGAGGTTGTGGTTTACAAATGCTGCATAAAACTTGAATTTTCTTTCACAGCATCTTAATAATAGGCTTCGTTTGATATCAGTGTAAATAAACAGGGTGCTGGGGGGGGATATACCTCCTCTCCTCCTCCTGGTGGCTCTGATATAACCTTTCTTTTACTAATAGTTGATTGTTTAAAATCTGCTTGATATGCCAAAAGTTTATTATATCTGATTTAAAATGTCCTTGGCGAGAGCTCACAGAGCGACACCGACATCGAGCGTAGCGATATTGATCGCCTAGTTTTTTGATATCAAATACAATCACTAATACCTTTGTAAGTAGCCTGGAAGCGGAACAATACGGGCTAGTAAGAGGAGATGCCTAACAATGTCGACATCCAAACAAGACATTGATATCAGAAAGTGATGGGAAGAATAGCTTGAGATGGATAGGCTTTGCGTGTAAGATGGGATTGATTTACGTTGTAGGTTTTGCTGGAAGTGCTGTTAGGAGCTTTTAGTCAATCACCAAATGGATGCTCTCGGCCCTTGTGCTACAAGCATAAGCATTTAGCCAATGCCCCATCTTTAAGGCCACATAAGAGTAAGCCAAGCTGTTTCTTGGCTCTTTGATTCACGCACGAGATGAAACATTGACATTTCACGCATGGACGCATATAAACAGCCCGAGACAAATGTGCATTCCTGAATGAAAGTGGTTGCAGTCACTGTCATTTAAGTTTGTCCAACAGTACCACGATCAAATCATTCAAGCTCTCTTTTTTCCTCGCACTCTCTCTATCTCTCAATTTTATACAACATGTCTCATTCATATGATATGGATACGAAACCCTCTGCCCAGGAAGCACTCAAGCGATTATCATCCGGATTCAGTCTGTCTGAAAGTGCAAATCATGTCATGACACCTAAAGACGACAAATCACTCAAGATAGCCACTTTTTCTCTACAAGGTTATCTCAAGGTATGTAAAGAAGCCTTCATCAAATCATAGCATGCCATTTACAATTCAGATGGCTTGCAGGAAAAAGACTTTGCTACTGAATTCTTGGAGAGAGGGGGACTGGATTCATTATGCGATATCGTCAACACCTCCAGCGGCAACACACTAGCTTATGCGCTCAACTCATTTTTATCGCTGATGGAACACAACACTGGCTGGGAATCACTCGACGATGATTTTATTGTCCATATTGCACACATTGTGGTAACAGAGCAGCTGGCTACTATTGCTCGGCCGGCAATCGCTATTTTACTCAAGTTGGTATGTGCCAATGAATCCAGCACATCGGTCATTACATGCTACGGCTATCCTACGCTGCATAAAGCGATTGAGAAGGAACCTGAATTGATCAAAACATTAGTGGATCGATTACTCAGCCCAGAATATTTACTGTCCATCACAAGCATGTCGTTGCTGACAGCCATGCTAAAATATGTAACAGATGAATACCGTAGTGTGCTTTCCAGTGCGTATGATCGTTCGAATCTAAAAAAGAGTGTCTTGGTATGTTGTCTAGATACAACGTGGAATAAATACTGATCTCCCTAATAGAAATTGATGAAAAACCACCCTTCAGCAGAACTCAAACTCATGATCCTCGAATACCAAACCGTCTTTATACAAAATATCAACATGCGACATGGCACTGCCGTTTCCATGCACAATCCTAGACATTTAAACATGCTCAACGATATATGGGAAGCTGCCAAAGTCGACCAAATCGATATACCCGGTGCCAAAAAATGGAAAAAGATTGGATTCACCACAGAAGTGCCTCAGCGTGAGTTTGGGAGAACAGGTGTATTTGGCCTCGAAGAAATGCATCTATTTGTATTGAACAACCAAGATTTGTTTGCAAAGTTGATTCTAGAACAAATTCATCGTCCAGAGGGAAAGCGATGTCCATTTGCGAAGGCAAGCATTGAAGTGACAGATTTACTATGCAGTCATTGGAACATCACATCCACGAGTGAGTACAACAGTGCTAATCAGGAGGAATTTATACTCAACCAGATTCACATAGATACTATAGCAGAATTCCAACCTCTGATACTAAGTTTCAACCATGTCCATTCAACCACATTGCAGACCTATTTCAGAATATTTCACGACATGGAAGCGACAACATATGATCTTTCCAAGGTGTCGGCACTTGTACGCAGTCAATTGAGATCTGCGTTTGCATCTACAAAAGATATCCAAGAATTTGATAGAAACATGTTTGGCACACCATATCAACAGATCCGAGATCGACGACTAAAAGAGCTTGAATGGGCGGATGATCTATCTGGAAGAGATGCCATCACGTAAGTGTGATTAGAATACATTGGTAAGACATGCCTTAACTAATGAACTCCTTCAGTAATTTGAGAACGAGGCTTTCGAAACAATCGTATGAATTTCTCAAGAAACAGAGAATCAGCTGCCTGTTAGAAGGCGCCTGGTTTCCATGTCCCCTGTCAAATCAACGCATGTCTGTCATTGCCAGTAATTCAAATAACAACGGTACCTTATTATCGCATCCTGCCACCAACACCGGCGCGGGCTCTCCACTTGGTATTACCAACACAACCATGAGTAATAGTGCAGCGGCAGGCAAACGTTGGCGTTACTATAAACTAAGTCGATCCAAGCGGTCCATCATGTATGGCGATTTCTCTGAAAAGATTGCACCTGTGCTCAAATCATATGAAAAGCTTCCCAACCGCATTGATCTGGGCTCAGTAACGGAAATAAGAGCAATTCGCAACCCATCGATTGCTGGACTCGTCAACAACTCATCACAGATATTCAACAACAACAACTCGTCCATACTATCATCTTCGTCAGCCATCCACGATGGAAACGCAACTCATCATTTACTATCCCCAGGACAACAAGGACAACAGCAACAGCAGAACAACCTAGCATTTGCCTTGTATTCTGACAAATACACGGCGGTAGCAGAGTTTTATTGCGCCACACCAACACAAGCAGCAGAGTGGAAAGATGGGTTTAGTATGATACTGGACAAGCGATTCACGTCCAAGGAAACGGCAGAACTATTCCATACATTGACAGAGGTTGGTGTCAAGGTGAAGCTGCTGCAAATCGCGGGTGATCGCGTGGAGATTCCGCATGGTGTGGTGGATGTACCACCTGTTCCGCCTGGCTTAGGCTCAGGGTTCTTTTATGATACAATTGATACTTGATCCTGAATATATACATATATACTGAAAAATGCAGCTTCATCTAATAAAACTATGATAAGCAATCTAATAAAATCTTATTGAGAAAACTAAGCATTAGATAAAAATACATGAACCAGGGCTGGCCACTCCACTACGATTTAACGCTAGGAATACCATCATGATCATGTAGGAAGCCAATCAAATGTGCAAAATTCTTCGAATTAATCGAGTAGTAATCATGCAAAATAGACTGAATCAACTCGTTTGACATGATGTGCATTTGATTCCTCAAAGTTTGATTGATTTACATTATTGCTTGAAAGGAGTAGGAGCCATCTGAGTGATTCAGACATTATTTACTCAAAAAAAACTAGTACAATACGAATACAAAGCGTTTCAGAGGCTTTTCGAATGAATAATGTACTCTGTTGTCTTTAAGAATCTGACCCTTTTACGGTCTTCTTCATTTGAACAATGCAAACAATCCAGCTACGGGCAGTCATTATAGAATGCGTTTATTTACATGTTGTTGCATCTATTATCTTAAATCTCAAACACTTCAGCACTACAACTATCACATCGAGGAACATCTAAAAATGCAGAGAATTTAGGCTTTTCTAATGGAGGCAGTTTTCCTACGGCAGGGATATGCTTCCTAGGCACAGCAGCATCCTCTTCTGCTTCTGCTTCCGCTTCATCATCTGTATTGGACCACTCAAATCCATTTTCACTGACAGGACTATGACCATTCATCATCAACTTGACTTGAGCAGCATCTAGTGCAGCACGACCCAAATACAAATCACCCTCATGATGTTCCTTCATCTCTTCATACTGTCTCCACATCTTTTCCAAGTGTTGTTCATATTCATTCCTCAACCGCTGTACTGTCATTTCCAGTTCCTTCTTTTCACGTTCAATTGTGGATTTGTCCTTTTCAAGCTTGGATTCCGAGTCAAATTGTCGTTCGCGTTGTGTAGAAATTTCCTGTCGCAAAGTGTTGAATGCTTCAAATTGTCTTTCTAAGCGACTCTTGAGTTCAGCTGTTTCGGGTGTGTCGGCTACTTGAGCTTCCAATGCACGCACGCGTTCACGAAGTTCCTTGATTTTGAGCTCGCTTTCAGATGGTGTCAGTTGCTTGTCTTGGTTATCCTCGGTTGCCTCACGCTTGCTCTTCTCCAAAGCTGCTTCCAATTCAGATACCTTTCGTTCTCTGGTCTCTAAATCCTCCTTCAAGCGATGAAATTCCTTTTCAACAGCCAGTAATCCATTGACCTGTTGATGCAATTGTTCTACCTTCTTGTCGCGTGTTTGTAATTGTCGCTTGAGCTCATTGACTTGAATTTCGGCTTTACGTTCATTGGAAGACTTTGGGTTGGCAGTATCGATCTCTCGTGTTGCTAGATTGGCATCGCTTTCCACCTTTTTGCGGTATTCCTCGAGTTCATTCTCCTTAGCCTTCAACACAGACTCAGTCTTTTTGAGTTGAACATTGCTTTGGTTCTTCACCAGCTTTAGTTGGCCACGAAGCTTCTTTGTCTCCTTTTCACGCTCTGCGAGCTCTGTTTCGAGTGATTCCAATCTCGTTTGTAATTCAGTACTGTCGTTATTGGTAGAGACTTTCTTCAAGTCTTCTTTTTGAGCTTCCTCCAGTGCCCTGGACTTAGCTTCTAATAATGATTCGAGTTCATCAATGCGAAGCTGTAACTTGATGGCATTATCCGCTTTGCTAGCACTATCAGATTCATGACGCTGCTTGGTTTCTGCCATTTCCTTGGAGATTTTGTTGACTTGCGACTTGTAGTCCTCCAACAACTTGTTGAGATCTGCCATCTCTCGCGCTTGGTTTTCGACCAAGACTGTGCTTCTCTTGTTGGCTTCCTCTAACAATGCTCGCTCTTGATCATACTTGGTAGTGGCTTCATGGAGCAGTTTTTCGGTTTCTAAAAGCTTGCTCTTGAGTTGACCCTGTTCCTTTAGCTGCTCTTGTAATGCTCCTTGATCAGCTTCCACCTTCTTTTTCGCGCTTGCTTCCTGTTGAATCTGCTTTTGGTAGTCTTCAATTTGCAATTTTTGTTGATCTGCCTGTTCCTGTACTTCAGACAATTGGCCTTGTAATAACTCCAAGTCCTTGATCTGTTCCTCTAGACGTGTAGATTCAGATCGCAGGCTCTCATACGAGGTGCTTTGTTCCTTGAGCTTCTCATTCAATGCCTCCAATTGTTCACGTAGCTGGTTGGCTTCGTTTTGTTCATTCCTGAGCTTGTCGTCGGATTGTGCTTGAAGCGCGGCGAGATCTTCTGCATGACGTTCTTGCTGTTGCTTGAACTGGTCAAATTTGCCAGCGTTGGTTGCAATTTGCTCTTCACGCTCTTGTAGATCATTCTTGACTTGAGTCAACTCATCTGCCATGGACGCGATCTTGGTCTCTAGATCTTTCTTTTCGCGTGTCATGCTTGCGATCGTTGCGTTCACTTGATTCAGCTCGGCTTCTTTTTCAATTAATTGTTGCTTGGCAGCCTTGGATTCTTCAATTTCACGCTTCAGAATAGGAACAACCTTTTCAAATTCGGTTACCTCCTTTTCACGAGTAGCAAGCTTATCTGTGATCTCTTTGAGTTGTTGATCTTTGCTGCTGAGGTCCTTTTGGAGGTTGTCAAGGCTCTGCTGTGATTTCTCAAGCTCAGCTGCCTTAGATTTCAGTGCTCTGGTATGTGCGTTTTCCTTTTCCTTCAATTGCTTCTTGATGTCAGCCAATTCCTCCTCCAATTGCTCCGATCTTCCACGATGAGAAGCTGATTCTGCAGTTGCATTTTCCAAAGCCATAGATTTCTCTTGCACTTCATTGGCATGTTGCGTCGTTAGCAATTCAAGCTCTGAAATCTGAAGCTGATACTGATCGGCGTTGGCTCGTTCTAGTTGAAGCTCCTCCTTGATGCTGGCCATCTTGTCATTCAGCTCGGTGACATGAGCGGCGTGTGTTTCAATGTCCTTTTGCTTCATCATGTCCAGGTTCTCGAGCTTGCTCTGCAATTCGTCTGCTTTAGAACGTTCTGTTTGCAAATGTGCCTTGATGGCGGATAGTTCATCTTGCATAGTGAATGTCGCGCTTTGGTGCTCTTCCAGTTGTTGTTGCTTGAGTGCTTCCAACTCTTCAATGCGAAGCTGAAGCTCATCTGCCTTGGTTCGTTCAGATTCTAGCTCTGTTTTGACAGCAGACATGCTTTCCTCGAGCTTAGCTGTCGATGCCTCAAACTCCTCCATGTCTCGCTGCTTCAACATGTTCAAATCCTCGAGTTTACCTTGCAACTTGTCTGCCTTATCACGTTCTTCTTTTAGTTGAGATTTCAGCGTAGATAGTTCCTCTTGAAGACTCGATTGTTCAGTGATGTGTGTCTCTTTGAGTTTCTCAAGATCCGCTACTTGATTTTGTAATGCCACAGCCTTGTTGCGTTCATCCTCAATTGCCTTTTCAATCTCGTCAGATGTCGATTGCAAATCCTTGAGTTTCGCTTGTTCTGCTTCCAGGCTGGTCTGCAATTCCTCCTTGGACATTTGTAAAGCTTGGATATTTTCCTTGAGCTTAACCTTTTCGTCTTGCTCTTTGGTGATGGAACCTCTCAGTGTTTTGATGGTGCTCTTCTTTTCTATCAGCAGATTTTCAGCCTTCTTTAACTTGCCTTCCAATTCAGCAAATTTGCCTTGCTCTGACGCAAGTGTCGATTTGTGCTCTTCGAGCTCCTGCTCAAGTTTGGCCTTTTCATCCTGCACTTTGCTTGATTTGGCATGTTCAGCGTCTAATTGAGCCTTCAATTCCTCTAGTTGTGTCGCAGTCTCTGTTTGCAAGGTGGTCGCTGCCTTCAACTGTTGCTCTAATTCCTTGACTTTGCTGCGTTCCGTCTTGAGAGATTCCTTCACCTTGGACAGCGAAGATGCATGCTTTTCAATTTCCTTATCTTTTAATGCTGTAAGGTCCTTTAGTTGATTCTCCAGATCTTGAGATGTTGCACGCTCTGATGTCAGTTCCTCTTTGACAGAAGACAGGTCCTCCTTTAACGTAGACAATTCTGCCTCCAAGTCCTTTTTCGCCTTGCTCAATGTGTCCAATTCAGACGTCAATGATTTCAGCTTCTGATCTTGCATGGCAACGGATTGCTCTGATTCAACCAACTTGTCCTTGATCTTGGACAATTCAGCAGTATCCTTCTCCTTTTCAGCCTGTAAGCTTTCAATGTGTACTTGTAGTTTACTAGCTTTGGATTGCTCAGAGTCGATCTCTTGCTTGGCTGATGCAAGTTGAGTCTCCAATTCAACCTTGGTGGATGTCAGTTGCTCAATTTCAGATGCTTTGGCAAGGAGTATTTGCTCTGATTCCGTGCGCTCAGATGCCAGCAGTTTTTCTTGTTCAAACAGCTTTTCTTCGAGAGTACGAGAATTGGCAGCAAATGACTCTGCTTCATTCTTTTTGGATGCTTCAAGATCTTCGAGTTTGGCTTGCAATTCGTTGGCTTTGGTGCGTTCATCCACTAGTTGCTGCTTGGTGTCTGATAGCTCACTTTCAGTGGTTGTACTGTTCGATTTGTGTTGATCAAATTCTAATTGAAGTGCATCTGCCTTTGCGCGGTGTTCTTGGAGTTCCTGCTTTGTCGTCTCTAGTGTCTGCTCAAGTGTGCTTACAAAGGATGCATGTTCAGCCGTCTTTTCTGATTTCCAAGAGTTTAGTTCGTCCAAACTCTTTTGCAATTCACTTGATTTGGATTGCGAAGCGCTCAAGTCAATTTCGAGACGAGTTGCTGTTTGCTTGTGCTCATCAAGCTGCTTCTTCAATATATCCAATTCAGCCAGTTGTGCTTGTAAATCATCGGCTTTGGTGCATTCAGCTTGAAGTTCTTGTTTGAGAGTGCTCATCTCGGCCTCTAGTTTTTTGATGTTGTCAGTATGGCTATCAGCATCCTTTTGTTTCATAATGTCGAGGTTTTCAAGCTTGCTCTGTAATTCATCTGTCTTTGCGCGTTCATTCTGCAATTCTTGTTTTGTATTTGACAGTTTCTCTTCAATGTTGGCAGCGGACATTTTGTGCTCACTCAATTTCTCCTTGAGCACATCCATGTCATGCACCTTGGATTGCAATTCATCAGCCCTTGAGCGTGCAGCCTCCAGTTCAGCCTTGATTTCAGCTATTTCAGCTTCTAATTTAGCAGTGGACGATGTGTATAACTCAGTATCCTTTTTCTTGAGGTCATCCAGCTCTTGTAATTTGGCTTGGTACGCATCTGCCTTTGAGCGTTCTGATTGTAACTGCTTTTGGACCAATGACAGTTCCTTTTCGATATCCGTGTATTTCTTCTTTCCTTCCTTTTCAGTCTTCTCCAAAGATGCCAGCTTGGATGTCAATTCTTTCAATGCAGCATGTTCCTTGGCCAACTCGCTTTGAGAGGCGGACAACTCCTTCTGTGCCGAATCTTGCAGTTTGTCAAGTCTGGATTGGAGCTCATTGGCAGCATCTCGTTCAGCCTGTACTTCTTTAGCTTTGGATGTCTCGAGTGCCTCCAATTTAGATTGTAATTCAGTTGCTTTGGTGCGCTCTGCCTGGATCTCGCTCTGAACAGATGCAGTGGAGGCTTCCTCAGCCGTTTTGAAATCCACCAATTGAGCCTTGAGGCCATCTTTCTCTTTGGAAATGGCATCAATGGTCGATTGCAGCTCTTGGATAGCGGATTGTGATGTTTGCTCCAGTTTTGCTAATTGGAATTGATACTCTTCTGCCTTTGCTCGCTCTTCACTATGCAGTTTTTCCAGAGATTTTGCCTTTTCGTTCGCTTCATCCTGCTGCTTTTTCAGAGCATCCTGTTTTTCCTGTCTCAGCTGATCCACCTGAGATTGCAAATCATCCACTTTAGACTGTAAGCGCTGTTTGATGGAATTCATCTCACTTTGATGATCACTGCCCAGCTTCTCCTTGGATTGAGTCAGGTCGGATAGTTTGCTGTTCAGTTCCTTCACCTTCTGCCTCTCGTCATCGAGCTCCTTTTTACTGAATGTCTTGATAGAGTTCATCTCGGTTTGACTGGATTCAAGCTCCTTTCTCAAGGCGGCTAATGTTTGTTCAAGGTCGGCTGCTTTCATGCGATACTCTTCTTTTAATGCAGATTGTGTAGTTGCACTGGCCAATTCCTATGCACGATGTCGCTGTCAGCATACTGAATGGCGCTTCTCACTTGCCTACGTCTTACCATTGCTTCTTTTTCTGATTTCAGCTTGTTAATCTGTGCTTGCAAATCATTGGCATCTGTGTTGTGAATCGTCGTTGTTGTGGAGGCTGTCTCTGCATTATCAGCTGTAGCAGATGTCGTATCATCTTCGTCCTTGTTGGAATCGTTGGCTAATGGAGGTGTGCTAACAGCATAGTCCTCTGTGGTGGCTGTACTGGTAGATGGTACCTCTATTTCGCTTTGCTCCTCCTTTTTGCTTTGGAACTTCTTGAGCTATTGAAACACGTCAAATGGAAGGCAGTGGAATGAGTTACCCAGCAATGTATCAATCAAGTTCTTTATACCTACTCTTTTCTTGGCAGCAGCAAGCTTTGCTTTTCTGGCTTGATCCTCTGCTGAAGAAGACATGTTGTGATATTAACAAGTAGAAAAGAGAAACAAAAAGGTTGTAGGAAATGTGTTGGGTTTATAAATTACCATTTCTGACACCACTGTTGTGGTGGTTCAAGTTCAGCATAGTAAATGATGCGACATGCATTACTCAGGGATTTTACGTTGGTAGAGGGCAAGCCTACTTCCACAGACGACTAGTGCTGCTGAGCATTGACTATAAGAGAGATGTTGTTTATTGGGCTGGTTTAACTGTAGTGACACTGCTGTAGTGCTAGACAAAAAACATCAGGAGATCTATTTGGCATTGCGAGACATAGGACATGGCTCATATCAATGTTGCAATTCAACTTGCAAACACTCTTCTACGCTGAAGAGTAATTGCATTGCTAATTCACTTGATCACCAATAAGAACCTTTTTAATCGAATCAAACAACCTATACGGCGTAAATGCTGCCCAGTAATCTTGTATAAAACGGCATGATGGATTTGTCGTACATATTCGTCCATCAAACCCAATGTTCACTTTTAACTAGAGCCAATACGAATAGTGCAACCTCTAGCTGCCTTCTGCCACTGTAATTTGACTCATACATGCCCTCTCTTTTTCTCGGATGAGTGTTCAACCATATCCGAACCCTGTCAGTTTGCAACACTTGAAGCCCAGCCCTGGCCTTGTTACACACATTGTGCTATAAAATCAGTAGGAAATCGTAGAAATCTCTTTTTCATTTGCACCAAAAGGTCCCTTCTTTTACCTCACCCCCACTCTTTTTTTTTTCGCTTCTCTACTTTTGAGTCTTGCACTAAACGCATTTTGCAGCCACAGCAAGTAGAACATTTTGATCCAACACATCCCATCTTTTTTCATCACCGCAGCTTAATTATGTTACGAACAGCAATTTCAAGATCTTTCCATCATTTTGGCTGTAAGGTACTGACACCTGCTGCTCGTTTGGCAGGTGTGCCATCTAGAGCACTATCCACCAGATCATTATTGCAACAGAACCATCTTCAAATACCCAAGAAATCTCTTTATTTATCCAATGTTCATCAGCGATTCATGACGACAGCTGTCAAACCTGCTGCTACTACTGCTGCTACTACTGCTGCCACCAAAGTAACAAAGCCTGCTGTTGCTTATTGGCTCTATTTCAATGCTGGTATGGTGTTTGCTATTGTTGTCGTTGGTGGATTAACCAGATTGACTGAAAGTGGATTGTCAATTACCGAGTGGAACGTTATTTCTGGTATGAAGCCACCCAGATCAGAACTGGAATGGGAGGAGGAATTTGAGAAATACAAGCAGTTTCCAGAGTATAAAATGTAAGTCGATATTGTGGGTGTTTAGATGGACAGTACATCTCATCATGTTGTAGCTTGAATCGACACATGACATTGGAAGAGTTTAAAAACATCTTTTACTGGGAATGGTCTCATCGTATGATCGGTCGATTCATCGGTGCCTCCTTCATTCTGCCGGGCCTCTATTTCGCCTCCAAGGGACACATGTCAAAGAGAGTTGCCAAGCAGACATTCGGTATCACTTGTTTACTCGGTTTCCAAGGCTTCATGGGATGGTATATGGTGAAATCAGGTCTCTCTGAAGCATTGATGAAGGAGCCTGGAGCTGTTCCTCGTGTCAGTCAATACCGTCTGACAGCACATTTAGCCACTGCTATCGCTATATATGCTAGCACTATCTTTGTGGCTGCCGATATCGTGCGTCAAAACAAGATTGTCAATGGAAAGTATCCCGCCAACACAGCCTCCATGTTGAATAACCCCATTCTGAAGCGATTCCGCATTGCTACGCATAGTTTGGGTGCTTTGATGATGATCACTGTGATGTCGGGTGGTTTGGTGGCTGGTTTAGACGCTGGTTTGATCTATAATGAATTCCCATTCATGGGTGAAGGTATCGTACCTCCTACTGACGAGCTATGGTCTGATCGCTATGTCAAGCCCACTGACAATGGTAAATGGCGCAACTTGTTGGAAAACCCTACTACTGTGCAATTTGATCATCGTACGCTTGCTGAGACTACTGCCACACTCACTACTGCCCTGTGGTTGTACTCGAGAAGATTGCCCTTACCCAAGAATGTCAAGATGGCAGTGAATACCATGATGGGTGCTGTTGTTGTGCAAGTGACCTTGGGTATCTCTACTCTGATTTACATGGTTCCTATTGAGTTGGCTGCTGCTCATCAAGCAGGTGCTCTTGCATTATTAACTTCTAATTTCTGGTTGATTCACGCTTTGCGTCGTGTTCCTCTCTGATTGATTAATTAATTTTAATAAATGAGAAAACAACCTAGAGTCCATCTTGGGGTACACGGTTTCATTTTGTCATTGAATAACTGGGATGTTCGGTTAACATCAATGATAGACGGGCGTTACCGGTGGATCAAGTAAGCCCTTGAATATTTTTGCTCAACTACAGAAAATATCTGTGCTGCTCTAGTATGAAAATAACCGAAGTGTTATAATGTGAGAATAGTCAGAGTATTCTGACGCAAGACGAGCCAAAGTAATCTAATGTGAGAATAGTCGAAGTGTTCTGGTGATGGAGAACAACTACAATATCATAATAAATCTTTAGTCCCTAGACACTTAACAGCCCTCATATCGAAACTGAGTTGCCAGGCATTCGTCAGGCATGGCTCATATATGATGGTTAGAGATTTTATATTAAACCACCATCAATCAACAATCAGAGTTCTTCTAACATTTTAGCTATATTAATTTTGCGATATTAGCCAAAGGTCCACGGCAGCGCGAGCCGTTTGAACGTAGATTGGTTTCCACCGAAGCGAAGCGTAGCTCAGGAAAGCACCCGAAGTGTTGAAAGGCTCGTATAATATAATAATTGCACTACTACTACATAGAAACATGATGATATTACATTACGGGCAATAACAACAAAGCGAAGCCTAATCAGAAGAAGCAGAGAGATCAGAATTCCTTACGACCTGCGCACTCTTTTCTTGTTGGGTCCCTAATACACAAATATAAGTAGCTCCATCTATAAGAGCAATGCCTTGCGCATTCCTTTCTGTTTCTACAATTTAAGAGATAGAAAGAATATCAGAATAAATGACTAGTTTTAGGTGATGATGGGAGACTTACTGTCTTTGCAAATCTTGCGTTTCTAGTGATGAAGATCTTCTATAATATCACGATTAGTACCAAAGAATACTTTTTTCTATGCAGCATTTACTTTTGTGATCCAATATTTTGACAAACATGAAAATTAATGTTGTCTACAATCGAATTTTCGTCATCGTCGTCAGAATCTTCTTCGGATTGTGTTTGGGATCCCTCTGAAAATACCAGATCATCATCGAATTGGGTCTCCTGAATGGTGGTGTCATTGCTTGACCTGGCATTGTATTTGTAATCAATGATGCCAGACAATAACTTGGAGACAGCAAACTGTGGCAACCAATCTTTGAAGAACCCAGAAACATTAACGCCCTTTTTGGCGACATTGTTGATGAGGGTCTTGAACAACAAGGCTTGAAACCTGTCGTCCAGCTTGCTGAAAGTGACATTTGGGAACTGTCTGTCAGCTTTCTTTGCCTAGCTGTATGCTACATCTTTGACAAGTTCCCAAAATTTCTTGCCATCAAGGCGTTCCCCATCTAAACAATGCCCCTCAAGAACGCTGATTCATAGCTCAACAGAAAGCTTCTCCAGACGTTTGTTGTCTGCTTTGCTTGGATGGCATATCATTCCAATCTTTGTGAGAATAATTGCCGTCCCTGATTCATTTTTGAATAATTGATTAGTGTAAAATGTAAGATAAAGCAGTGCTAAGTTCAGATGGCTGTATCAATTGCGATAAATGCGTAATAATATATGAAAAACAGAGAAAAACTGCTCTAGTAATGTTTCCAATAATAAAAGCACCCTCTATCACAGGCATTGATGTTTCAATCATGCAGATTAAAACGCATGCAATGTGAACTATTAGATTTCACTACAGGTATTTACATGGCTATTCAATACCAATCAAAGTTATTTGGAAAATATCATGCTAGACATTGCATATAACAGGTATGAAAAAAGAGGTACAATTGCATTTGACAGCGATTCTACAGATACTGCTATCACCTCGAAGTCATCAAATATGGACGACATCGAGCTGTCACCGTCTATTACTTCCATGTTATGCAAATATTACGGTACACCTCACGTCAATCCGCAGATCAAGTGCGCTACATCACTACAGCATCACTATCGACTCTACTTTCAATCCACCAAGTAGAAAGAAGAAACTGTCAAATCATGCCCTGGCCAATTGTGCTCGCCACAGCTCACTACCATTGTTGGTAAAGGTGCTGCTCATCTTTCAGCATAACTTCTCTGATGCAGATGAAACTCCATTCATAATAATAATATCTAGTTAATTTTGTTTCCTTTCTCTTGCTCCGTAATATATCTTCTTCTTTCTTTCTTCCTATCCTACTATGACATTTCAGAGAACTCTAAATAAATAATGGAGCACGACTCCCTTACAAAAAAGAATTTCAAGCAGTTGACAAATAAGAAGTAAAAATGGCGTGGCGATGACTACTCGCTTTTCTGATGAAGATTGTTTCGCGAATATCTAAATTTTTCTAAATTTCTCCAAGCTTCGTGTACTATTTTTCATTTGCATGAATTTATCTGAACATTTCCAAGGGAAATCGGGCAAATTCAGGGTTATTAAGACATTTTCAGGGTATTTCAGAAAAAATTAGCCAAATTCAAACGTATTTGAGTCTTTTTTAGTCACAGTGATGTGGGGATATCTTACAAACAGCATTAAATTTATGCTGAACTCGCTGATCGGTTGAATATGCATCTCGATTCAACCAGCCTGAGCTAAACGGGTCAATCTCAGTAGAGTATGATTTCCACATGTAACTAGCTGGCTATTGCTGGTTATCTTTCGCTCAACAAGTTACATACAATGGCAATCAATTTAATGTACAAAACTGAAAGCTTTTAACCAAATTGTCAACAAACTACTAGACATGCCATGTTTCTCTATTTTGCAGGAAAAAAATGGATTGGCAGTGCATGATGTATATATCACGTTTGGTTTAAAAAACTCTTCATTCCAAGTTTCATGAAGCATCAAAAATATAAATACTTGGAACGTTATCGTTCGTATTCCGTCCTCTATCTTTACTCAACATGAAATTTATGCTACCTTTGCTTGCACTGCTCGGACTCAGCAGTGCCCAAATCGCTGCTGCTCAATCGGATGCTTCGGACGCACCCAATTCCTGCGATGCATCTGTTGTTTCTTGCCAGTGGTCTGATGCTGTTGATGCTTGTTGCTCTCCAAAGTACGGTTTGGTGGTTCTTGCTCTCCAGTGGAGCCCTGGGTGGGGTCCTGCTGATGAATTCACCCTCCATGGTAAGTCCTCATTGTAGTATAATGCTTGCAATATATACATTTCACTCAACAAGTCTCAAATAACAGGTTTATGGCCCGACACATGGTAAGTTGTGATTCACTTTCTCAATCGATAAGCATTCTCACCTCGGTCATTACAGTGATGGTCATCATGCTCCTGTTGATGGTTGCGACAGTAGCAGAAACTCCAACCAAATCGCCACTATTGTCCGGGACATGAATGAAACTGTCTACAATAGAATGTCCACCTTCTGGCCTAGTAACCAGGGAGACAACAACAAGTAGGTGTCCCACATTTAGACAAAAGAAAATTTTCCTAGCTTCATTAACCTTTATGAAACCAGGTTCTGGTCACATGAATGGTCAAAGCACGGTACATGTGTCTCTACCTTGCGTCCAACTTGCTATGATCCATATCAACAGTATCAAGATGTCATTGAATACTTCCAGGTAATTTAACCCTGAATTCCACCATGGCGTCCCTATATTGATTGTTTGTACAGCAAACACTTGATTTACGTGACAAATTTGATATTTTCGGTGCACTCAAGTAAGTTCCCTTAACAAATCCCTTCCACAACTGATCTGTATCGCTAAATCCATTCATACTTGTGTCCAGTTTGAACGGTGTCTCTCCCGGAAATACATACAATGTCGAAACCATTCGTGATGCCATCAAAAATAAATACGGCGCTGACGTAAAACTTGACTGCAAAAATGGCGCTCTCACTAATGTCTCGCTCTATTTCTACGTCAAGGGTCGTAGTGATTACATGATTACTGAAGCCCTCGATTATGGTAACTGCAGAGATGCTGTATTCTTCCCAAAGAAATAGTGTCATAGTATAATAATAAAGGGGTTTATTTACAATAATGTGTGTTTGTTGTCTTGGCGTATCAGAAATCATAATCATCGTCCTCCATAGCATCTCTTCCACGTTTCACTGGCTCAGTTGATGTCGTTGTTGCTGTTGACTGTGATGCCGATAATTGTGAGGGTTCGAAATCTGAGGGCGTTTCAAGGCATCTGTCAGGTCTGCTCATATGAGATTAATGATTTTACAATCAATCAACAAAAACCACTGTTGTTTCTACCTTCTTTCCTCTGCTTAATGCTGTCAACGCTTTCCTGGAGCCTAAGAGATTTCACTACTTACTGCAGACATTTTATGCAGCCCATGAATTGTCAATGTCCAGATTAACGTTATTAAATATAGGAAGCAAGAAAATAGCGTAATGAACAATAGTGCTATGACTTGCTGCCTACTTCCCTTACGCTTCAAGGGCATCTATTACTGTATTACCTTATGAAAAGGGCATTAAGTTTGCCTGCCAGCCCCATCAGCCAAAATCATTAAAACTCAAACTCATAGTCTGTTCCAGATTAGCCAACTTTTGATAGCTTTCGACTCGATTGAACTATTTTTGCAGATTCGACTAAGTAAAATATGATGATCATCGTTTGCTTCTTTAAGCTAACTTCCATGCTATGGGCATCCACAACAAGCGGATCTTGGATATCCATTTCCCCGACCGTCATGTTTGTGGCCTTCTCGTCCACATAGACTACATCCCATCCTTGGAAGCCCAATTGACCAAGTACGAGTTGGCACCTATCCAGTTCGATCCCATGGACACCACCACGTTGCGTGACCCCAAGTATACCGACTCTGATCCTACTTTCCTAGCTGCCGAATGTCGCCGCCTTTTCCTTGCTCGATTGAAGGTCATCATCGGGCGTTTGAAGGATCCGCACCACCAACTGGCAGTGGCCCGCTTCTTCTGCTTTAAGCAACACTTCATTCCTGAAGACGAGTATGCCCAACTAGCTAAGTCCATCAAACCAACTTATGTTCCAGCTTACAAGCGT